GTCTATATCTGCATGGTTTGGCAGTGGTTGTTGGAGGAGGATGAGACTCTTGTATTTACATGGAGGCGTGTGATACCTTTCGTTGAATAAACAATCCAACTATGCACTTGAGCAAATGCAATTTTGTAACCTCAATTCATTTCAACCACAGACGCTTCAAAGGCTCCGAGGCATATCCGGTCCTCGTCATCTTTGTTTAGTGGCCCAAATCTATACGATAACGAAATTAGAACGGGGAGCTCCAATGCCTTCGGTACTTTCTAATTTAATTAATTCACAAATTGAACCAAATACGGAGCATAATTTTGAACATCTCTTCTTCTGTACACATTTTATGACAGTGTTTGCACAAGGTATCATTACGTTGTTGGTATGAATGCTTCATGCACAAATGTCAAACTTTCACCAAGTGCATCGAAATGGAAATATGCCAAAGAAAGTCTGAGAAATATGAGAACACTCCTCTTTCATTATGTACTCAAGGAATAAGTGTATATACATTTGTTCACATTTCTGCACACAATGCAGAGTAGTCTGTAATTAATTAAAATTGATGCTGAATAATGCGCAAGTACAAGGAAGCAATAAACATATCCCGACACGGAACGACGAAAACGGATTTCTTGAATTATGCACAGTCTTATTTCCAAATAACTGCGAATTTATGTTTTCGGTCATCAGGAAATTCCTCCAGCAGTGAAAAGTGGCCAATTATAATTTTTGCTGAGTGACATTTAGACAAATTGGTGGATGGATACACTTTCCCTCTTGAGATTACACCGCAAAGTGCAGTGAAGTTGACATGTCGTGTGTAACAGAAATAAATTCAAGGTAACACATTACTCCTGGTGATTGGAGAGTGAAGAAAGTGGTGGAGCTGTGGCTGAGCAATAATGAAAATGTATTGATTTCCCCCCAGCTCACGGTGACGGTGGTGTACGTCTTTCTCCTCACTAATAAACCTGCCCATATTGTTGCACCTACGAAGGTACATGCATCAGCTCCTCACTCACCTTGCTTTCTCTTAGACTGTCCTCGCCAAACCATGACTGCCACCACCACCACCGACCGAATGACTGCGAGTCTTATTTAGACCTGGAGTAGTAAAGAATATGCCTTTGAATAAAAGGTGACCCACATTTCGTGGTTATTGCTACAGCAGGAATCCACCGGTTGTTGCTCTGCATGCCCAACAAAAGTGTATGGATAGCTTTCTTTCCTGGGCTTTACTTTGTTTGCACAATTTATTATTGACTCGGTTTGGCATTATCCATCCTCAGCAAATAAATTGGTGTATTTCACCTTGCAACTGCTGCATCATGCTGAATCTCATTTTGGTATGGGAAATCTTTCCCTTTTTCCATTAGTCCATTCAGAGAGGCGACGGTGCCATAAATCGATATTCCTATAAAAGTGCCATTCTGACGATGTATGTATCCCGGCCTCATCGTGTCGTCATCCAAAGTCAACACAGGAGCGATTAATTTAACACAACACTCTCCAGTAACGTGACGGTCTGAACCGGCATGTTCCGGTTAGAACGGCCACAATCTCATAATTTCTCTCTTCCTTACTAACCTGCGAGGACTTTCAGCCTTTTTGTCCCAACCTACCCACCCGCCTACGAAAAATGGAGAACAAAGTCCATGCACTCCACCATCCGAGTTACCTAACCTTCTGGCCTTTCATCAGAACACGCTCTCTCACGATGTAAAAATGTTCCAAGGCTCATAGGCTTGCAGATGGCAAGGTTGGTGAAAGTTGTGAATGACGTATATGCATGGATATGCTAATGTTTGCATAAGGTCGACGGATCCATGCACTCGTGTAATGTTGTAGGCTCAAAATGATAGAGAGAACTATCTACACATAATTTAATTAAAATAATTGCCGACAGCCAAACTATCAAATTACAAAGTATTACACATCATTGTGTTGTAACAACACGTTTAATTTCGGCGAAATGTAAATAGAATAAAATTCTGAGCCGGCCAACCTTTGGCATATTGTCGGATATTTAATAAATGGTTTCAACAAGGCATACACATCTAAATACGTCCACTCTAAAAAACTATCACCAGCTTGGCAGCATATTATCACCGTTGTGACTTTTTCGGCAAATAGTTGACTACGACTATTTTATGCACATATGTAACATGGGTTCATTGTTATGAAAACGGCATTCATTCATTTATTCAGAAGCATGCAATACGATGCTGTTTGGCTGATCTTATTGAATGTCATGCATGACAAGGCGAGTCGTAATTGTCCTCACGTGACTGGTGAAAGTCGTCAAGTGAAAACACAGCGGTGAAACGCTCGACCATGTTTACTGATTTGCTGACTTTGTTGAAAAGCGAGTGTTATAGAACCACCCCAACCTTTCACGACCAACGCTAAAAATAGGTTAGGGATTCGCGTGATGAATTTGCACCGAAGTGAAAGAAACGCTGCTGCTACTTGGTCAACATTTTTGACAACATCATCGAGTTAATATCTATTACATGTGCAAGTATATGGTGGACTTTCGCGTATTTTTGCATTGTTTTACGTCATATACACATCTGCAATTCACATATGGCTGTATGACATGAAGTGGATGCGTACAATGTAAGAACTAAAACAATAAAGTCGCATTACTACCTAATTCCATACCTAAATTCCATAAATTTTACCTAAATTTATTAGTGTGTCATCGAAGAGAAAATAATTGCAAATGCAACCGCTGAAAGTGTCTGTTTGCAATCTGAAATATGCAACATTACACAAAAATCGAACCCTTCTTTATTCGCAAGTCTATGTCAAAGTTTGGCAAAGAATTTCATTTACGAGCCCCATTCAGGTCAAAACTATGTTATAAAAAGTTTGTAAAAAAGCAGCGGGGTAAAAATAACTTGTGGCGGAATATGTGCCAAGTATCCGTCAGAAAAGTTAATGTGCTATTGTTAATAATAAAAAGCAACGCCACGCCGCTCTGGTGAATTGAATATAAAGTTTGGCCATGTAAAGTGAAGTTGTGACAGGGCATGGTTCGCTCCTTTGTGACCAATAACTTTCGTGTGGTTATAGGCTCGAGCATACACACACACACCAACTCGGTGCAATTCAATGCAGCAGAAGTACATACATATATCGAGCACAAACAAAGGAAACTTGGTGGTTAGGAAAACGCTGGCGTGTACGATGTTGTCAGTTTGTTCGAAACGAACATGGTAAATTGTGTCTTCATCAAAATCCAGCACTTGCCAAAAGCAGTTTTTTTTCTCTCTCTTTCTCGGTTTCTTTATAAATTCTTGGCTCGAATAGTTTGACTTGATTGTGTGGAAGGGATGCAAAGTGCATGGTTACACAGAAAGCACATTCATGCATACATTGACCTGTTACCCCTATTACGCCCACACTGCGAGTGAAGTCTGCACTTAATGAAGACAAACTATCTGGAATCAGCAAGTATGTATAGTGGACATGGTGGAACCGAGTTGTCCACATTTCTTCATTGTAAGTAGATTTGTAGTAATCGGTGGCAGGCAGGCAGGCAGGACGGGATGTCTTTACGTGACTTGAATAGCCTCCACGTATGCATGCGGCTGACAACCATGTAGGTGAAAACCAGGGCCAAAAGTAGCCAAAGTCAAGCACAGAATTCATATAATCGGTTAAGAAGGGAGGAGAAAGCAGTTAATTCGAGGCTCGCATATTTTATGCTTTTGGAGGAGCCAGCAAGTTTTCTCTTTCTCCGTCCAAACCAATGTCGTCGCCCTTCTTTCCCCGACTTGCCAGCAAATTGTCTCAAAGCCCTTCACTCTTTCTATCTCATTGCGAAGCATTATGCTAACTAAGCTGCCTTGCTTGCTATACACAATTGTTTCTGGGCCAGAAGTGATATTTTCCAGCCCCATGAACAAAACTATATCATAATCCAGTGTTGCATGCTTGTGTGTATTTAATGAAAACGAGATGACATATGTACACATTTCTTTCGTGACTTTCTTGACATTGTCAAAATTGAGTCGTGGGCGAGGACAAGATTGGATTTATTCTCCCATTCCGATTCTGCATTTTCACCTCACACCGCTTTTTCCCGGTGACAGAGTCAATTCCAATTTTCTTTTTTTGGTACAAACCTCTATTTTATTGACTGGAGCCATACCTACGGAACCAACTGGTTTGGGCGGTTGCGAAGGAGCGGTGCAAGTCATTATAATGAACCTTTCCTCTTCATTTAATAATCCTGCGTTACAAATGAAATGGAATAAGAAGATGGTCCTCTTGCATGCATATTGCATACGTATGGACACACAGGGTAGAAAAGGGAAGTGAGCACGGACATGTCATGCTTTCTTCCTCGGGACTACTATAGAAATGTCGACCGTTTTAAACTACCCGACACGCGACATGAATACTTGACGATAAGCTTCCATTTGATATTCAACGTTCTTATCAATTTTTAATGAAAAACCTCATTACTCAAACTCAGTCTAAACTTTGCATTTGCTGATTGAAAATCGATGTGGGTTTCAAACATTATACACACACACATGCTAAATTATCTATATTCCAAATATTTCAATTTTTATGCCGGCTTAATTTATGCAAAAGGAAAATGTCCTCATTGTCCAATATTCTACTTTTTACGCAACATGAGACGTAAAGAAGCCCTGCCAAAAACTTTAATTTGCGGTCATATAATGAATCAAGTTGTTCGTTGCAAGGTTATGTCGGGTCTTTAGTTGGTCGGCATTGGACAGAAAATACAGAACCGAGTAAATATTAAAAATCGATATCATTAATAATTAAGAATAATACTGTCTGTCAATCTCGCTAATGAAAAGTTACGCAATACTAATGTTTTGTTTAATTACTGTACATACACTATTCGTACTTGTAAGAAATATACCAGCTTTGATACCATATTTTATTTACTCATTTAGGTTAGAATGAAAATAATTATTATTACTTATTACGAAATAAACCAATGTTTCCCTCTCTTTTGATTACAGAAATTACTGATGAGCTCTTCTCCCTTGGATCAATTATACTCACAAAGGCGAGGTTGATAAGCTAAGGATAAGCCTGACTTTGGATACTGGTCGCCGCAGAAAGAAGTACATGACAGGTTAGTAAATACGTATGCTTTTCTTAAAAATTTAAGCATAATAAGAATATGCACAACTCTAGAATTTACTACAATCAATATATTACCAAATCGTAGTTGCAATTATGCAAAATTACTAAATCGACCTTGACATTGACTGCCAATCCAAATTTATTTTTGTCGTTATTATTACAGTCGAGAATAACCTACTTATGCATATTTATGTCTGTATACATTGCAAGTTGGTAGGCTTGTAATTGCATTGGAAGATTTAACTATGTTTTTTTAACTGGCGAGTTAACTTGTGCAAACTGGTTCTCAACTCTGACCTTTCGAAGCACAGTGCTGAATATCAATACTGCAGGAGGACAAAGGAAAATGAAATGCTGCGGTTTAATTAAGCAGGCTTTATTGTCGCATTCAGCCATGAGTTATGAGCAATTGGCATATTCTATGAGTTCTATTGGCCTACTCAATACATTGCATATTATTATTTACGTATGTACGTAAGTACGTATTTACGTAGTTTGGCTTTGATTGCACCGACGTGGACTTGCTATTAATCGTCTCAATGCAGCAGCAGCCTTACAACACTAGGCCATATTTTATTCAGATTTTCATTGAACGATTGTTTGTTGACACAACAATTATGTTGAGTTTGATCAGGGCGAAATACTTATAATTGACGCGGCTGAACAGAACAATGTGGATTTAGGTAGACGACCGCATCGTCGTGATCTTAATTGCAATTGTGCCGAAAAATAGTTTGCGCCCAAGTAGTCAGTCGTATTGCAAAAAAAAATTCAAAATGAATTCCTTCCTTGCATAGCACTCAAATATCAACTAATTAAAAAAACCTCATTAGAAACAATGAACAATTTTAAGTAAAATGATCGTCAAATCCAGGTTAAATTGTTTATCCGCTCTTGTAATGATTTCAGAGAATGCGGGTTTCATGCAATGCCAATGTTTCATTAAACTTTGTTAATGGAACCAATTTGTTACCGCATATTCGGAAAATTTAAATTATGAGTTCAATCAAGCTGAAATAATTTTATTGCATGCCTTGCCAAATAACTTTTTGATCATTTCATTTTAACTGACAATTAAGCAAGTATTTAAGTTTACGTAATTTTAAATGGTACAATATTTGACCTATTAATTTCAATATTGGTTTAATCATGCAAAAGTTGGTACAGGTTTTCGAAGGACGTGGATAGGTGCGTATGTACGTATTATGTGCTTGCTCGTAAAAAAGGCATTGAATGATTTCATTGTTTTCCGGTGTTTATTGTTTGATATATTTCATACTGTGTTTAAAATAACAATGCTAATTTGTATGCACAATGGGTGCATAAAAATGCATTTCTGTATTTAAATTAGCAATTGTGAATAAATAAGGTTAGGTCAGTTTTAAGCACTAAAATTTTGACACAACTTAAATGAACATTATTATCGACAATGGGTTAACTCAATGAGTTTTACTTCTCAATGACATTTCATCCACTCATTATGGTTTTGTTTAACTACTCTTGTTTGGTAAACTTGGCACGCATTCGTGTAGCCCATGAACCAAGTAAGTAGTCGTAGACCAGAGTTTTAGATCATTTCAGATCAGCAATTTCGAGACTCGTTTAGGAAAACTCATACCAGTCGTGGCAATGCAATGGCAGTTTTACCACGATGATGTTGTAAATTGATTCTGCTGCATACTTGTTTGTTGTTTGCGTGAAACAAGATTTGTGGGATTTGCATTTACATGATTCAATTGTACATGTGCTATGGAATGAGCAGTTTGGTTAATGAATGAATAAAAGTCCGTCAAACGCGAAGCAAGCGAGTTGTTGGTTCCTAGTTGGAAGAGGAACAACATGATCGAGCCAAAAATAAGCAGATATTTCTGGTTCAAGTTGGTTCATTGATGTCTGATTTTTACGACCAATTACAGTAACCGACTACACCTCGCCAATAAATGTTGATTCAATCTACATCTGTTTATCATCTGAATCAATATACGACACTTGGGAGTGGTGGCTGATGAGCACAAAAAGAGCCACTTGCCCATCCAGAAGGTAATCTGGCTGGATGGCATTATGAATTCAGGAGATGATAACAATGAACGCACCTGAGAGTATAATGATGTGCCTGCTCTGAAAACATAACTTAATTGAATAGAGACAGCAGCAGTGGTGGTTAATGGGACAGCACATGACGGCCCACCGCATGGATAATGCATTATTTCATTCACCAAACGCTCTTAATAATAGCAACGATTCTGTTCCACTCTCTCGTTCAATGTTGGTTATTAAATACGTACGTACGACACAATGCCGTGGTATCTGTCTGCAGTGGATGAACCAAGTCGACAAGCGAGCAAAAGCATCGTAGCGGTGGAAGATGGATAGGCATAATAATAAATCATAATGTATTAACCAACCTCCACTCGTACTTTGGATGTTTGCTCATTTATTTGTGCTAACTAAAACATGACATCATCTCGAAGTTTGTAACTCGGTCCAAGAATAACATCTGAATTAAAATTGGCAAGTTTTTAATGTCCTGTTAAGTGGCAGCCACAGTCGTCGACGTTCTGAGAGGTTCTTAGGTTCAAGTTCTGCGAGTTGTGTCAAGTATGCATAATAAATCTGCAAAAACTCCAACCACTGGCCAGACCACTCTCGTCTTGTTCTCTCCCGTGCAGTTCATTCCCACTGTTTCCATTAGGGAGAGCCCAATGGGAAACAGTGTTGGGAAAATGGGAAGGATTCCCCATCACTTTTCTCAAATACGAACCCATTGATTCCCATTCGAAATTTTAGCAGAAAAATTCCACTTCGGCATATATGATATCGGTGAACAGTATCCAGTATGATAATATAATATATGAAAACCATCAAAATTCCCTTTGGATATCTTAAAATAAATCCCAGAACAAAAACAAAATACCGACTATTAAAAATTCAATGTATTTATTTATACAAGAATCCAATTAATAAATTTTATACTATTCTTAATTCTCCCCTACCAAGTTGAGATACTCGTTTCTGAATCATCGGAATTCGAACAACTGAATTCCGGCGACATGATCGTAGAATTTCCAGCCAGACCTGTGAGACGATTCATCTTCTTTCTGGCATCCCCAGGAATATTGTGAAGCTTCTTTTCAAAAGTTAACCACTCAACAGTATTTGGCTTCAGGCCGAAAATTTCCGTTGTGTAATCTATAAAAAACAGTACATTTTCTTTTAGGTTTTTTCATGTTTTTTTTAACCATAAAGATCAATAATATGATGAATATCAAGCTCACCCTTTAATGCTTTAAATCGGATAGGGTCGATACATCTTCGAACGTTGTTCCGAATTCAAAATAGTTTTCGTCCTCCCAACATACGACATGGGTCATGTCACCGCAGGTATATTTCAAAGAATAGAAAATTGACCAGAGCGAGTAATTTAGGCTGACCAAAGAGAAACTAAAAAAGCATGACGAGGAGTGAATTCCAAATATGCCGCTCAGTATTTATCGGGGATGCTTGATATATTTCATGCCTTTTCGTCTAAATCCAATATGATTAATTCAGATGGGATATTGAGTTTTGTAATGCAAGTATGTTCCAATCAGATCCCGTTAACGTTAGCAATTCCATTGGGGACCTAGCAGTCATTTTCCTGTATAAAAATTTCCAATTGGATTTTTTACATGAAATGCATATATGCATCACATCTTATTGGAAATATACTGTAATCATAAGGGATCCGTAAGGATCCATCTACTGTTCAGATTCCCCAATGGATCCCAAGTCTCAGAAACGCACGGGCTGACTTGACTCACTGAATAAACTGACAATTCCTATTCCGTGACGACATATTTACACTCTGCAAATTTAAAAGTCAAAGGTGCAAAGTGGTGTTGGTTAGTTTGGTGAGTACTATTATTATGATTAGCATTATTATTAATAGCGGTGGTTGCTATTACTGCACGTAGTCAGGAGGTAGTACTAAATGCCAGCGGACTTTATCCGGATTCCATGGACCCTTCGGTATCAGTGCCCTTTTATAAATACTCTGCCTTCTTTTACGAGAAACGTGTTGCTTGTGGGAGTTACTTGTTAAATCATTATAGTGAGTTTTTTTAGCCATGTATGTGTATCTCTGAAGCTATTTAATACTTGATGAAATTAGAGACTTTCGATGATAAATAGCCGTGTTTTTCATGAGCTCAGAATTTTCATGAGCTATCAAATTCTTATTGTTGAATTAGACGCAAATTGAATTAGAGTTGCGATACTTATTACTACGAAAGCTGGTTGTTGAACTTTAAAGATGCTGAAATATTTTATCACGTTATCGCTAATCTCCATAATCAAGTATAATTTAGCAAATTCAGGAGTGAGTGATGGGTTTCATTTCATGTATATGTATAAAGCCATTCAAAGTAAGTATGCATGCATGGAGGAAAAAGTGGTGGTGGTGATGGTTATTAATGTATTACGATTACTGGTTATCAGCAGAATATATGAACAACATGTTAGGTTGGGTTATCTACGTAAAGTATCAAAAGCATTACTCCCAATTTGCATATCGAATGTCGTATTAAAATTGCGATTGCCAAATCAAAACGTGGCCAGAGTGGCACACAGTACAAGCAATAATCTGTTGTGTAGTGTCAAGTCGTGGTCCGTTAAATTCGAAATGTGTTTGGCAGTTTGCGAAGGATTAAGTTCAGACTTGGAATCCGGAATCATTGCAAATATTCCACCAAACCAACGCAACTAATCCACTTCATGTGCTAGATAAATGTTTTCAGAGCTTATTTTCCAGTTGAACTCGCTCTTTGGCTCTTGATAAAAACCAGGCCAAATGTAACACAAAATCATTTCCCATATTTCGCAGGAGAAGATGAGACAGAGTAAGAAAAGTAGTTGGCGGTGGGTATCCACCACCATCGTGCGTTAGGATCGTATGCGCGATCCTTTTTCTCACTCTGTTTCTCTCTCTCTGTACTCATTAGTGGCCAGAGTTTGTTATGGCTCTTGCTGTATAAGCCCCTCCCTCAGAAACTTTGACCCCAAAAAAGTCATGGTAGCGGTCATTTCGCAGCGGACAACAAAAGCGGAAAATGTGGCACTTCTGACGAAGAAAAATCTGGCATCAGGTTGTCAGCCGCAAAATGACCGCTAAGGTCACTTTTTTAACGATTTATATGTAGGTCGAAAAACCGCCAATTTTCGAATTTTGAAAGTCTTGATGCATCAAAATGTTCATACTCATGAGGGGAGTCAAATGTCAAATGCAAGTTGGTATCTACTTCTTTCTGTACCGAGTGTACATTGACCTTCTCATTTTTCCCAATTTTCTTCCCCAATTTTTGAAGGGGGTGTGGTTGAATATAATTCAAAAAATCTATGCTATATTAATCCCCCCACCCAAAACTGAATTTGTAATTTTTTATTTGCAATTTGGTGAAATCGATGCGAAAAAGACTTGCACTTTTGGCTCATTTTGTACCTCTTGTCACATGTTGACTTATGCAACGGGCAACATTGAACTTATTTTAGTTTCGAATAAACACTGAAAATTATGCAATATATTTTGTGTACACATGCCCCTTGTTTAGTTCAAGGTATATAAATACATATGTAAATCCTGCGCTACACTAGTATTAAGAACATAAGTTTTATCTGAAATCAACGACTCGTCTTGACATTGGCAAATCTCGCCAATTTTGCCATTTTGCCAAAGTGGAATATTACTCGAATGAAAATTATGCAACGATGATGACGGTTGTTGAATTAAATCGCATTTTAGCACTTGTAGCTTCTGCCAAACCCAACCCATCTCTTCTGCAGACAGCTCGTCGCCTCCTCGCCACTATATGGACTATATATTAACGATTGGTTGACTGGCGTGGGGTACATCTGCCTCCCAAAATAAATTCCGTTCTGACTTTGCCATCAAATTGTTTGAGTCGGTATCAGGAGCGGTACGTGTGGGCATTCATCATCAGTGGATGGGTTTGGTCCTGATAAATAAATGGAGTTTCGAGTTGTGCACGAATAGGGACAGAGAGATAAGGAAATCTGCTTCGGCAGTGTCCACACAAATGTATGCATTACACTGCATGAGAATTTGAGACCTATGGTTGTCACATTTGATCATGTATAAATATGTGTCGCACTGTATTTGCAGTCATGTCCTGACTGATACCCTCTCTGACCTTCTGTGTCACCAGAGTGAAATTCCAAATTCCAGTTTTAATCTTGCCAAATCCTCACCACTGCCAGTTCACGTTGGGCTTTATGTTGCACTCCACACACTAATTTATTAGCTAATGAATGCCCAGGCTGAAACCCTAATCCAATCAGCGTCCTCTCTTTCTCTCTCTCTGTTGATGGTCAAAATCCAACCTGCAGGTCCTGATAACTTGTTTCTGCTCTTTGAAGACTTTATTTTCAGCTCTTTGGCAAAGTGAGAGGCTACAAATTAGGGTTATCTTTTTGACAGCAACTTCACTCGCCTTGTCAAAACTGTAGTTATTACTCTGAATGAATACCTTGGATTAACCTTATTTTAAATTATTTATGTCATCACATGCCATGAAACTTATCCGTCCACCATTTGCATCCTCTTTCTTTATACATCTTGGTTGATGAAGCTGTATTGTATTTATAAGTAAATCGGGGATTTGCACGCCAAATGACGACAACGACGACGAGTTTTTGGCCTCAGAGAGGGGTTTGATCTTGTTTTAGGCCTTTTAAGATGGCCTTATAGATTTACCAAGATGTCTGTCTGTCCGTCCGTCTGTGCGTCCGTCTGTGCGCACGATAACTCTCTTTAAACAAAAGCTATCGACTTGAAATTTTGCATACTTCATCTTCGGGTCAAAAGTAAGGATGAGTTCGGAGATGGGCATGATCGGTCAAGTAATTGGCCGGTGGGGGTCATTTCCATCCAAATGCGTTGCCCTTAACTACCAAGAACCTTTAGAGCAGGTTAAATTATTTAAGTGTAAGTAAAATATTTGTAGCTTGAGAAATATCTATAGTAATAATTATAAGTAATTTTAGTATGAAGATTGCGACTGACCTCAAAGCGTTTAAATTGGAGTGGAGTTTCAGAAATTTTAAACCTGGGAGACCCGATAGGGTGACCCGACGGATTTCTAAAATTTGTAGTAGGTAGTTGAAATTTGGAACAAAGGTTGCTAGTGGATTGTAACAGACAAAAATGAATTTAGGTTGGAAAAATTTTAATCTTGATGGACCCTATGGGGTGACCCATACTGATTTTTCAAAATCGTCATATCGAAGTGAAATTTGGGAGAGAGGTTGCAAATGGGTCTTAATGGAACAATATGAAATGAAATTGGTAAAATTTATATCTGATGCGGTTATCCATATCTATTTTTAGAAATTGCGTTAAAAACATGAAATCCGGCACGGTAATACTTACAATTAGTGGCTTCTCATCAAAGAATTTGAAATTAAAAGTTAGCTAACAAGGGATACTTTCGAGGTGATAGTCGTGTCCAGGGTACCACTCATTGGTCTAAATGTTTTTTGATCGAGTGTTTCTCACGGGTTCGGGTTCTTACTTCGGGTTTCGGGTTCGGATCGGGTTTGGGTCCTGCTTCGGATACGAAATTTTTGAACCCGAAACTTTCGGGTTCGGGTTCGGGTCCGAGAAATGTGATCCCAAAATTTCGGGTTCGGGTCGGGTTCGGGTTCCGACTAAGAACCCGAAACCCGAACCAACAAGAACTTTTTGCCACAACGAACACGAAAACATTAAAAAAGAAAATAAAGTGTTAACCAAACTTGCTACGACGGTTATGCTGCAGTAATTCATTAAATAATTCAAATTTTTAATTGTCGTAACTTCTTTTCACAAGTGTCTTCAATTAGTGTTATGGTTTGAATATTAAAATAAAATATATTTTTTATCAAAAATTTGCAAAATATTTAGCTTGAGCTTACTTTAATATTGGAAACTTGAAACTGAAAATCATTTTCAGTTTTCAACTGATTTAAAAATTTCTGAATGTCACGGAAAGCCATTATTCATGGTCGATTTTTTGAGATTGCATTATTATGGTCAAGGAATTAAGAGTTATGTACTTATGCAGAAATGTGCTTAATTATAATTCCTCGGTCATATTTACAGAAGTATTGTTTGTTTGAAACCTTCCAAAGAATTTTTAGCTAAAAAGCCAGTCACCCCTTAAAGTTAAAATATATTCGGGTTTTTCGGGTTCGGGTTTCGGATTTGATCCGCCAGTTCGGGTTCGGATCGTTGCAAACGGGTTTCGGGTTCTTCGGGTTCGGGTTGCCCTCAAGTTTCGGATCAGTGACATCGGGTTCGGGTTCGGGTTTCGGATTTGCAAGAACCCGACCCGTGAGAAACACTAACCCATCTTCGAACTCGGTCGATGCCCAGATGCATGTCTGTATCAAATTTGGTAAAATTCAGCCTACTCCTTCGAGAGTTATGGAAAGACAGACAGACGGACAGGTCGATTACATAAGCCCTAGTCCGGGCTAAAAATTATATGCCAATCGTTCATTAGAGTCTGGCTTTTATGTAATAATGCCGTCTTAAAAGGCCCCGCAAAGTTGCTTGGAGTAGGTTTTTTGATAATCATATTATTGATATGAGGCAGTTGTCGTGTTGCATAAATAACTCATGTTTAGATGCAGATGACATCAAGTAGTTGGCAACGCTCAGGGGACACCATCTCTCAATATTATTGCCAAGAACCTTCCAAATTGAGTCGGATTTTAGGAATCGCCAAGTCAAGCGTGCAGCAGGAAGGATGGTGAAAAGTACGAGCTTGGCGAGGTAAAACTGTTGTTGGCAGTTTTATTCACGATACAACTGCGATCATTTCCGAAAAAAGTGCTCTTGGTCCTATTCCCAGAATCGAACTTGACTTTGAACGTCTCAACTTAATGCCAACTTTATGGGAAAGTTACAAATTATTGGACTAGTGACAGTACATACATAAATACGTATGTACATGCATAAATACACACGTTTGTGGGGTGGCTGCATACGCTAATGATATCTAGTTTGCTCAATCAGTTGCATTAAAAATCTGTGGGACACGTCCAATTTCGAATTCATATTTTACTTTGTTATTGTATTTCATTTATAGCAGTTTGTACGCAAAATTTTACTTATTTTTGTGTCCAATATTCCCAAGCTGAACTTACACCAGTAGCAAAATCTAAACAATATAAAGCAGGCAAGTGTATCGCTGCTGGCTGGCTGGGTCGGTGGTTTAGTTGAGAAGTTAGCCTCTCCTTTTCTCTACTCTGCAGAGAGAACAGGAGAGGCTAACTTCACTAATGTTGGAGTAACGGGCTTATCGACGGGCCTATTTTGCACGTCGATTGACGGGCTTCTACACTAGTTATGTATTAAATGGTTACTTATTTAACTTGTCCATAAAAGCATGCAAAATGGGAATTCTCAGCAATGCTAAGTAGTACTCGAGCTGGCGCATAAATAATTCAGTGGAATGTCTTATTCCATCCATCGTACGTAGCTCTCTTGTGATTATATTTGCGAATTGGTTTTGTTTGTCCGAGAAAAAAAATATGACAATTTATTTACAACTGCAACAACGGTGGTTTTCCAAGGTCTCGGTTTCCTCCATATAATTTTAATCAAGACCTTTCTATTGATTTTTTATTGTCCTGTTTATGCCTTATAAATATAGAATTCCAAATATTTAAAATAAGTCTTAAACCATTCCATTAGTTGAGCCATAGCCTCTATAATGGTAACATTTAAGTTTAGTGCATTTTTATCGAAAACCTAAACAGTTTTCACCAACATGTTACGAATGCAGTTTTCCTCTTTTATGTTATGACCAAGGGACTTCCTCAATAATTCTTTAAATGCGCTAACATTCCCGAAAATGGGTACGACCACTGACTGATGAATAATGGTCTGAGTATGACTCCACCTTTAGAACAAGTTTGTTATGGCAGCTCTCATTGTGTAATTCGATATGGCAAAAATATAAAAAAATGCTGAGTTTTATTTTTAGTATCGCTAAAACATGTTACTTAATAAATGATTATCTTTATGCACAAATCGTACAATCTCGATATGGTTCACCACTTGATGATGGACAAAAACGATGCAGTTGTTCATTAAATGAAACTATCTCGAATTTCGGCTGCCGATTATTATTTTTATTAGCTGCTACTGAATGAGTGCAATAACGGGATATGGTTGCATGCATTGCTCGTCATGTAGTAAATAGTCTGGATAATAGTTTATCATGCGCTCACACACACCTTAGTCATCACTTTTGTAAATACGTATGTACATGTAGATCGACACTTATATTTTCTAGTTCATTGACTAAACAACAAGTACATATATAAAACTGTTGAACTTGACACTTTTGCATGTCAGTCAAGTGCTTGAAAACTCTTCCAGCTGGCTGATCGATCTTGTATTTAGTTTTTCAAACATACGTATATTCGTAATTGAAACTCAAGCGGACAATCATCGTTCGTGTTAGTTAACCAGGGCATGATATATGTATAATGGCTTCATCAGTGCACTGGATCGTTATTCAAGTGCAATTTTTGTCAGGTCAATTTTAAGTTGTAAGTCTGATCACAAAACAAATGACAATTATTTATAGCAGAAGTTGCGTCATGTTAGTCATGTAATGGCAAATTCGTTTGTTAAAAAATATATTGAGGGTATTCATTATTTCTTCGTATCCTTAGTATTCTTCGTATCGTAAAATAACTTACGACGCTTACGAGATTTTGTAAGCTTCGTAAGATTTTCTCATCGAAAAACGCGTTACTACGCTTACGATGTTTACGAAGCTTGACCCCTTGTTTTTTCTTCGTAAGTTCAAAGCCGAAAATTCTCACTTTTACATGCTCATCTAATTTCCTTCTCGCACTCCTATCTGTCACAAAAAGTTTTCAAATTATTCATCCGGTGTGAAATAAATTTTCTGAAATTTGAAAACTTCCAAATAACTCAAGAAGGTAAGACGAATCTAATTTTAAAAAGTGTTCACGAACTAATTTCACAATCCAATTGTAGAAGAAATGGCACCGAGAAAAAAAATAAAAGAAGGAGAAGTGGCGAGTACTAAAATCGGGGATGAAGCAGCAACTAAAACACGAAGATGTTGGACTTCAAAAGAAATCGAATCTGTTTTGCAGCATTTAGTGGATGTCATAAAATCAGGGAAATGTATTGAAAAACCAAACGCTACTTCATTTTATGCAACTCTCCTTCAGAAAGTGATCCTACCAGACTGCTCATCTTCCCAGGTTCATCATCAAGTTGGAAATTTGAAAAAAAAGTACCAACAAACTTTGACATGGAGGAGTCAGACGGGCCAAGGAGTGTTAGCGGAGCATGGAGAGCAGTACTTTAAGGGTAAATACGCTTTAATTTAAAGTATCTTATCATGATTAGGCCAGCGTATAATTTTTCTCGGTATTCAGATACAATTAAGCAAATGTGCCCTCATTTTGATACTCTGGACGAGATATTTGGAGAGAAGCTCAGCATCAACCCTCCATTCACTCTGGATTCCTCTGAAATAAATAATGACAGCGGTCAGCAAGTCCCGGCGGATAACTTTTTTGACTTGAACGACCATTTAACAAACGTTCAAGAAGTCGGACCGTCACAAGATAACCCAATTATTCGCACTGGAACTAAGCGAAAATCTCGGTCGCCGATCCCCTCCTCAGGATCAAAAGCGTTGTCAGATCTCATCATCATGCGACAAGAAATGCATAAAGCGGATATCGAATTTCAACGAGAAAAATGGGACTTTGACAAGCATCAGAAAGAACTACAACTTGAACTACAAAAACAGCAGTTTGAAGTAGAAAAGGAGGTAAAGTTTAAACAGTTTGAGCTAGAGCAAGAGAAAATCCGGAACCAGTTTGAGGTGGAAAAATATCGAATTGATCAAGAGATGAAATTCAAGCTAGAAATTGCCAAATTACGTACACCCGTTCAAAATAATTAATTAGTTTGGTCTTACACTTAACTTATAGGCTTAAATGAATTGTTAAAAAAATTTGTTTGTTAAATTTTTAGTTGTTTACTCGTAAAAAATGTGGCAACTCAATAAACTTTGTAATATAATTTACAAAAATTACAATCCAAACTTATTAATCACAAAATAAAAAATCTCCTCTCGTTTTGCATTTCGGTAAACATGATGATGTGGGGGGTTTATTTCATCCTCGTCTTCAAAGTAATCATCCCCTTCAGACGGTTTGTCGAGAGACTCCAGAATAATGTTATATAAAATGCAACAAGCAGAGATCCATTCGCACGCCAGTTTATGTCCACCCTCGTCGTTGATGCGCACACGAAGTTCTTTTAGACTGCAAAATGTTTCTTTCAAGACTCCAAATGTACACTCGATTTTCACCCGATAACTTGCGAAATATTTATTGAAACCCTTTCTTTGTCTCTCATTGCCAAAGTTGGAGTTCCTGCGAAAGGGAGTAACAACTTTGTCTGTGACCGGGTATGCAGAGTCTCCAGCAATCCATTGACCTTCAGATAAAAATAGTTCGGGATGTTTTCCAATCTTCGAATTGCTGAAGACACGGGCGTCATGTGTTGAACCAGGATATCCAACAAAAATATTGATTATTTTTCTAGAGTTGTCACATACGGCCTGGAGCTGAATAGAATAATTTTGCTTCCGGTCAAAGTACGATTCTGGATCAGTGTTGGGAGATTCTTCCAAATTAATGTGACTTCCATCAATGTAACCGATGCACTTTGGCAACTCAGCTTCCATTGAATTTTCGATAACCTTCCGGTCTTCTTGAGATGGCCACTTGATCCAATCGTTCTTTAAATGAAGCAGAGCCTACATTTACACAAATAAAATTGTGCATGTTTGAGAGGCGTATGAGGTATTAAGACTAAAGTCGGACCTTAATCACTCGTCTAACTGACATCATCACAGTGCCACCGTCTCCAACACCAAATAAAGCTGCCACGTTTCCTACTCCTGACGCTGTACCGTTGGTTCCAAACTTGTATAAAGCAATTGCTAGTTGTTTTTCGATTGGAATTTGTTTCTTCGTTACTTCTTGAAAAACAGAGTGGCATCTAATCATTTCCAGAATTCTTCCAAAGTCAAATCGTGTGACACGAAGATATTTCTTGAACCGAGTGTCGTCATACGAGGCCAACACACTGAGGTACCATTCATCTGATTTTGGGACTCGAATTCTCGGAACAGAACACCGTTGCGACTGAATTACTGCAATAATTTCAAAGTATTCCAGAATTTGCTGGTCGATTTCTCCCTCATCTTCAGTTAGGATTGCGGTAGCTGCAGCATATTCCCCAATATCACTAACTAGTTTTAACTTTTTCGACACTCGAGGCATTGTAGTAAGTAGATTTGATGATTAGTTAATTTTTATTAAAGCTTAAATCGGGTGCGATTTATGAATACAGCCAAAAGGATCTAATTTTTATGAAATTGTGAATTTTTACGATGTTTTTTGTGTGGGGCGTTCATAATTAGATCGTAAGCTTCGTAAATTATTTTACGATACTAAGGATACGAAGAAATAACGAATACCCTCATTGTAAGCAAACGTACGTATGAGAGGTAACTTGTGACATGCTCATAACTGGCTGAATAAATTATTTTACAGAACAGTGCAAAGTGTGATACCTATATTTGCACTGTGCCAATTTGGTTATCTTACCGATAATTCGACCAGCCAATTACGAGGTTATTATTGGGCTATAACGGTGGAGGTGGTTGGCAAACGAAAGAGAAACCAGCGAAGAAATGGAGGAAAAGTCAATAAATTTATTTAGTGTCAATAACTCCGTTTGCAGTTTTGCACTTTATAAACTTTAGAGCGTCTCATGTTTTTCTTTATATTTGCATATAGGTCGCTGCTCATTTGCCCCTAACCTTGCCTAATAATAATTAACATTCATTTTCATGATGGTGAAAACTTATGTATTTCAGCCATAATTCGCCTATGCACCTCACGAACGACTTCCTCTTGCGATTTGATTCCAGAAAACTTTTTAATTACATAAACATGAGTTCTCCATTTGTTTTCTGGGAATACTTGTGATGGGAAATCCGTGCTGATTAAACTGCACCACTCTCGATCACATCAGAGTTGTTTACTGTAAATGAAACCGGCTGAAGTTTGCATTGATAAGAAGAGAAGCGGTCTGATAAGAACTTCATACGCAGAGAGAGTAGTTCCAATTGCATACAATGCGTTACATTAAGTCATGGATATAAATATGTTAATGCTGCAAATTGTGCTGTATGCACGTAATATGATACCGTTGGTTGTGGTGCATAAGCAGTTAGTGAGAATTGTATTTAAGATATTTTACCCCATTTCCATTTGTCTGTCACGTATGGCCTCATCAACTGGTAGTGGGCACTAATAATTCCTAGTTTTACAACATATTGTCGCATATACGTATTTACGTAGTGTACAACAAATCCATAAAAGCATTCAGCAGATCAAACGTTGTTGCGAGAAGTTTGAGAAGAGCAAAGTTAATCAAACCTTCATCTCGAAAGCAATTCCGTCAATGAAGAACTTTAACATGTCGTTTGAACAAGATGATGATGCGGAGTAAAGGAAAATCATGTTTTTTATTATTCACCATTGAAATACTCATTGAACTACATATATAACCGAGTTCTGCTGATAATATTAACGACCAGGTTCAGTCAGAGAGTGAGAAGAGGCTTGTCAAATGTTATCAGCCAACTACTAACTCTTATTCCCAGCTATTGAGTTGAACAGCAGACAAGTCGTAAATTTTATTTGGTTGGGTTTTGAATTAAAATTGGGTTTGAATTAGTGCAGAGCTCCCAAGAGAGTAGATTTGAGAGATTTGGACAAAGATGAAAGAGATGAGGATCGTATATTTATTGTGGAGGTTCAGGCTGTTTCTCAACTTTATGTTAATTCTTTGCCCAGCCACCTAATCAAATTCTGCGGAATAAAAATTGCAAGTAGTAAATTGCAAGTTGCAACAATAAAAATTCGCCAGAGTGGAATCTGATATAATTCAACATTCGGCTCAAAAACTGGTTGTAGAATTTGTTGTGCGGGGTTTATATGTCTATTAAGTTGGTCTTATTTCTGTAGTATGAAGCCACTTTATTTGCATTTACTACAGAAGAAGACGGTTGAGTAGAGGAGGAGCAGACTCTCGACTGACATGGCTTATCATACTCCAAGACTAATGTAATTTTAAACACTTGCCTGAGTCACATTTCAGAGAGGAGCAGAAGAGTACGTGAACTCGTTGCATGGTCAGTCCTCCCGCACTGATAAGGCTGCATGCGATATATGCGGCCACACCAGCACATTTTACATCTTTATCAAAACCAGACTTGGAAATTGAATCGTAATGAATGAAATTGAGTTTACACCACTGAAGAAGACGATGCATTAATTTAATACTCTCCTCACTCCTCCGAGGGCTTATCTGGCCACATTGCACTTTGCCACCACTGGCACATACAACACAGCTCCAACCAACCAACTATTACACAGCAGCAGCCTTAGTTAATAGCTGGTGGTTATTATGCTGGTGTTAAAGCAAACGGGAACTGGTGGGCCCATGTCGGTAAAGTAACCAAGTTTTATATGCTTGGCTTGGTCAGACGTATGTAATAGTGACTTGACGAGTTATTTAGCTCCGACCTCTCCAAAATCCAACTTAGTTAGCGACTACCAGCCACAGGAACAACAGGCCAGTTTTTAGCTTGTGCTCAAACGTACGGAAATTAAGGATAAAAAATAACATACAAACTTGTGGTGTGCACTCATTTGAAGATTTAAGATGGGAAAGTGATGTGAAAAACAAGGAGAAATGGAAACAGTCGCTGATAAGTTAATTAATTAATTAACCCTTTTCTCATCTCTCGAGAAACTGACTCAACAAAGTGGTGATCAGGTGAATACATGCAATGACGCTTATTCATAATTTACTTAATATCATAAGTACGTTCACGGTTCTGCATGCGAATATTGCAAGGGAATTAACAAGTGGACAACCGTGAGTGAGTGGTTTCCTCTCCATTCTATCAGGATCCAGGTTTTATAAAAATAAAATTGTGTACCTCTTTGATTGTTTTCTTTCTTGTCGTCTTTCTCATACTCGGTTTGAAAGTGCATAATACTTACGCATTACGTAACGTTTTTCTACGGGAGAAGGACAGTAATTGGCACTGCACATATTTGGGGAAAATTTATAAGACTACAAGTCGTAGATTATTTCCATCCTGACGTGATAGTTGGGTTGTGGAGAAAGGTTGAAGGAATTATTAAATGCTTATTGAATCTAGGCAGTCCTCACTTATTTACTGCTCCTCCACTTGTTTGCAACGTCTTCTGATTTTTTGCAGAAAAATATGCGTAATGGGTGGACGGAGAGTGATTATTTTGTGGCGGAGAGAGTTCACGGGAACATGCGAAAGAATTAGCTGGAGTGTAACTGCTGCCACGATAAAAAGAAAAGCAATTTGTTCACCTTCTTCCTTTTCAACTCTTTGTTAATAAAACTCGAGCCACTCTCCTCGACTAATTTTTATTGTTTGTCTTGCTCCTGCGTGGCTTAAATTGATGTGTGGATGTAGTAAAAATTGCGTAAAAATTCTTAAAATTGTTGCTCCTGCAGTTTCGCGTGATTCATATCGTGAGTGACCTGCCGGATTTTGCTGTCTGCACTTTCTGGTTCAAAGTCAGAGAGCAGAGTTGGGTACATTTTAACAGGTTTTCTTGAGGTGAGGCATTTTAAATACGTGAAATGAGTTACAACAACATTACAGTTAATATAAGGATGCTAGACTGGGTGTAGGAATCGGCTCCCGTCCGTGAATAATTTACTTTAACAACAGTCAGTGCAAATCGTTTTATTTGATTATAAATGATGGCAAATTACCTGCCTTCATTTTTTCGTTCCAGATTTTTTCTCCTTGTCAAAAACTTGACGGAAGGTTGAAAGAAGGTGATTTGAGGCGTTCACTTTTTACATGAGAGTGCAGACGCTAATTATTCATTTCCGAAATCCAACCATTGTTTCTTACATACATATTTCATAATGTGCAATTGGAGAACACAAATTTTGAGGAGCATGACTGCTCCACTGTTGCAGAAGTAATAAGTAAGCGAGAGGCGGAGTGAAAGTGGTTTCAAAATTGTTGAAAGGTTTCAAACTAAAGTTCCTTCCAACAAAGTTTGCAGGTGCGGTTGTGGTTTCGTATACTTTCAATTTCACACGAGTTCCAGTTTTGTGAGGAATCTAAATAATTCTTGGTTACAGCCATCATTAGAGTTGCTCTGTCCATGTCATTTGTTGGTTTTAATATGCCACTTAACATGCATAACCAAAAGTGATGTCAGACCACGATCACCATCGTCGTCATCATTAGTTCACCGCAACAGCTACCTCGCTCTGTTTAATTTGAGGTATTGGAATTGCACCCATTTAACTCGGGGTAATTGTCAGGTTTGAATTGTTAAAGTTGCACGGGAAGAAAGCAGTGGTTGGGCGAATGCAATCTACCAGTGCATGCAGCAGTGCATACGACGGCGAGCTTACGGTTATTATTAATCCGTGCTTCAAAATGCAAATTCCTCATATGACATGTGAAGTGAAAGGTTTCTGTGCCAGTTCTCCGGCCTTTCTTTCATTGTGGTGGCGAAACTATTCATTATTATGGCTCAGAATTCTCCTCATGGGCTGAACTGCACATACCAAATTGCCAAACAATGTGCAGTTATGCCACCCATATTTGTTCCTACGTAGGCCCATGCATAAGCGACTTTGCTGGTTTCTTTCTTTGGAAGGCTCCGTGTGTGGCGAAATCTGAAATTCTCATCGACAACAGCAGGGAATTGCATATCGCTGTTCGTAGCACTACGTTTGTGCATGTACATGTGCACATACGGTCCTAAATCTTACAATACAGCCCTTGTGCATGCATAATGGTGGGTTGTCAGCTACCCTCAAGGTTCACCTGTCATTTCCATTTGGCTCAACTCCACACTTTCCTCCTCCTCGCGAATACTCCTCTTTCGCCGATACGTGCAATCATACCAAACTCAGGAAAGCTATGTTTAGCGTGGAAGCATACCGCCACTTAATTGGCTCGGTCATAATTTGCAAGGAGAAAACAATGCACATCAAGCGGAGACATGACATGGTTTTGCTGTAAATACTTTCCTGTAATTGCTTTCCGGGCAGGTGCATTGCAATTATTGGTCGAATCAATGCAGGGTTTCTCTCTTTAGCACGCGGTCATCACGACCAATACCTTATCATGACTGGTTTTGAAGCCGGCAATTTCGTAATGTGGATACTTCTAAAAGAGACAGACCCCCAATTTACAAAAAAGTAAAAAAAAAATGTTGGGCTGATGAGAATCAATGGGTGGGAGGTGTCGTACTTTTTTTCTGCAGTCGTACTTATTTTGTGGCATTACGTATTCCTGTAAACTAACTGACTGGCTGATTACCGACATTACAAATGGAGTGAGTGGGCGAATTGATTGGGTCGTTTGCTTAAAAAGATGCTTTACTCAATAATGATTAATTGAACTTTCCATTTAATGGAATTTTTAAATTTCTCTTCCAAATTGTACAAGTGGAACATATTTGATAAGACATAATATAATGGCTGCATATGCATTTAAGGGACTTTTGCATTTTTAAAAGGTTTATATTAGGAAAACCTACTCCAAGCAACTTTGCGGGGCCTTTTAAGACGGCATTATTACATAAAAGCCAGACTCTAATGAACGATTGGCATATAATTTTTAGCCCGGACTAGGGCTTATGTAATCGACCTGTCCGTCTGTCTGTCTTTCCATAACTCTCGAAGGAGTAGGCTGAATTTTACCAAATTTGATACAGACATGCATCTGGGCATCGACCGAGTTCGAAGATGGGTTAGTGTTTCTCACGGGTCGGGTTCTTGCAAATCCGAAACCCGAACCCGAACCCGATGTCACTGATCCGAAACTTGAGGGCAACCCGAACCCGAAGAACCCGAAACCCGTTTGCAACGATCCGAACCCGAACTGGCGGATCAAATCCGAAACCCGAACCCGAAAAACCCGAATATATTTTAACTTTAAGGGGTGACTGGCTTTTTAGCTAAAAATTCTTTGGAAGGTTTCAAACAAACAATACTTCTGTAAATATGACCGAGGAATTATAATTAAGCACATTTCTGCATAAGTACATAACTCTTAATTCCTTGACCATAATAATGCAATCTCAAAAAATCGACCATGAATAATGGCTTTCCGTGACATTCAGAAATTTTTAAATCAGTTGAAAACTGAAAATGATTTTCAGTTTCAAGTTTCCAATATTAAAGTAAGCTCAAGCTAAATATTTTGCAAATTTTTGATAAAAAATATATTTTATTTTAATATTCAAACCATAACACTAATTGAAGACACTTGTGAAAAGAAGTTACGACAATTAAAAATTTGAATTATTTAATGAATTACTGCAGCATAACCGTCGTAGCAAGTTTGGTTAACACTTTATTTTCTTTTTTAATGTTTTCGTGTTCGTTGTGGCAAAAAGTTCTTGTTGGTTCGGGTTTCGGGTTCTTAGTCGGAACCCGAACCCGACCCGAACCCGAAATTTTGGGATCACATTTCTCGGACCCGAACCCGAACCCGAAAGTTTCGGGTTCAAAAATTTCGTATCCGAAGCAGGACCCAAACCCGATCCGAACCCGAAACCCGAAGTAAGAACCCGAACCCGTGAGAAACACTCGATCAAAAAACATTTAGACCAATGAGTGGTACCCTGGACACGACTATCACCTCGAAAGTATCCCTTGTTAGCTAACTTTTAATTTCAAATTCTTTGATGAGAAGCCACTAATTGTAAGTATTACCGTGCCGGATTTCATGTTTTTAACGCAATTTCTAAAAATAGATATGGATAACCGCATCAGATATAAATTTTACCAATTTCATTTCATATTGTTCCATTAAGACCCATTTGCAACCTCTCTCCCAAATTTCACTTCGATATGACGATTTTGAAAAATCAGTATGGGTCACCCCATAGGGTCCATCAAGATTAAAATTTTTCCAACCTAAATTCATTTTTGTCTGTTACAATCCACTAGCAACCTTTGTTCCAAATTTCAACTACCTACTACAAATTTTAGAAATCCGTCGGGTCACCCTATCGGGTCTCCCAGGTTTAAAATTTCTGAAACTCCACTCCAATTTAAACGCTTTGAGGTCAGTCGCAATCTTCATACTAAAATTACTTATAATTATTACTATAGATATTTCTCAAGCTACAAATATTTTACTTACACTTAAATAATTTAACCTGCTCTAAAGGTTCTTGGTAGTTAAGGGCAACGCATTTGGATGGAAATGACCCCCACCGGCCAATTACTTGACCGATCATGCCCATCTCCGAACTCATCCTTACTTTTGACCCGAAGATGAAGTGTGCAAAATTTCAAGTCGATAGCTTTTGTTTAAAGAGAGTTATCGTGCGCACAGACGGACGCACAGACGGACGGACAGACAGACATCTTGGTAAATCTATAAGGCCATCTTAAAAGGCCTAAAAATGGAAAATTATTTATTAACATAAACATTAAGGAAAAAAGGGGAAACCATGGATTAAAACAATTTTCATTATGTCATAAAATATTTCTAAACGTTCCTTTCCGCTCATACATTTACATATCGGTCAACTCGAGAGTTGACTTAATTGAAGATGTTCCGTGTAATTAAATATATCGAGTAACGAATAAGGGCTTTGGATGAGTTTTTTTGTTAAATACCACACACACAAATGTCCACTCGGCATCGACGTGAATCAATACGTTCGCAATATTTGCCTATTGTCTCACGTTAGTAATTAGAACAATTCGTAACGAAACGGAAATAAGTATAGTTCACATTTCCTCACATTTCATCGTAAACTTATTGTTAGTGCTTCATATTTAATCCAGAAGTTCGAGTTTCCTTAAAGAACACGATCGAAATACCAGGAAATACGAGACCGGTTGAGTCATAATTCATCAAGCTATTCAGTTATCAGAAAGTGGTATCCTCACTCTAAAACATTCGTCGAATTGAGAAATCCTGCGACTTGGATCAAAACCTCATGAGTATTTATGTCCATTCGTAGTAAGCACATACATATATTTAATTATATTTAAATGCGTATGTACTTATATCGCGTATTGTGGTGACAGCATCGTTGATACAGAAATATCACGCCACACCAGTTTTTGACTCGCTCCCGGATTTTATAAGTGTACAAATAATATGCTCACATTTAATATGCACGGACTCGAGTCACAATCAAACAAAAATGAAGAACCACCAAGTCCATTCAGAGAAATACTTACAATTTTAGTCTGGACGTTATACAAATATGTCTCTAAATTATTCTGATTGTATTTACATAGATATATTTTAGTTCTTGGTTCTTGGGAGCGTAGTAGAAATGCCTGGTAGTATTGTGTCCAAAATTACATTGGGGTTTTCCTACCACACAACCACATTAACAACGAACTTGGTTGTACGTACTAATCACAAATGATGACCAAAACTATGTTTATCTTCTTGAACCTCTCCTCACACCCAGCAAACACAAAGTCTTTGACTTTGACTTGACTCATCCAAAAATAAACATGTAATATTCTCTGGTCAGTCAGCCACACAATTCTAATTGCCCACAAGTTCCTGTCTGATTTCCTTTTTACTCTCTCAACCACAGGCTTATCAAATGTATAACTGGAGTAATTTCATAATTATTGAACTTGTACACTCGTCCTTACAAGTACATTGTAGTACGTTTTTCATGCTGTATTGTTCACCAATGAATGACGTTGATTTGTAATTTTGCAGATTTCATCTGAATCCAGGACACCCTCTCGAACGGAGAGACGCAAAAACCGATAACATTTGACCATACGAAGATGATCTCAGCAACGTCCTTAAATGCACCCAGTCCTCTTAACAAAGGGCATCAGATTCCACTCGGACTGGAGAATGGCCGACTGCGCGTGGACTCACAAAAGTTCCTGGTGCCATCACTGCCCGTAAGTGCTCGTGCCGGTGGGGGTGGTCACAGTGCAGATCCGAAGCGTAGGGAAAGATCCATCATAAACGGCACTGCCCACCCCGCTCCTCCCACTGACTATTCCCACCACCAGCTCCACCACCATCACCAGCAGCAGCAGCAGCAGCAACACTCTTTGAGTCATAATAACTACCAAAACCATATAAATGGGTTCAGATCATCGTACCCTCATGGCACCGGAGTTCGAGATCACTCCCCCTCAAGCAGCCCTCACAACAACAACAACAACCACAGCAAACAAACTTCAAGTCCTCACCACCAGGCATATTTACATCTGAACCACAGCCCCAGGAAGGATGCACACTCTCCAATGTACGCAGGAGAAGTGCCCGGTCACAGTCCTGGAGCTGCTGGGGGAAATTACTCTCGGTCATCAATGCCCATTCCCTGCTCGTCCCCTGCCCAGGCGTCATCCGCATCTCCGAAGGGATCACACTCACACTCGCCATCTTCAAGTGGAGCTATTATTTCGAGCAGTGGGAATTACTCCCCAAAACTGCCCGGCCCCGCCATGTTGCCCCCATTACCTTCTGGAGGAGGTGGTTCTGAACTAAGTCCACTGGCTGCGGCGGGAAGGCTGTATCCTGGCTTCCCACCACCACACCCATCCGTTGCAGCGCACCTCAGCCCTGCGTTTTATGCGGCGGCGGCGGCAGCAGCAGCGTCACATTCCCTTCCGTATCCAATGTTTGGATCACCATACAATCCACATTCCCATTCCGCCGCGGCTGCGAGTGCATATTTGGACAGTTTTCACTCTGCGCTAGTTCACAGGGGTTCGGGGAACAACGAAATTCAGCAAAGGTCTCGATCTCCTTCGCCATCACCCCCCAGCAACCGTAGTCTTGGAGGAGCTTATCACTCTGCTCAACCACCACACCCACAACAACACCAATCTCACAATATGAGCTCAAACGGGCCAAATAATAATAATACTGTTAACTCTTCTAATAATACACATCCAAATTCCACTTCAGTAACCTCGCTGCATAATAAACTCATCGAGTCCACCACATCGGACAGCAGGCACGGATACAATGCTCATCACCACGTGTCCAGCGGACAGTTCTCCCCACAATCTTCTTCTTCAATGTCTGGAATATCCAAAGGGGGACCTCTTGGCATTTCTGGGGGCATAATGAACCTCCCATCGTCCTCCCGACTTCCCAATGGCATTTCTCCCCACAAACACAACGCCTCGCAGCAGCCAGAGAACTTGGTTGTGCATCGGCAGTCGATACCACCGTTGAACGGGATGAATGGGTTCAGCTTGTCCTCGAAACAATGGTTGGAACAACACGGGATCAACCCGAACGACCCCATGAACAGGAAGTTGATTTTAGAACTGGAGGCGAGACAAATGCAAAAGGAGCACCCTTTAAAACAACTGCGTATGCCACCACAGTCCCCACCACAAGATATGAGTGTTCAGCATTCTCAAAAAATCCAGAAAAGCATCTCATTTGCCAGTGATACGTACCCACCATCAAATCACAATAATAATAGTAATAGTAGTAATAGCAGTAGTAGTAGATACCCCAATCCTAATAACAATCACCATCCCAGTCATCATCCCTACGCTCATATTATGAACAATGGGCATCACCAAGTTCATGGACAAAGCAACTCACAATCCAACAACAATGCTGGAATTCTTACAGATTCAAATCATGCCAAAAAACAAGTCAATAGTAGCAACAACAACTACAACAATAACAATCATCATCTCCCAAACCTTGTACATGTGTCGCACCCTCCTCCACCCAACAATCATCATCATCATCACCATCATCATTCCGGGCAGTCATCAGGACAACAGTTTCTCCCACCCAGTCCCAAGAAACGTGGGGCAGCAACCCAGTGGAATTTTGCAGTTCCAGCTAACCCAGCCAGTAAAGTGGATCTCCTGCCCCCTCCCGCACCCCCACCGGCTTCTGCCCTCAGTCACAATCTAAACGCTGAACAGATCAAGTACCTGAATTCCAATCTGAACCACAAACCGTCCAACAATCAGAGTCACTCATCATTGCCAGTACCAAATTCACCCTCCGCCAACAGCTCCTCGTACCACCCCCAATCATCTGGACAATCTGCTCAACAACATTCATACCCTTCGTCCCCACGCAGTGGACCCTCAACCCCCAAATCCCCCTCTGTGCACCAAGTCAAATTCAGCTTTAGCAGTGGAAGTAGCAAGGAGAACCAATGGAGTGCAAACAAACAGGGTGCAAAATCTGGGGTAAGGAACGACTCCTCCTCCTCCTCGTCCTCCAACGAAGGCAATGTCCCCTGGCCCGTGGAACAGATGCCAATTTTAGAAGCGTTTCGCCGAGGCTCTCTCATCAAGTTGGCGAATGGAGACTTGCGACCCGTGGAAGTGAGTTAAATATAACAATTTTAATCATATGTATATTGAGATTGGCTCGACTAAACTACACCAACAATTATATTTACGGATGTTTTTAACAATTCTTATTTGAAACATCATAGGATCTCAAGACGGAGGATTTTATTCAGGCGGTAGCGAATCTGTCGGGCACCCTCAAGATCATTCACTGCACGGTGCTCTCTATTCAGCAGAGTGATGCAAAAAATGGGAATTCTTTGTGCAAGGTGACGATGACGGTTGGGTCTCAATTGCAAAATCAACAGGTTAGTCGTCTTCATCCCACTTGATAAATCCATTCATGTGACTCTCTGCTTCACCCTCGGTTAATGTTCACGCCTCAACTGTGCATAAAAACAAGTCTTTATGGTATCGACGAGCGTTTGAAGGAGAGGAGACCATTATTGTCTGCGGATCGTGTGGTCCAGGTGTCTGTTGCATGCGATACATGTGTTGTATGTAGACTCATCTGGCTCATTCATCATAATTGACTAGTTTCTGAGATTCCGAGTAGTAAAACTGAAGCCCATTATGGATATTAACCATAATAATTCGCAGAATGGTCATCATCCATTCGTGCATTGTTGCACAAAATTCACACCGAGGAGAACAATGCAAAACCAGTTTCGAGAGGACATACACACGCGGTGGTGGTGGACAGGATCATTTTTTCTTAAAATTACTGTAACTCAAAACTCAATTACCCCAAAACAGGCAAGGAGAGGCTTCTTCTTGAAACAATGCAAGTTTTGGGTCCTGATTTAACGACTGGACCATGGTCAGGATAATTAAATTGTGTGTTTGTGTGTTATTACCATTACGTTGCGATCTACAACAATCGAACCGGTTGGCTCGTTATTAACAGACCGAGAAGGTGTATATCGCATAATGTGAATATCTGCAGGGTTTAGAATCCTGATAGCAGCGCTGTGTGTGTGAGTAGCTGCCATATAATAGGCAGGCACCCATCGAGCGTGCACATATAGTCCACTGTCCACAATATAATATTTTTCATGTTTTTTTCTCTTATCCACGCTCTTCTCCATAACTCTCTGCGCTTCCCATTATCTTAAATCTTGTTCTGGTGCATGAACCGCAAAGACGTTGGTTGGGATTTTCCTTTTGTTTCATTGTTGAGCAGGAGTCGTCTCGTAGTTGGTTGGATATGCTTAATGGGTTGAAATTGAAATGAAAATCTTAACCTAGACCACAGGCCAAACAGGTATGAAATAATATTATGCGCCATTAAGAGCCAGCGTATCCATCCGTGGAGGCAGTGTTTGCTGTGTTTGCTGAGATTGCATCAAACCAAGGTACTTTTTGCAGAGATATCATTTTACTCCAAGAAACCATGCAATATGTGGTAAGCACTGGTTTAAAAAAACTGATCTCGTCCATCCAACTACTGGAGAGCTGGTTCTTTCCTTTTTTGCTTTGTAGTTCGTGATGAAATGTTATGCTCAAGTTGTTGAGGGCAGTCTCTGTCCATCCGAGATTCGAGGACTGTAATTATTACTCAAGAGACGACGAGTACGATAGTGTGTGGTTGTAAGTTGTAATCGTGCAAGGGCAGGATGCTCTAATTGCAGTACGTACGTACAAGTTCACGTTTTTAGTTCAGATCAGAAGCCAGACATAAAAATTATGCACATTTCGGACATTCTTGAATTTTTGGTAGTCAAATTCTTGACTTTACGTAGTACCCTTTATGGTGAACAAGCAGGTGAAATAATATTCTGCGCTCTAACCCAGACAGGTTCGGATGCATGAAATTGAGGTCTTTGAATCACAATGATACGTAATTTTTGATGCAATGACAATTCAAGTTCGTCCCAACCCAACGACCACAAAAGGCAGCTCTTCCTGGGAGTCACAGAGCAGAAGTAACAATGTAACCGACCGCCGCCGCCGCCGTTGCAACAGGAAGATGACCTACACGCTTGAGCGTTGCAACTGAAACGAGTGTGGGAAACTCTCATGGTCCCCACATTCCAAATCCACTCCTCGTCTGCACTGATCATCGTATGGCCACCATGTCTCCAGCCAAGCACCAACACCACACTTTGCGGTCACTCTTTGTCCGTTCACTCTTTTCCTTAAAATATTCATCAACGGTTCATCTCGTGTACCATGTTGTGCGAATAATCGGTGGTGGGGGCAAGGAAAGCACGTACTCAGAGATAAGAATCACCTGTGTGTGTGAGTAGTAGGAAAATGCAGTGAATTCATGACCATGACCGTGATGGTAATCAATGAGCACTCATTCAACTTTGATAATTTGATGTAAACTCCTCAGAAATACTAATGAGCCAACACGTACAAATTCATATAATTAAAACCATTGAAATGTTTAGACTCACTACATTTTGCACCATATAATTTTATTGTGTAACTTGTTATTTTGTTAGTAGTGAGCGACGGTTAAGTTATATAAATGTTGGTATTTAAACTCCAAGTTCATGGTCACCAGCTCTGCAGAATTTCAAAGGCGGAGGAGGGACGAGACGTATAGCCGTATAAACTCATTGAGAGGTGATAATGTATGTATGTCGGTAACCACATGATGGTAAACATACCATATGACATGGTCCATACGCCACTCGTCCCCGTCGTTCGTTAGACCGTAAACCAAAACCCAAAACCAAAATCAAAAGATTTTGGTTACAAGGAAACTTTGTCACGAGTCCATTTGAGGAAGGTTGCCGGGAGGAGGAGGAGGAATTCTTAAGAGAAGAAAGAAAAACAATCTCATTCATAAAACATGTCCATTCTTGGAAAGGATGATCATATGCATCCATCTCCATTTACATAATCAGGTCTTTTGAAACACTGTGGAGATGCTTTTCCAAGCCCATCTAAGGCCTAATAACTCCTTCGGCACTACAACAAAATCATCAACGGCAGTGATGTGTCCAATGTATAACGAAATGTGGAATATGCACGTGTGAACTTTTTGACGCCTGCTGTTGGAGATTTTTTATGGTTTGCACTTTTTGGCATTCATAATAATGTGCATCCATCTTTTTTGGTGTTTATTCAATTATTTTTAATTTGAGAAGCAATCTCGTACTTTTTATGGAAATTCTCTATTCTCGCAACATTCTGACTTGGAGATGGAGTCATGCAATCCATACGTACATCATTTTCCTGTGCTCTTAGATATGTATGTACGTGTACCATGAAGATGATACGCATCACCATATCGCGTCAAAATTGGTGCTAATTTTCATTGCATTGCATAACTCGGAAGATAATGATACAATTAGAATACACGCTTCAACATCTTTTCTTCCCATTATTTATCCAATTTACCCGACGTTTTTCTAACCTTTTTGTGGTGAAACTTGTAAATTAATTGGATAGATGCGAACATTTATAGCCGTTTTGTTAACTTATATAACATTTTTTACGTCATATTCACAGTCGACTGAGTTTGTACAAATGTACAAATCTGGAGTTGTTCTGATTAGTGATTACCAAAAATCAAGAGTGGAACACGCCACAAAAGTGTTGGTTAAGTAACTGACGATGTGCAGACAAATTCGTGAGTTTCTGCAGATAAATTAAATTCAAAGATGGGAAGAAGGTATTTATAGCATTAGGGAAACTGGAACAGCGGAACACACAAACAAAGCACTTAATGTACTCCATGCGGCAGGTGAATGCCATGTTATGTCGTGCTACACATGTCCCCCGTAACTAACCCTGTGTTTAGCTACGTATGTACATCTCGGGCGTATTTTATTTATTTTTATAGCACGTACAACTACGTCTTATGCAATTTGCACAACACTACAATAAGGAAATAATATCGTGCAGACAGTCGGATATGCACTATCCCAAGTGTCGCGTTGTTGTGACGGGAATTATTGCAATTGTTTGCAACATCTGTCTCCCAGGTCTCGCCAAATCCTGACTCTTTCCCATTCGCACAATTTGGAGAGAATGTTGTAAAACATGTATGCAAACATCCAGAGAATGCCCAATTATCTATGATTGCATTTGCGATGACGCGAAAACGGAGGATGTGACTCTTAAATATGTTTTTTTAAGAACAAAGATTTGTAGATGCATGTCTGTTCTAAATGTTTCCTGCTAATTGAAGCTCTGAGATGATAAGTAACTTGGTCTCGTGTTAAAGAGTTCGTGAGTGAACAATGAAACGACGAGCTGAGCTAATGAACAACCAACAACAATCTCCGTCTAGGATTTACGATCGTGTTATTGTTGTTGGAAATTACGAGAGTGAAAATGCCACTGTCCATGAAATCTCTTTGTCTCTGACTGATGCATGATGGGCACTTTTGTGTCTTCTTAAGTGTGTATATGTGGCGTGGCGTTGCTAACTAGCAGCGTTTTGTTGAAATTGCAAAGTTGGCGGTAACAAAATAGCGACACAATCTGTGCTAAAGAACCGACAATTAAAACGTGGTAGGAAAAACACGATGATAACAAGATGAAGAGATGCAGGTCGTCAGAACGGACTAGAGACAAAAGCGGAATTTTTATGGCGAATTTTACTACCACAGCCAAAAGTTACGAGCGGACCAACATCACAAATTCAACCTACAAATATTTTGAACGCTATAAAATATGCATTATGTTTAGTGGGGTGCTCATGCATCACTGGAATTGGTTTGTAAATGTTGGTTTGTTGAAAATAATGGGGAGGTTTTTAAGACATGTCTGATGTCTGGGTTGTGGACTTTCCCATCAAACCGGATGAAACCCATGCTGCACAAGCGTCTTATGTATTTGTCTGAAATATGTATGTGCATACTTTCCTCTACTTTTTAAAATTTATATATTTGCACTTTAGATCGGTAAAGACCTCATTTAAACATGCTACACAACAAAAATAAGCCACATTAATTTCGCAACGCATTCATGCAGTTGTCTATAAAAATTATGAAGTACAAATTTTTGCAGATTTTTGATAAGAGAAAGAATACTTGGTGTGCACCTGACGGCTGACTCTCCCCAAACTTTTATTTTACACCACATCAACAGCAGACTTGATTTCTCCTTATCTGCCCTGTTACGACGGATTCTTAAGTTCGTAAACAGATTGTAAAACAGCTTTTGAATTTAAAAACTACAAATGAAAAGGTTGATTACATTAAAAATATGTATCAGTGGTTCCCATCTCCCGTAGGTTTACCACATTAGGGACATTTTTATGTTAATTTATCGACCAACTGGTCACTAAATTCTCAACTCACTCCCCGTCAGAGTCTTGATAATGACAAAAAAGTCCTTCGTAGTAAATACGAGTGCCAGCAAGATATTCCGTAGTAAGTCAGTGTTAAAAGATCAGGAGCAAGCAACCCATCGCTGTCCGTTGCCATCAATGATTGGGACAACTGATGCTAAAGAACTTTTGAAAATAGTAAAAAAAATGCCCCTGGTTTCGATTAGCATACGTGAAGAAGTTGCGTAATAAAACCACAACTGATTCAACATTATTCTTCGGATGAATGCGTAAAGATAGAAATCTACAATTCCATTTTACTTAAATCCCAGAATATTGTTAATTTAACAACAACAATGAGACGTAGTAGAGACTGGTTCAATTTAAACAAGTACTTACCAGACATCCAGTAGCTCCTCATTTACATGCATGAAGAATAATGCACATTAATTGGTGACGTATGCAAGTAGTCGAACACTGTAAGAAACACCAAGAAATGCACCCAACCGGGCACAAAGATGATGATGTCGAAGTAATAATGAAGTAAACAGGATATACATTTATCGGGTACCTGAAATAGTAATAGCGCATTTAATAGCTCATTTTCTTTGAATACTTATATTCTGCCGTGTGTGCGGTTTATCTAATTTTTCAATCAGACTGAAATTGTCACGGCCGGCGGAATTACGTATGCAAGTGGCTGTGCAGGTAAAAAATGTTCAACAACATCAACAATTTTCAAACGCAATTTTGTTTATGATCCCACACAAAATTTACATATCGCATGCTGACGCTGTTATAATTTAGAAGTTTTAGTTTTGGTTGTACTAGAACATCTCCTCAGCTCGGGAAGGTTTTGGTTTTACATGATAAGTTTACACGACCACTTGATGCCACGAAGATGCAGAGAGAAAGAAAGAAGGACCATGTTTTGGGTCGAAACTTATTATTATTTCTAATTCGAACATGCAACACTTATTTCATAAGTAATCATAGTGTCACTGTAAACCTTAATAAATACACACACCAGGTTGTTTGGTTATGTATTTGTACCGACTGCAGATGAGTCCACTATTCCTTCTTCGAGGTAGTCCTTACTGTGATTATGGGCAAAGTTGAAAGTTGTAGAAGAATGCAGCAATTGTAAAATGTGTAAAGTGGTTGGCAAAGCGTGCAGCGAAAAGAATGCCCGTGCAGGCAATTGTAGTTTATCAAATAAAAAATAAAAAGGATTTTGGTCTGGTTGCCGAGAAATCAATGTGTAGAGAGGACCTTGCCGAGAATTAACCTCTCCAACTTGATCTACGATCAAATGAAACCCAATCCAGTTTAGTAACAATTTAACTTTTGGTCCAAATTGGATTGCACAACAACTTAAAAAAATGATAAAATTGACAGTAACACAATAAGAAGTGCGGACCAAGCTTCTAGGACCAGTTGAACTATCCCATTTCAAAGAATAAGCCGGTTTTATAGTTATTGGTCGTCCACTCAAAGACGTATGAATTTGTGCATACGTAAATTGTGGTACAATTCCATTGTTTGTGAATTCAATGAAGCAGGACCTTGGAGCTTGGTTGGCTTCTTCTCGACGTGTTCAGCAGTTAATTTATTTCAGTTGTCATTCAGTTGATTCAGTCTCACCTGCTTCTAAACTCCAAATAAGTAAATATTTCTCATGCTCGACTTGATGAGATTCCTCCTTCTTTTCTGCCACTCGCTAACTGGAACAATTCCAGAATATGTACCATTGCATCATTAATAAAACTATGTTATTGGTCAATACTGCAAAAAGATGTTCTTCTCACAACATTTGCATAACACAGTTTCGTCTTGGCATGATTTTCCCGACTAGATCACACCTTGTTCCACTTTACGACCATGTTCACAAGTTTGATTATATAAATCAGATGAAATTATGGTACTGCTACCAGCTACAATTGGCCATACATAGTTAAAAGGCTGAAACAATTGAAAGCACCTTCCACTTTTTCTTGATTAGCATTGAGATTGCAGAGTACACATGCTTCTCCTCCATCCCCGACAAGTAAAGTGATTCTAAAGAAACTTTGCTACAATAAAGAACTTGTTATGCATATTTTCCAACTCATCGGGGCTCTCGCAAGGAAGAAATGTGACACTAATTATGTCTTTTTTGTTTGATTCACTAGGTTGTGGTGCCATCAACGCCAGAACAGCCATTTTTTGTTCTGGGCCGAGGCTGGTCATCCCTCTCGCCTAAAACGACGGAGAAGCTGCTACAACTGCCCTGCTCCCCTTTAGCCGTGGGCGATATTTGCATCACTTTGTCAAAGTCAACCCCACACCTGGCTCCAGTTCAAGCACCAAAAAGTCACAATAATCATGTCCCCAAGAGCCCCCGAGGTAGAAAACCTGGGAGTGGTCGTAACGGAGTGAATCCTGCGAGCTCCCCCACCGCCAAACAACGATGCGCGCAACAAGTCTCTTCTTCTCTCATCCCCTCTGCTACGAAACCAGCCGGTGAAATTCACGTCGAGAAACCTACCAGCAACTCTGAACCCATTAAACGACACAGCATGGGTCCTCCCTTGACTACTGGTGTCACCAACAGCAGCGTAATCACTACCAACATGGCATCGTCTACTTCTTCGTCTACTACTGTTAGTACTGCTGCTGTTGTTAGTTCCATTACCGAGGTGGTAAAACTCAAGGAAGAAGACGTAGAAGAGCTCGAGGATAATCGACCCCCAAGTCCAAAACGACGTCGATGGTCTGCCCCGGAGCCTGAAATTCCTGTGTCAACCCCACCACCAGGATCTTCTGTTTGTGACAAATCATCCATCAAGGAGAAAGAGGAGCAGAAGAGTGAAGCAATTTCTCTCCAGCCGGCACCATCATCTCCAAAAACTGGCCAAAAAACGCCTCCTCCATCAACTCCAGCGGCGGAAAATAAAGACGACAAAGATGAGCAGCAGCGTCCCCCAAGTGATGCAGATGACAAGAGGAATAGCGACCACCCGCTTGAAACTGACGTAAATAGCAACGTGAATGTCAAGGACAATGTCAGCAGTGCTATGGATTTGGATCAAAGGGGGTCAACTGATGCTCAATCTGCTGTAGCTTAATTAACTCTAGAGGAATTACAAAACTTGTAAAAGAACTGCACCCTTAGACTTACTACAAATTGTCAGAGAGCTTTAGAAAATGTCTTGTACATTCACTCACGAGTCAATCACATGGAGGAATTCATAAACTATACACTGATTACGACAGACCAATGTTGGAAACAAGTTTTTGGTTACAAATAGAATTTTATGTATGTAGTTTACGGTAAACAGCAATTCGAATTATCCAGTAATTATACTGCTGCTCGTGCAAATTACATCATACTTCTTATTATATTATATGATTGACTATGTATAGCAGAGCTGAAGGAAATGATCCAGCTTCATAAATACCAAAATTGTATGGGCTGATTATTATCTGATACATGATACAAAACCACTTGGCTTCATTTCTCGCTTTTTTAAGAGTCTTAAAAGAAGAATGCAAGACTGTCACTCTAAATCGATATATTTAAATATGTATATGCATACAGATATATAAATAGGTTGTCATCACAGATTTACCAACATTTTCTTTGTTGCTTCTTGATTTATTTATTATAAATAATTATTCAAAGTGCATAATTGAGTTTGTACTTGCTGCCATTCGCTATTTTGATTGTAGCCCATTTTTCATCGTTAATTAATTCATATTATAATTGAGTAAAACATATTTAAGAAATATGTTCAAACGTTCAGCAGAAAGGAAGCAAAATAAGTTATCTCAAATTTTAGTGATCTCAGAACACAAAATTGTAATACACAGTTCAACTGCTTGCAGGGAGTTTTATAATTTCAAATATTTGACTGATCACCTGAAACGTTAATTTAACCATAATAAATATTTGCATCATCTCATTTCGTTCTCATAAAAAGGGGAGATTTTTTTCTGTTACATTTAAAATTGGCTTATAAATATTTATCTCGTAGGATTTCCTCATATTTGATTTGCTGCTCATTTTTTGTTGTCTATTGTCTACTTTAAATTTCAAACACTTGAGAATACAATAAATATACACAAATCGGCATGCGTGAGTTTAAAGCATGAAACAGGTGAATAAGTAAAATAATGGTGATGAAATGTAAATTTAGGGACTGAAATATTCATATTGTTAACGAATGAGTGGTTGTTGCCGTCTGCTGGACCGACCATTTAGATATCATTATAAAATTTTAATGCATGTCCTTCCTCAGCAGCATGTTGTCGAAGGTGGAAACTTAACCTTAGATTTGATGTCTATTTTCATAAATTAAATATTCTTCACCTGAAAACAATCCACCTTTGGGTTGGGTAATTAAGAATTATTGGAATGTAACTTATTAATGTATGGCCGATGAATACATGCAAAAGTAATTGTAGTCGTCTCGTATCAAGCTGTGGTCGAGCTTGTAATTTTATCCATTCGTGAGCAACTGAGTGATTGACGGAAAAGTGACAATGACAGAAAGTGATGATCACAAGAATGTATAAATGTATGTAGAATAATGTACCGTTTAATTACAAAGGCCCAGCAGTACAGATAAAAGGAAATATTTTATCCCCTCCTCCTGAGAAGCCCATTTAATGAGCATCATTAAATGTTCCTCTACCGTTAGAAATGTAACGAAACCCTTTAAAGAAAGGTTCGAAAGTTGTATGTGTGACATTGAACCTGGTGCTGAACGCAACTCCAAACATGCTAAATGTGATATTAATTCTCTATATTTGTTGATATGCATGTACATACAGTAGTGGTTTCACAATATCTTCTGGTGATATATACACACATATTATATTAAAATATTTGTTATTGTTTTGCAATTTACAATCGTATACTCAAAATATTGTTGGATTTTTTGTAGCGTAACCAAAATTTTGTCACAATCACGACGATTATTCAACTGCTTCAATAATCAACTTGTGTCCACTGCGATAAGATCCCGTTACAACTAGTGAAGTGATGTGGATACGCTATTATTCTCTCTCTTTTTTATAGATGGATGTTCTAAATATGGTAGAAAATATTCCTGATGGTTACACATGAACGCTTATGAAAAATGTATAAGGATATAGAAACTAAGAATAAACTTTTAAATGTAAACTGCGACTGTTGAATAGAATGGTGATTAATAAATACATAAACGATGATGTGTGCATTCAAAAAAGTGTAAAAATCGTTAAATTGATACCTCTCGTGTAAATTATTGACCATCTAAATTTTATGAATTATAACTTATTGATTATGGAAATTATTTAATCTTATGACACCACTCGTTGATAATGTTATCAAAATGTCTGTAATTCGACCATACCGTTCAATTATATGTACTGAATGACTTGCAGATGCTAAATATTATATTCAGTTTCGTAAGTGGGGGGAGTCGCGGATCACCAAAATGTATGTATCTCCACTCATCATCAGTGAAAAAAAACGGAAAAAGAATGATAGTATATTTATTTAGAAATATGTGACATGACCTGTTTAGAAACTTGGATGGAAATTCTATTTGAAATAAAAATGTCAGTGATGAAATATTTATTACTTGTTGGATTCAATTCTTTTATCGAAACCTCAAAGTTGTGCTATTTTGTGCATCGAGTTTGTATTTTATTTCAAGGGTCATCATAAATGGTGCACGTTCATATTCATATTTTCACAAATATCATTGGAATCTCACAAAGTTAAATTATAGAATAAAATATCACCTTAACTGTTTATTAAGAAAATATTATTATTTTACACGACTTAGTTTATTAGTTTTCTGTAAATTGATAGTGTCAGTTGTCATAAATTCTCAAATCTCTAATTTGTCTGTCAAGTAATACATCCCAAAACGCATGCACACTAATCTGTCTTGTAAAAAATTGCATATCAGGTACATTGGTCAATCGAGTGAAGTACAAATAATTACATTATCTTTGTCGCACATTATTTATACTTCCGAATTCGCTTTTTACTAGAATCGAGAAAATCTTGAGCTGAGATATTTTCCAAAAAGTTAAGAGGGGTGACTTTTCCCTGTCTTTTCTTTCCACTGCTCCCCCCACCAGAGGAGGACGGGGCCAAAAGCAGCGGCTTCTTCTCGCCCATCGTCCTGTCATCGTCGTCTTCGTCATCTTCCTCGTCCTCGTTTTGTCCCCCTTTGCCACGCCCACCGCCGCACTCTGAGCAGGAGGAACAGGAACACGTGGAGGAGGACGAGGAATAACTTTCACTGCTGTCGCATCGACTGCTCTCAGAGTCCGAATGACTGAGAATACTTGTCCGTCGATCGGAACTTTTTTTCACGTGGGTCAAACATTCCTTTTTCCGAATCAAACTTAATTCCAGCCTCCTCAGAAATCTGTCAAGTAAAAACGCAAATAATTTAGTGTTTTACTAGGGGAATAAATAATAAATAACTTTCTCCAAACCGAATTTGATGGCTGATTGTTCGGAGTCTTGAAATCTTGCGGATGGGAGGAGTAAGTGTCCTGCTGGTCAGTTCGCTGCTACCTCCTCGCGATAAAGCGGACGCTCTGGGCTCTGGTTTCAATTCTTCTTTGTCCTGTTAAACAACATAACATACAATTTTATTAATGGCTAGTTTTGCATGTGAATTTAGAAAGTTCTGCGTCACTCGCTTGTAAATACGCGTTCAAATTATTTATGTTCTTACCATTGACGATTTAATGGAACTACTTTCTTCCAAGGATCCTGCGCATGGAAGAAATACGCTCGGACTGCTCGGCTGATTTGAATCCTGGTCCTGGAAAATGGGAAGGGGGCTGTTGTTTCTGCTCGTGTTGCGACTATTTTGCACAGAGCTCCAACTTGTCCTACTCCTGAAAAAACGATCAAATATAATTGAAGTGCTTTTATCGTTCTGGTAGAAATAGCAAACCTACCTTGGTCGTGATCTTATCGACGCGAGACTTTCTGAGGAGCTTGAGCTAGCATTATCCATGTTAGGCTGAGCCCTAATTCTCCGTTTCGGACTTGCCCTTTTGGGCGAGACTGAGGAAGATGGGAGAGCTTTTGCCAAATAGGGTGGCAAGTGGAGATGCGAAATTTGCCTAAAATCAACTTGGAGTTCACCATCTCCCGAAAGGATGGGATCTTGGGAATCACCACCGGTTGCTCCTTTGTCACTGGTCGTATCAGCGGATGAGGCCGGGTTTGCAGATAGCAAAGTATTGTTGCCCCCTCGCGTCGGTTTTCTCTCTTTCCTTTTTCCTGCGGATCGTCTTGGGGGATTTGAGCGACTTAAGGGAATCAGGCCAAGTCTTGTCCCAGAGGTGATGGCTTGAGTATCCGTCTCGTTGTTATTCGTCAGAACCTCAGAGCTCCCACAATCGTAAACCCCGTCAGAATCTGTTAGCGGAGATCCGAGGAAGCTGAAACCGCCCGTAGCACTCAATTCACTTAAAGGACTTTCACTTCTGGAGCTTGCCGGAGAAAGTCGCCGTTCCTTCTCTTCTGGAATTTCTATTAAATTTCCACAGTTTTTTCTCCCGGATAAATTTGAGATTGAATTTGACAATGGAAATATTATCGTCACTCCAGTTGTAGACAAGAAGCCTCGATCAACGTTGTTCAATTTGGAGTCCAGGCTAGGCCCCAGTCCTCGAAGTAGCTGTCCCTTCTTATCCAAATTCCGTCCGTCAGGAATGGAATTGGGATCACTGGGTGAATACTGATCAACAGCGGAAGCATTCGATCCACCAATGTCCAAACTCCGACTCTTTGGCATTCCTTTTTTGGGAACTTGAAGCAATGTGTTCATTTCATCGTTACGTTTCATGTCTTCCGAGAGGATACCAGGCTGCTGATCTGTGTTCATGGACATTGCTGGGTTGTCAACTTCGGATGACAAGGTGATGATGGCGCAGCTTTCGACATCAGTTTCCACCTCCACGGCTGAATCTGTTTCTACCTCAACCACCACCATCTCGCCTCGTCTTTCTCCTAAACCAGGCCCCTCGTGTTCGCAAAGCATGTTTGAGTTATCACATAGTAATCCAGATGTTGCGTGGTGAGGAGCGTTAAAGGAGCTGCGACGTAGGGGAGCAATTAAGAGTTTCTTGGGGGTTCCTGGGGTCAAGGAAGCCCTTCTTTGGGCTCCGTGGAGATGGGAACAGGTGTGGTAATCTTCTGCCTCGGATGGGCAAAGGGGACTCACGGAAGGGCAGCGCGAAGGACAGGGACTCGCCATGGAGGAGTACCCTGAAGTGCTCAAGTTGGACTCGGAGGGGATTCGGTCCGATGTTCCAGCAAATGGACTCAAAAAGCATAGATTTGGACGAAGAAGCATGTGTCGCTGAGCGGGCGTGTCGTCGCTGGACGACTCAGCCTCTGAACTCTGATTTATCGTGATGGTTGGAGGGACCAACGGGTTTTCCTTCGCAGAATGTTCGAATATTATGCTTGGAATCATTTCTGGTAGTGTTTTGCAGAGTGAGTGATGTGAAGCGTCCTCCTCCTCACAGTCCATCTTTGGACCACCTGTAATAATGGATGGAAACTTGGGCAGGTATTCTGCGACAGGAGTTGCATATTCAATGTTGACAAAAGGAACGACAATTTTGACGTTTCGATCATCGTCGCCAGGCCCCTTGTTGCTGCAGCTGAGAATTTCATTGGCAAAAATGAGAGGTGGGGGTCTGGTTTTTACACGTGGCGAGGTGAGTGGCGTTTCCACGTCCCTGACAGGGGACTCAAGATCAGGCTGGCTTTCCGAACATCGTTCTGGCGGAACATGGATCAACACGTCTGGAATCACTTCCGACTCACCGGTTAGGCTGTTGTAAAACAGTTTGCTCTGTGCTTTCTTTTCCTCTTCCCTATTGTTTCCATCAGGGTCACCCTCAATCATGTTGAGAGTATCGATCTCCGTCCCTCCATCTTCAGCAGCATCGTCAACTGATATAGAAATGATTGGGATTCGCAACATTCTTGGCGGAGGTGAGTCTTTCTTTGAAGAAGAGCTTCGCGTCGTGTCATCATCCTCCGAGCTCATGAGGATTTTAATGGAGGGGAGGTTCTCGTCGGCGGACATTCTCTTCATCATTGGTGTGTGACAAGGTGAATGCGATGGTGTTCCCAACGGCGTTGGCACTTCGTGGATTGGAGATAAGCAGTAGTCTCGCATCGGTACTTCCAACGTGATGCTGGAGGCTGGCGGTGCTCTCCAGCATCCTTGGTTTTGAGCAAATGGGTCAATCACGGGCTGTAATTTGAAAAACAAGGAGTGAAGTGAATGAATAAGAGAGCTTTCACAATTTTAGTTCAACTTTGACGTACCAACTCGATTGTGTTGTTTGGTTCCGGAACTGATGTGATCATCAAGGCTGGAGGTCTAATTGATAACAGCGAGTTTCTTGGAGAGAGGAAAAGATAAATTGATTAAATTGTGGCTTTTCATTGTTAAATGTTAAGTTAACTGAACATGATCAGCACTATAAATAAAGTGACATTTAATTATTATATATCTCAAATATTGCTTTCTTTAATCATGTTCATTTAACCTTGTCATTGAATCAATTAGATTCGATTTAGTGATTTAAAATCACTAAATTTAATTACCTCGGAGAACTGGGAGTTGACAGCGGTGTTGCTCCTGATAGAAAAACAATTGGTTAGAAAATAATATTTTTATATGTTTCTAATACATAATACGGCATTGTTTTTTGTTTCGAACATTATTCAACATTCTTTATACGCATAGTTTTGCGTGTCTCATGTGTGGACCCATAGTTGCGTTCGATTGTAGTACTTAGAATAATATGAGATGATATAAATAATATGATTAGCATACGAGCCGACCTACCTGCTGAAGATTCCTCGTTCTCCGAATACTGCGGACTGGGGGGCGCAGAATTGGACCCCGAAAATCTTTTGAATAAAGCCAGCAGTGAGTCTGCACTAGCAATTTTTGGGATTTTCTGACTCGGCTTTCCCAGAGCGTTGCTTGAACCTCCGGCAGAGTTGCTCGCTCCGGTGGGACTTATACATAATCGAGTTGGAAGTTTGGGAATATAAATTGGATCGGGAGTTGTATCTGATGAGGAGATGTCCATGTAGTCCTGATCCGTCTCACTGTTCCTTCCCCGGTTGTAAGCCTTATTGCTTCGGCGAAAATGACCCTTCCTGTCCTTCTTTGATTGTGGTTTCGGAGCAACCACCACCATTTTCGTCTCCTCCGTGCAACTGAGGTCTGAACCCGATGAGGACGAAGTGATTCCTGAAGCAGCGAGTTTGTCCAACATCCGTGCAAACGTAACTTTCTTCTCGGCCTTGATTGCTGCCTGTGTGGAGAAGCTGGTCTCCTCCTCGTCGGCCCCTGCCTGTCTCGATGTGCAGGGTTCACCCCCTCCACTGACGGACCCTGCTTCACTTTGCATGGACGAGGCAGAGGCCAGGCGAAGTCGTCTCTCGCTCATTTGTATGATTTCTGCCAGCGTGGGTTTCGGAGTCGGGGCTGGTTTGCTTTCTCCGTCCAGGGATGAGCTCCCCCCTCCTGAAACCAGTTGCTGAAGGATCAATTGCTTCTCGGCCGGATCACGTCGCACTTGAACAGAGTAATTTCGTCGTCGGTGAGGACTTGGGGTTCCTGCAGAGCATAATTATTGTAATAATGAGTTAATCTCATCAATAATACATATATTGCACATCTTCCTCCTTAACAATATGCTAGCTATCTCTGATTCTATCAAAAATGCATAGTGCACTGATGGGACATATGCTAATTACAGAATGCATTTGATAATCTCAATTAATTTCAATCTCCGCCACACATATATAATTACTCGTTCTAGTTTTGCATATGTCCATTTTATGATGGATGACCATAATTTACATAATTAAGAAAGTGAAAGTTTGTCACTCACTCATCATGCTCCGGGACGGACGAAGGAGGTCGTCGAGGCTGAACGTTCTGTTCTCATACGAGTGTGGGCTGGCCCCAGTTCCGGAAACGTTGGAGGTGGCGGAGGAGAGTGAGAGGAGCGAGGGTTTGCGAATACCAATCCTGCCAAGAAATGACCTGGACGCTGGAGGGCTGACCGCCTGTTGTTGCGACGTACCTGGAATTGGTTCACGAACTGAGGCACCCCCACCTACCCGAAAAGATGGAGAGCGTCCAGAGGAGACTTATTTCGGTTCGAAGATGAGAAGAAAACATCGAGTGCAGGCACGACAGCAATGAACAGCAACATCAAGCCAGCAAGAAGAAGAAGAAGAAGAAGGAGGAGGGAGAGAGAAAAAAAGAGATAATTCAGCACGTGACGACACCTTACCTCCAAATTCCAGTGTCAATCAACACCAAAAGCAAAAATATTTTGCAACAATAATAATAAATTTGACAATGGGTTCATTTTTGTAATTTCTTTATTTCTTTTTGACGGGAAAGGAGAAAGCGTAGGAAGAAATTGTTCACACTTGATCTCTCAGAGATGAGATGATCGTGACCCTTGAGTGAAATTCTCCTGGCATGTTTGCTCACCACTACTGACAATCTGTCGAGGATAACTCAATCTACTAGATCTACCAACTAATTCTACGTACGTACTCATGTCAAGTAAGAATTCGAAAATAAACGTAATTGTTCTCACTTTGCGGAGGGGGATGGATGGAGCAAATGGGACGGGCGGAGGGTTTCTCTTTGTCGAGGAGTTTTGATAAGGTACCAACCAACAAAGATTATTCAGACAATTTAGGCGATGCGTGAGAAGGGAAGGCATTCAACTTGCTTGTGTGGCATGCATTTCGCAAACCTTTTTTCATTCACTTCATCCTCAGTCTGCGGTAACAAGAATGAAAAAGAGCACAATCATAATGTTAACATAACTGCACACATATCTCTCCAATTCCTCCAGGCGGCTCCAGCCAGTCAGGGTGGCCGCCTTACAAAATAGCAACTCAAGTATTCATTTCCATGTTTTGTTACAAGAAGTTCTCTTTTGTCGTGTATGTCTCAGACTTGGCTGGCTATGTAAAGTACGTATGTGTGGAAATATGGAAGTCGAAATGGGAGCCACATGTAGTCAAGTGTGCTGTCATATTTCAAAATTATGGCTTTCGGATATTAAACCAGCTCGAAATGGGTTTTTCGGAACAATGATTACGCAGGCTTAAAAAAGTGACAGGTAACGACGGCGTTTGCCAACGCTGGAAATGTGAAGCTGTGTCGAAACCGGTCGGTGGTGGTGTCCTCAACGAGAAGGAACGCATTGTTAGTTATTAGCAGCGATACGTGAAACTAAAATATTATTAAACTTAACGATGAGTTACTACGATAAGTTAAGACTGAAATGAGACCACATCACATCACGCTTTCGGATATTCCATAACACGTAGTAGTAGTACGTACGATGGTATTTATTTACAATGCAAAAAATGGTGAGACAAGATTGATGATGAAGCGAAGAGAGAAGAATCTCCTTCTCATATTGCATGCAGAAGAGAGTGCGGTTGTGGGTGTCGGAGGTACAAAATTGCTTTGGGTGACGGATGATCTGTCTCAGAAAAAGGAATGACATCGCCACCACCGTAAAAATGCTAAACTATTTTATGATACAATCTTCCAGAGAAATGAGCCGCGCCAACCAGGAGATGACGAGAATGGGCTACAGACAATAAGTGGTGAATGCGTCATTATTAAGGAGTGCACACAATACGATCAACTCGTGAAATGTTTGCTATTTGGAAAATTAAAGCATGTGCAAAGCCAAGCCAGCAGCCGGTGGGAATACGAGCAGAGAAGAAGGAATATGAACTAAATAAGTGATGCTGGTGGTCGTGTGGTTAGTTTTTGGGGGAGAAAAGAACAACTTTGAAGTAGACGTTGCAATATCAAATGTATATCTGGCTCGAGTAAAAGGTAAATAGCGTAAATAGTGAATAAGAAGTGAGCTTCCTGACTTTTGTAGTACGCTGGAGAGCAAAGTATGAAATATTTGGATGGTTTTGACTTGGTTTGTGGTTCCTCGTGATGTTCAGACTCGTGGTGAAAGAGATTATACAGCAGAGAAAGAACGAGTACGAGGAGGGGAACGCGTGGTGGTGAAAGTTTTGCTTCACATTTGTGGGAAAGAGAAAGAGAAATACTGCGGTATGGTGTGGGGTAGGGTACACAAGATGAGAGAGCAATAAGATCTTGTCTTGAGGGAGGAGAGAAAGAGAGAAAGTATGACGACGAAGAGAAAGTGAGAGACATTTGAGAAGTTAAAACACATTATCTCATCATACCCCACGAGATTCCTCTATTCTTGTCCAGATCCTCGTTCAACAGCTTCTCCAGTTTCTCGGGAAAATGGCGTTTAAGACACCAGATGAGACCAATTACACCCAACACCCCCGTCACCGTGAGCAGTCCCAGCCAAAACGGCTCCTCAAACACGCGCTGCGACAAGGGCTTGAAGGGGATCACCAACATGCGAGACTCGCACTGCGGACCTGTGACAAGAGGAGAAAGCTGATTTATTTAATTCCGTATGCGCATTTATTACAGGGATATATTTCTTATGCATGTAGTATAATTCTGAGCATTTATGGATGTACAGACTTCGTTTCATCCATAAATGGATGAAACGAAACGCGCATTATGCACTAGCTCGACCAGTAAAATCTTTGCACGGCAAAGCTTTTGGATGGCACGCCAAGGTCAGAGTTGGATTTGTTTGAAATTAGTTGGAATCCATCCACCAAAGAATGACGACTGTGGACGTCAAAGGGCGCAGCCTATATTATCAGTAGCTGACCCTGCCGTATAGCCACCAACGCTTCGCCACTCTCCTCGTTTATACTGCTACATGCAACTACCCAGCTCATAAAAATAAATAATTTCGTTACGAGCACTAAATTAAATTGGTTGCGCTTTCTGCAACCAAAAGTGCATCCAATAAACTCGCTTCATTTCACGGTAATATTCGTAAACTACTCAAACATTTATGAAATGTGTCTCCTGTGAATCCCAATCTCCAGAAATGTCGTCGTAGAAATGTTCCTTTGAAAAAATCCAGATCTGAGATGGCACAAAATAAAAGCAAACTCCGGCTGAACGGACTTTGTCTACGTAGACACACGTTAATAGAATGACTCCCTTTATACTTTCTCCTGGCCAAGTTACGCCATATTTACGCTACAACATTGGAACAGGCTAATGTCATCACCATTACAAACCAGGAGTTGGGGTCATCCAGCATTGAATCATTTATTTACATACGTAGTACAACAAATTGAAAATCTGCAGCTTTTAGACCTGTTGCATTATTCACAGCTACATACAAGCCAAACCTCCTTTCTCGTCTCTCTTCTCTCGGTCTGTGAATGTAAGTAACGTCGAGTGAAGAGACTACTTTCGCACGACTTTTATTCGGAAGGAGGTATTTCAACTTTTATTTAAGCTGATTAAACGATCTTACGGAGGAGGGTTGAAAATGGAGCAGTGTAAAAAGGTCCACCACATATTTAATAAATATAAAGAGTTGATTTACCTTCCCACCAAGCATAGCACATGCATTTGTACGCAGTCTTGTTCGTTTCCACGCAGGAGCCATGACCGGAGCATGGATTGTCATCACAAGGTTTCATTCGACGGTCACATCTAACGTTTTCATATTTTATTACGACGCTATACATAAGCAGCCCACACATAATAATTATAAATCTGATGGTAAACCTTTCTCCGCCGTAGCCCAACTGGCACACACACTTGATTGACTTTTCCCCTAAAATACAGTCCCCAAATAGACACGGGTTTAAGTCGCAAAGACTGAGCCCACAAAATGGACCTACATAGATTAAAAATTAAACATTGATTATTGCATTGCACGAAGTTTGGCTCGCAAATAAATACGTAACGCCGACTTGGAAAGAAGAGACTCGTAACTTGCTTTACCTGTAAATGGAGCTGTGCAACGACAAATGTGGTGTTTTCCATTTTCAGATATGCAACTGCCCCCATTAGCACACGGGTTATTCATGCAGCCATCCAATTTGAGGAGTCGATCTCCATCCGCTAAAACTTTGGCTCGAAAGTTCTCGTCTAAAATGAAGTAGTTGACATTTTAATCTCAACAACCCACGGAACAGTGTGTGATAAGAAAAGAAGGATCTTGTTCTCCAAAAAAAGTTTCAAAGAAAAGAAGCCAACACGCAACCACTGCTGCAAGGCAAACCCACCCCACGTTCTACATACACGAGTAGTACGTACCTATGTATGTGCATACATACGTACATAATAGGAAATATAGGAATATGCAAAGTTGTACTTAAGATGGATCGAGTAAAAGTTTAAGTTTCTGGATTTATTTAAACTTTTCCCGACTTCTTGTTGGGAAGATTGATGGTCTCGGTCGGTGGTTGGAAGAGACAAGAAAGTGATACCAATAAAGTGGAACAGCAAGAGCGACGTCACAGAGTGATGACGAAACAAGGTACATAATTGAGTACTTACCCAACATCGTCACAATACGTGCACTCCACATCCGTCCTCGGAAGCCAGGCGAGTAGACTTGCCGCACATCCAAGCGATTGAAGGTGGATCGGAAGGAGATGGCCGTGTTCATTTGAGTGATCCCCTGGGAAATCTCTTTATATCCCACTTTATTGTTAACATTACTATCACCATTCTCGTTACTCGTCGTCGTCACAGGCGAGATGGTCTTAACAAGGTTAAGACCATCTCTCATCCGCCCCGATGACTTGGGCACGATCGTCGAACTCAACGTCGCCACTTGGACCGATTGACATAGTTTCCACGTCGTCCCATTGGTCCCATGGTAAGGGTCTCGGATCTCCAGATATGATTTCGCCGTCTTGGAACAACTACTCGTCCCATTAATATTTAGCGTTAGCACATAATTGGGCGGAGATGACAAGGCCAACGTAATATTTGTATTCTCGGGCGGAATCAGTGGGAAATTTATCGACGTCAGAGATACTGATGAATTTGCAGGCGTCGCCACGTTCAACGTCTCCTCCAGTTGACCAGGAACGGCTTTGAATCTCCCGAGAAATCCACGCCCGGATTTTCCAATCGGCGAAACAACGTTAATTTTGATCTTCTCTCGGATTGACATGAACGATGTCCTGTACGAAAAGGCGGTGAGATTTCCGCAGAGAATAATCTCATTGTCGGCCGAGGAGTCTCCATCCTCGCGAACACCTCCGTCGAGATCCACAACGACGTGGTCTTGCAGGTGACAAGAAGTGTCGCTCGCAGCGTTGAGATGCCCAAGCTCGAATATCTGGAAACTCAGCCATATCCTCTGTCCCACTGTGAAATTCAATACATGCATAAAAGAATTTTCACATATTTATTTAAAGCACAAACTAGTTAGACTAAACGAGTCTCTCATTAAACTGATGAGTTACGAATGAACGTTACATAATAACCATAACCTTACATAAGCACATGAACAAGAAAATAAACTTCAATAGTGAAACATTGTTCCATTTCATCTCCATTTCTCAACTAAATGGAAGAAAAACGGGGAGTAATACGGCATTTCTGAATCCGTTTGAAAAGGAAAAGGGTTTTTGGTTGAATGCATCCCAAGACTTGGAGCCCTTGAACCATGAACAAGTGGGCGTGGGTTGAGCAGCGTTCAGTTTATTCACATTTTAAAAATTTAGGAAAAATCACTCGGCTGCAGCTCACTCTCTCGTCGTGTAAGCATCAACGTAAAACAAGAATCAAGAAATTCAAATCTTTTGGCAATCAGATTTCGCCTTGTGTTATGTATTATGCAAATTGAACACATGAACGTGTTTCAAGAGGTAAACTGATTCCGGTGAAGTGATGCTTAACACAAGCTTATCGTAGGAAAAGAAAATACGGATTTTAAAGTTTTCTCTTGTAAGTTAATAAAGAAACTCTCTCGAATTTCTTCGCCAGATTAGCTTAACATTTATGAACGAGAGAGCCGATAAATCTACATCGCGTACACTTTGATCCGTCCTCAACAAACTTCCGCCCGTCTCATTCTAAAGTTTTTAGTTTCCCAGAAGGCACTTCATGTACACACAATAGTGAAATAAATATGCTTTTGGTGGAGCCTCCTTAGCACCGTTGAGATTCTCTCATCGTGCCGCATAAATCAGATCCTTTCACTTTCCACAATATTTTTCCCCTTCAAATCTGCAAACTCTTCCTCAGTAGCGCAGATAAGATACGTACATAAGTAAGTTCCTAAACCCATTCATCAATTTATTAGCACTTTCTGGGATAGTAAATAAGTAGTTTTGAATGCATCATGACTAATGACTGCTGCGTACGCTATCAATCGCGCAATATTTGTATGTATACGAAATTAATGTGTGATTCCGACGGAATGGAGTGCAGTATACAAATTCAGGAGCAAATAAGCAGCTCAAATCGTAAAGAAAAATATGTAGACCTATTTTTATGCACCCTTTAGAAATTCCGTGCGAATGATATATTGTAGAAGACGACAAAATAAATCAGAAATAAATCAGGGACGCTTATGCACTTACAAATTTTATGCTTGTAGAACAACGTACTAAAGTATTTTACTGGTGCAATTAATCAGAACTGACATGTGCTTATAATTAAGATGGGGAACGTAATTACAAAGTTTCATTAATTTTTCTGTTGACACAGAACATGCAATTTGGTTTCGTTTAAAGGGCTCGTTCTGAATCATTAGTTGAGTTCCTCAATCAAAGGAGGGCATTATTCCTGTCGAAACTGGTGGCTGTTCATTGCAAACGCAATAAATCATTCTAGGAGACGCTCGTTCCGAGGAGAAAGCAGACCAAGTGGGTGAGAGAGTGAAAGTGTAAAGAGGGAGCGCAAATAGAAGACACAGCTCTCAAAACGTAGTAACGTCAACGTGGTTCCCTCTTGAAAAGCTTGTACTTTCACTACTTATGAATTGTGAATAAGTGAATAGGCTCTAAATGTCAAGCTGCACTATTTGTGTGTCCGCAGGTCAAAGAATGGCTCTCATTTGAGGGGAATGGGAGAGCGTGTATGTGTAGCGGTGTTGTTCACCCACTTTCGTATGTACACTCGTAGAGAAAGTTTGGTACACGCTTTGAGAAAGTTATTCAAACATGGAAATGTACTTTGTGGATTCGTAATTTCCAAAGTTGTGGGATGACACCTCCTCATCATCCCCTTCAATGTTTAATTTGATGGTACAGCCGTTTACATCCCGGAGGAATGCCCACCGACCGACGTTATGTTCACCCTTCACTCCCACTTTTGTTAATTTAGGTGAAAAGGAATGGATTCTTTACCTGGCGCTACGATGGTGTATGCACAGTTGAGATTTGGGAGATTGAAATGAGGAAAGTTTGGCGAGTGGATCATGGCATCTTGAATTGGGAATCCGTTTCCTCCCAGCCCTGCCAAAATCGTCCTTCCCGAAAGACAACTCGCAACATCAACAGCTCGCCAAGCAATCTCGAACCCTGTTCCACTGTGGGAAAAGTCGGCGTGGAAAAATACGTCCAGCTCATTTGACGATGAGACGTAGTCCAGTCTGCAACACAAATGAAGATTGGCACGTTTTATGAACAACGATAAAAAACTCACTCGTACACATAGAAAGGAAGGAAGGAAGGTAGGAGGATGTAGGACAAATGGAGTGGGATGGTCCGAGATGGATCACGGACTTTGTTTGGTCTTTAGTCGCAGGAAGAATTTCATGCCCGTCATAATGTTTAGTCGACTGTGAGTCGTTTCAAACTTCATTTCCGATTTGAACATATAAACACACTTTCAAACCCGTTGGCAGATGGGCCAACATGTTTCATACACAACGCGGCATAGTCACTTAGGAGGGGAGGTTGTGTACTATCAACTCCCAGATCTCCATGCCCTTTGGATATGTTGTAGTGTCCCATGAATGTACAAGAACCCTGAAGTGGTTTGATGCCATGGCCACATTTGCGCCTGCCACACCCACTCAAAGGTGCCCAAAAACCGCTTTCACTCCAGCTTTCACTCACTTAAATTTACCCCAAAAATCCAATTTTACTCGGATTTTCAAATTTCTTTCACCATTATGCTCCCAGATAGTTGCTTTCTTATTTCCAACATCAAACTCGACTTTTCAATTTTTTTAGTATTTTTAAAATTTAAAATTCTGAATGAGCATTGTTGTAGCAATCAACAAAGCTAATTATGCCTGCGAAATAAACATCAAACAAGTTGAGTTTGGTGTTGGAAATAAGCAAGCAACTGTCTGGGAGCATAATGGTGAAAGAAATTTGAAAATCCGAGTAAAATTGGATTTTTGGGGTAAATTTAAGTGAGTGAAAGCTGGAGTGAAAGCGGTTTTTGGGCACCTTTGAGTGGGTGTGGCGGGCGCAAATGTGGCCATGGCATCAAACCGCTTCAGGGTTCTTGTACATTCATGGGACACTACAACATATCCAAAGGGCATCGAGATCCGGGAGTTGATAGTACACAACCTCCCCTCCTTAGTACATTTATTATTTTATTTTGACCACAATTGTACAGATAAGTAGGATGCATCCATGTGGTTCACAAACATTAACTACTTACCTACTACATATATGAAACTAATTCAGTTTTGCAATAAGGCATTCCAAGTGTCAAAAATAATTAACACTCCTTTGACTAGAATGAGAATTGCATATTCGTCAAAGTACGGGACAACGTGTTTGAATGACACACTTAATAATTGGACATGATGTCGACTCTCAAGGCACTGAATTTGAGCAATTTATAGAGAAAGGTGAGCATGAATGGGATGCTATGAAATCATAGGTTTAATAATTGTGAGGATTTTGAGGAAAATGCTGCCCATGCTGTAACTTTTATTTGTACTCGTTCTGAAACTGTGCCACCATGTCCACCAGCTAAACCAACGGACAGAGTTTGTTTTGTACGAAACGGACTTGAATAGGAGCCAACCACTGTTGGCGTCTGGACCACATTTTCCACTCGGCTACTTCACTATACCTGGCACGTCCATTGAAACTGCCCTTTGTGTGTCCTTGGTTCTTTGAATTGTACTCGTTCGCTTAGTCAACGTCAGCTTTTGGCTGTCACATCATCATACTCTCATGTTTCATTCTTTTAGATCTGGAGGAATTCCAAACATGAAGCACATTCACTCGTGCAGGTCACTCGATATATTTTCAATTTCTGAGTGAAAAAAGTTAAACGAAGACGGCTTGCACTCCAGGGAAATTGCCAACATCAAGTAAATCTGACTTTTTTCTATACAAATCTTACTTTCACTTTGAAAAACGTAGAGCCACGCAACACGAAATATTTCTCACACCGCCTGCCATGCACAGAACCGGCCAGGTATTTTTCTACTACCTTTCCACCGATGGCTCGTATGATTTGTAGGAATGACCTCTACATGGAAACTGAAAGTCACAGTCCGAAAGTGGGGAAGTGAAGGTTGGTTGGTTTGGTTGGGAGATGAGCCCGTAATAATGATGAAAGGGAAAGACAAGGGCTTCCGGCAATTTTTGAGAGGAAGTTCAAAATCAATATGCTGTGCGTATATGTGTGTGTCTGCTCATCCGACTTATTTGTTTCAACCATCAAGACCTTCGACGCTGTTGCCCAATTACCATTGGCAGATTTATGTAATATGCGGATGTGCGTACAAGAAGGTCTAGTGCAAAAAAGGGTATAAATAACTCTCGTGGAATGAATCACCTTTCCAAATCCGCAGTGGAGTAGGTGCCACAGTAGCGCGTGGCATTTGCTGTCTTTTTGTCCACGATTTCCACGTAGTCGTATAAACAGTCCTCCTGATCCTCAACGTCCAGGTGAGAGAATCTGAGGACAATTTGTGTTCCAGGAGGAGCAATCAAGTGGTACCCGTAGTCCAAATTGTTCTGGTAGTTGGATGGGAAATTGGGAGAAGGCAGCTTTCCTCCGGTTCCAGAGAATGTTTTGTTTACGGCTTGAATCGTCTCTCCCTCTGCAATAATCAAATAGCATATCAAATAGCTTATCATTTGGGACACTATGATATACATCAACAAGATTCACTATTGGATTATGTAATTGAATGAAACTAGGTTTAGTCCATGGGCCTTCGGCCTGAGCCGGTTTCTAATTAATTAATTAATCAATCAAAACAAGCTTCACACATATTACCCGTGTGTGATAAATATACATACATACATAAATATGACATTGGCCTAATTTGCACATATTATTGGATCTGAATAATTTTCCTACCAATATTTGTAAACCATAAAATATGGCCTCTCAAAATTTATTTCAACGATGCAATACTAAAAAATGTGCCCCAATTCCAGTACGGATTTATCTGCATATGCCTGTTGCAGGTTGATGAGAAGTGGCAATTTGTAAGTTAAAAGGATAAGTACACTTTTCCATTATAAAATGTGTCACAGGTAAATATAAATGCAAAATATGGGCGAATTACTCTCCATACTAATCGATGTCATATATAATTACATACATGTACCCAATAAGGATTTAGGTACATGTATTTAATGGGAGGATTTATTTTATTTTACAAGACTACTTGGAATATAATCAAAGCCAAAATAGACACGAATGTCATTCTGTAATTTTATAATTTTCAGGAAAATACAACTAATTTGGATACTAAATATAATTTAAAATTTCAACAAAACCGAAGAAAGAACCCTGACACGATGATTATGTGGAAAATATAATTCACGAAATTCACGAAACTCTAACCAAATTATCAAAATTATGACTACGTAGACATTAAACCTTTGCATAAGCAAGCGATGCGAAACTTGTAAAGCTATCTCAGCAAGAAGAATGAGGATATTAATTAGAATTACCATCGTAGCTCTTCTTTTTGCAAACGTAGCCGGACAACTGGTTGCAGTCTGCAAGTCTCCAGGCAAAGTCCCCTCTTCCCCACTCATGCCAATAAATGCTGAGACATTTCCAATCCGAGATGGTTTGCAGGTCGGAGGAATGAAAGGCTGAAACACAAATAGCTCATCATTAGGAGAAAGAAAGCTTGGTGGAGCATTAACAAGAAAGAGAACAATGAGTTCACATGCATTGGAATATATGTATGTTTATAATAGTCCAAGTAGTTACTACATATACAGCGGCGATTACTAAATACCTGAAAAGTTGAATGGCATACGATCTGACCAGACGAGCTGGCTGCTGCGGTCGATCATCCCTCCAATCCAAAAAGTAGACTTGTTCTTATCGAACCGGGAAGTGGCTGGGAGGCTCTGGGCAAGAAATTTCCATTCCTCGGTCGACACCACGCTCGCCAATTTTCCCTGGTCGCATCCAACAAACACTTGTTAGTGGGTGAAAATAAGACATGGTCCACCAGACAGCTTTTATCCGCTGACCAATCTCAATCTCCCTCCAACGTAATGCAACGCAACAGACGTTTGTACACACAGCAGACCAAAAGTAGTGTCCAGTTAACGAAAATAGATTGTTGCGAGAACGAGACCGAGCTAGTTTACGAGGCGAATTGCAATCACGAAAGAAATCGATTGGACATTTTTTGTCACAAAAATATATGTGCTTCTCTCTCCAGCACACATGTATTGTAAATAAATACACACATACTCTCCCCAAGTCAAAGTTCAATATCCGATAACCCAAAAATTGCAACACACATAAACATCCATTTTGGAACAGTCTGGTGGAATGTTTGTAAGTATAACTCATAGGAACATACAATACGTTAAACTCCAAATGACCAATTTTCTCCACTTTCGAACTTATGCGACGTGAGATAAGTAAATACATAGGGAAAGTTTGTCCGCTTTATATTCACACATTTGCAACAACGCAGTAATAAGTATTTTCATGATTGCTGTCCCAGTTCGATTTCAATTTCCTCGTTTCGCAACACAAGTTTAACGACACCCTCGACCACATTGGAATGAGATATGCAACGGGCAAAAGGGTGAAAGTATACGTATGCATGGCGAGTGAAAGCGTCTTCTGGTAGATGCACACGCATATGTACATAGCGTTGGTTGGAGATAAATATTTAGGTTACCTGGAGAGCAGTGCAGATTTGTTGAGCATTGGCCCAGCTCACAGCGGGGGAGGACGTGGTGAGATAACAATGGGACTTGAATTTCTTCATTTGTTGGTCGCTGCATTGTCCGGACACATCTGTGTTTAGGGAAGACAAACAACAAACGACGAGTCGTTTTAATTTCCTTCAATTCTCCGGACACACAATGACAAAACATTCAAGTCGAAAAAAACAGATGCTTGCTCGCAAAAAAAGAATTGCCATGAAAGAAAAGAAGACACTAATACTTCGTTCTCTTGTGGGACGGACTATACGAGTGTACATGTGTATAAGACCATGTCCTTGTGAGATGGATTCAAAAATCGTAAAGGGTCGTAATGATGTTAGAAGGAAACGGTGAAAAATTATGACAACTTTTATTCAGGGGTGAAACCTCTTTATGAGATTGGCACGTCTGTCCTTTTGCCTGTCCTCCCGTCTGTTTGTGCAATACAGAGTTTAAACTGGGGACAAAAATTCATTGTGCAAGAGGAAGAACTGATTAGAATTTGGGAGATGCAGGTTAAAATGTCGCAGCGCCAGATCAGTTAGTACTACTTTAAAAGACGAAACGGTCATGTGGTGAGCCAAATTGATAACATTTTGCATGATGCATTCCGTTGAACAGATTATTTTGACCGACCTTGGACAAGGTTAAAGTTAAAATTCCATTTATTCTTAACTGCTTTTCAATGGAAAGCACGAATGTCGCACTAAATTTGCGCTGCGTGCTCATCAAAGAGTGAAAATACATTTTTGACACGTGCGGTTGACATTTTTAATTGGAGGTCAACGGCAGGGGGTACCGTGGTTTCACCCTTTGGTTACATACGTTTATAACGGTTTATTTTCATGCAATAAAAGTAAACAAAAATATGTGTCATATCTTCAGGAAACAGCTTATGTTTACTACATGTTTGTTGACTGCTAAAATTAAATAAGCAAACACAGGGACGCCGTCTTGTTTTAATTATGCAAGAAGCAGCGTCCAACACGAGAGAAAGTTGTAACCGCTTCTTTGTTTTTACCCCTACAGCACAGCCTGCTTCCTAATTTGTAGCCATTTCATTTCTGGACAAATTAGTCATACGTAGGGTAGCAGAACAGTCTTGAAAACCAGCAGAGGCCTGGTTTCGGATGAAGTTACTCTTTATCGCGGGAATAAGTAGGCGACCGACTTTAGCAGAAGAGAAAAATTTAATTTTTTGTACATATGGTTTTTCTCCCATGGGACTCCATCCAGTGAACCCTTAAAAACAAGCGTTTCGAAAGTAATAAAAGATGAATGGGAACATGATTCGGGTTTTCGCTTGGAGAAAATTGAATAAGATATTCTCGTGTCTCAGTTTCCTCTCGTCTGGAAATAGCACAGGTAAAAACTACGCCGCTCCTGCATTTCTGACGCAGAATGGGAATTTCACCAGCACCGAAGATCATTTCATATCACTTTATACTTCAATTTGTGAATCCCCAATTAACATTCAATTCGAAATGCAGCCTAACAAACTTGAGAGAGAGAGAAAGGGAGACGAACAAAGGGCAGAAAGTTCCCCAGGGATTGAATACAACAAGTGAGCGAATATCAATTCATTATTAGGTGAACCATTCTCCGACTGACGAACTCATGTGTGACCTTTCATAGAAAGACAAATTTCGAAACATTCTGCTCAACACCTACGAATGTAGGAAGACAATGGCTTCATAATACGTCATATTTTGCTCGTGGAACTATGACAAACTCGCCCAACTCGGTCAAAATGAGACCATGTGTAGTCTGGTGGTAAAGCTTTCAAGTTGATGAATTAAGGATAAAATATTCACTAAAAATGTGTTCGCGTGTGGTAGTTTCATGAATGTGGGGACGATCCAGCGAGAGTTCAAATAACGTCAACTTTAGGACAGTGAAATAAATGAGACTCGTTTCCGTAAAAAGGCCAAAGGTTGATGGAAAGCCAGAGTAGCAGATTATCCAGTCAGCCAGCCAGCCAGGTATTCGTGAAGGTGCATTAAAAGACAGCCAACCCGTAAGAGGTGAGTAATATAAGTGGTGGAGCCATAAATGAGGTAAATTATTTAGTAGAATCTTACCCGATCCAATTTAACCGTCGGGTCTACTCCTCGCTGACCATTTTAACCAAAAACACAACCAGAGGGTTCGTAGTACAAAAACTACTTTCACTCATGCTTTCACTGTGTGCATGGATCAAGGAAGTCCAACGCATTGTATCCTCCATGTATCATAAGAGACGATAAGAAGCTGGTTCACATGTGTATCATTGTGCAGTTAGATGGCTTACAGAGTAATGCTGTTAGTGGCACTAGTCAACATTTCCCCGTTGAAATTCGACAGCACCATCTTAAGCCAGATACTCTCCGTCCCTGCACATACATATTCTCCAACGAAACTCACCCACCATTTTCTTAGGCTACAAAATAGAAGCAAAATAAAATAAAAGTTTCAAATAAATTAAACTTTTGTTGCCGACTGCGAAGCCAAAGGGAAAACGGGGACCCAAAACAAAGTTATAATTTAATGCGCACAAAACTTTTATTTGTTTGTCTATTCCTTGATTGCAACGGAAATAGAATTATTGTCGTCATTTAAGACTAATTTTCAGTGGAAACACAAACTTTTTCTATCCTTGAATTCCTTAATGTAACGTCATTAGTTTGTAAGTGAGCACAAAACTATAACGAATTTATTTTTGGCATGTACTTATTAATTGAAAATTGGCTGTGGCGAACAATAAAATGGACGTTACGCAACGTCGAGTGATTTTCTTTCATGTTCTGCAGAAACAAAGACCTGCAGGAAATGACATGTCGAGCTTTTCTACAAATTCGGATGAAATTTTGGTTTTATTCTCTGACCCCGTGTCAGAAGGCATTTTGAATAGAAAGAACAATGGGTGGTGAAAATTTGCCTCACTTTTTGACAAGGTCATTATTTCGTGTGACTGCTAGTATTAATTCATTAATAAAATATAAGAGCTGCTGATCTATAAATTTCTACATTTCATCTGATCGCTAATAAAAGCTTAATTATTTAACAACCCAATTTGGCAACAGCATGTCGAATGAAAGCAACGACTCAGGTAAATTTTACCCACTCCAGTATTATTGGCTTACGTGGATATATTGTGTGCACAGTACATTAAAGGAATAGCAAAGGAGTAGTGGAGGAATGGAACTTTGTTGAATGTTCACACAGGGACAAAGTTTAGCTGTGATTTGGTGCACTTGAAAGGTGCAACAGTTGTTCCTCAACTTCTCCATCTGCTGCACTCCGCGAAACCCCAGCAGCCTCGCATTATTCTCAGGAGAGCGGAGAAAGCAAACATTGGGGAGCCAGTCCATCAACCAACCGTTTCCGAAACTCGTTTTTCATCCAACTTTCTCCTCTGGGCTGCCAAACCTGTATCCCGCAAGCTTATTCAAACTAAATACACATTCCACCACCATCAAACTTTAAGGGAATCCGAAAGTCCCCGTTGTTCCTTAACCTGATTGCTACCTGGTGAGACATTGTATTTGGATTAATAAATTCGAGGTGGTTGGCGGCGGAGAAAGCGCACCTCGCCTCACTTATGACCTTTCTTTCCTTCCTCCACAAAAGGGGGAAGTCGATTTAAAAAATGGAACGGGTGAGACAGCTCCGATATTTTAGACGAAAATTAGAGCAAGTGAGTGAGCAGAAAGGTGGTCGTAACTCGTAACTCATTGTCTGCTTAGGAAATTCTGCACTTTGCACAGAGAACAGCGTTCCAATTCCGAGGAGAAAGTAAGTAGAGTACATTGATCGATTTCTCACTTTGGGTTTCAATTCCCTCTTCCTCCCTTTGCATTCCTGATGGATTATTCTCACTTTGTGCCACACACAACGTTCAGCTTATTTTTTAATGAATCCCATACAAATAAATGGCAAATTTGACGTTGGGGGAAAGTTTAATATTTCCCCAAGCTTTCTCAGGGTCGTGGAAAAAAATTGAACCGCGTCGTAATTATTAAACTCTTCTCGCATCGTGAGTAATTGCCTTTCCCAACTTGTAAAAATCTAATACATCTTTTCTTCGGCGGAAACTTGAGGAGTTTCCTGATGTGATTGCGTAACTCTGCTCGTGCAATTAGGCCAACTTGGCTAACATTTGCTAATTTATCTTTGTAAGTGCATATTTCCCAACATTTCTTACGAATAGTGAAGCGAAAGCTGGAGATCAGGATTTCCTAGTGAAAGTTTCAACCATACCTTTTTCTGTCCAAACGTTGGCCTTAAACCCGGCGAAATGATGTGAAAAGTCAGATTCGAGTCTCAAACTGAGAGAACTCGTACTTGAGGTAGTTTTATATCGGAGTAGCTTTAGTCGCTTGGTCCAATCCCCACAAACTCGCTTGGATAAAATGCTGGTGTCCAATTGCGAGAGATTTTTGGTTTTGTTGTTTTGGTCGATCGGCTCGTGAAGGATTTCCTTAATTTCCAGAGAGTCATATCCGCAGCTGAAATGCATAATAATTCGAAATTAAATAAAGTCTCTTTGTCGATATCTTGAGAATTAGCGTTAATCGGTCATTACTTTACAATAACTATGCACTAAATTTGAAAATCCAATTATGGAAGTAGTCGAAATAGATGTGCATACATACATCTGTACACAAATAGTGGGAAGGATATCACGTAGGTCAGGGGATACGTATCACTTAAAAAATCTAACATATGTATTTCCAGAGGGGAAATTTGTAGTCAAACCATTCCTAAATTAGATAAGGTACAACTGGTGCTCTTGCTTATAGCCGTGCCTCAGTTGTACTCATGATTTGCATCCCACGGAGGAACTTGGTATTCTGAGCATTGCATGAGAGTAACGTGAGCAGACTTTGATAACGAGGCCAAAAGTCGTAATATCAAAATGTTCCAGAGGGAATCGTTTCTACATTGAAAACCAGCCAGTTGTTGTATGAACGATACATTCGTACGTACGTACGTGTAGTAATCCCGTAAAGAAAGTCATTGCCGAGGAAGGTGGCTTTTTCACAACTGTATCAACTAAATCTCCAGGATCAACATTTAAACCCTCAATTTTTTACGAGTTTTAGAGCATACGACCCGAATGACCAAATATTATGATGATTCGGTCATTTGTATTTCAGAAAACGGAGAATATTTATTATTTTAACGGCATCCATATCTTCCCTGCAAAACAGTTTCATTTCCTAAATCCTATACACGTACATTTTTTGGAGTATTAGAAACAATCTTTCTCCGTAGCAAATGTGAGTTCACTGATATTTTGTATGCATTCTGTGGAACTCTGTTACATTTTTATTTTACATTAATGTGAGACACGCACGGCTCATTTTGAGTGAAAGCAACATGGTCCATGTTCAGAGCCCATGAAAGTAACATGAGAGGAAACAAAGAGTCATAAAAATTAAATACACAAAGGAAGTGAAGCAAAATGTCACTTTGGTTGGGAACCGGGGGAAGGATGGAAGATTCATATCGTGTCTGCATAAGCACCCAACAAGACACTAATCCCACAAACCAAAATTACTAACTGCTTTTCTGCTATATGATAGAAGAGAATGCATGACCAGAATCTGGAGTGAAAGTGGAGTAAACAAATAAAAGCGACTGGTCTATACTTTATGTGGGACAAAGTTTCATTCTTTTTCAACTCATTACACTAATTTCCATACGCTGTGTGCAACGTTAATAAGCTGACTCAATGCAGACCAGGGCACCATTAGGAGAAAGCCGTAAAATGAGCATTTCGTGCTGGGTCTGATAATGGTCGAGATATAATTGTAGCCTTAGTAGTCAGCCCTCTCTCTCCTCTCGTCTCTGGCCGGACTTCTCGCTCTCCCCGTAAGTTGAAATTGCTGAACGACGATTACAGTTACGAAACGACAATGAACACTTTCAACTACATAAGCAATTGTACGAGCGAGTGTTTTATTTTTCATTTTATGTGGAAATGGCATCACGAAATAAAAACGTAATTATTCAATTAGCTAAATAATGCACGCACTCAATCCCAATGCTCGCAATTGGCAGTGTCAATTTTGTCAATCCCAACCAATTTACTTGCTATTGTCTTATTATGTATCCTGCTTTTCCTCCAGTCACGCAATCCAATAACCACTTGAAATCATTTCCAGCTGCGTGTTTGCATTTTTTCGGTTTTCAAACTTTCCTTTCTGCTCGACATGTAGGTAAGTAAATAGGCACGCATGTAATTGTTATTGTTGAGTATAGGATTCACAGCCCAATATCCTGACAGTCAAAATCCACCAAATATTTACCACAAGTAAGAAATCAATGGCATAAAGTGGTATCATTGCAGGAAAACTGCACACTTATTGCTTTCAATTAATTGGCCTAGGGACACGTGTCTATATATTAAATAATATGCGTGGGTCACCAATTAAACGTCATTCATTTAGTCATCATTCACTGTCATAATTCATGTGCCAAATGAGAAAGTCGGTGGGAATTGCATATAATAATATAAGTGATAACCTTTCCTTTTCACTGCTTGGTTGACATATGGAGTTTCTCGTAGAACAAAGGTGGAAGACAATAGCAGTCAAAATCCACTCATGGCGATTATTTAATTTTAATGTCAAACCGCAGTTTTATTAATCTCGTCCAAGACGGATGGTACTTTTGGATGGCGTTCATACAGAGATTCGTATGAAAAGCACATTCTCATTATTCCTGCCTACTTTGCAGAATGAACGGAAGATAAGGCGCACCATCAATCATGTTGCACAACAAATGAGTACATTACAGTTTGTATCACAGCACAGGTGCTAAGTGCGGCTTGGAAGAGGAGATAATCTCAAATCGATTTTGCTTTCAAAATAATTAAGTTCATTGTTTGCAGTGTGTTCACTCGCGAACATCACTTCATCCCCAATCTCAAACTGCAGTGAAGCGTTGTCTGGTGTGGCAGTAACCAGAAATTGGGTGAGATCAACAACAGGAATATGTCGATGCCAACTACATGCATGCATAATATCGCATGGAAAAATCCAAGCTGCAGAATGAAGAAGGGGTAGAATTGAGCGGAGTGAAAGTGAATTGTCACAGGTTCCACACACTCTTTCCCATTTCGTCTGCAAATAAGCTTTGTCAGAAGCAGAGTTGAAGGTTAACCTCACACTAAACCAATGCAAACACACCAACACGTACATCACAGTTCAGTCGGAAGATCACAAATTAATACACTGTAAACAAAGTCAGACACTTCCATCAGCCGCCTTGTGTACTTTCTCCCTCCATTCTTTTACTACAAATTGATGTATTTATTGCGGTCAGGGTCTGCTCTAAATTATTTTCCATTTTTTTTCCCAACAAGTATCGAGACACTTGTTAGGTTAGGCACCTCTCACGGAAGGAACACCCAACAACGACGTCGAATACCAATGCACCCACCACAAGCGTATACAAATCTAAGTAGGAGATGCGAGCTGAGATACTAGTAATTAAAATACCTTGGCGATTCCTCGAGGACAAACTCATCAAAGGACAAGACTATCCGATATCCTGCAACGGCCGCAATCGTCGTAAGGCAAACAATGTTGTCCGGATAGGACATGGGATAAGCGGGGCTCGTCAGTGTCAACACAGTTCCCGGACTCAGCTCCAACGTTTTGTTGCACGAGTAGTCTTTTTCGTCGTAATCTGTTAAACAAACACAAAGAAAATGAATTTGGTTATGGGAGACGTTGGCACACATAAAGGAATCATAAGGTTCGCGTCGCAAAAGTGGACACGAGGAGCGTGGGGAGAAAAAACACCTCCAATTCCAGCGAAAACCTGTAAAAGCTCGGCTTGACTTCAAAGCTACGACACAAACAAGTTGCTACTGGATGACAGGCACGAGGATAAACATTCATCATTGAATATGATTGAAATACAGAACAGCCGCAAAGCATGAATATTCATTTCTTTTCCTCGTCGCTCTGAGCCACCATGAACGGCGGCTAAGAAGGCAGCACGGAAATTGGGTCGTTTTGAAGGACTATTTTCACGATAGTTTATGGTTTATGGAGTAGCGACATACTCACACACCGCCGACTTTGTAGTCAGGCGGATGCCATGTACGGAATACCTGTGAATCTGCAGATTATCCATTAGCTAATTGAGCTGGGCCCGCTTTGACACTGTCTGTGTCGGGAAATTGGGTGGCACAAATCTCTCTCACCTTTTGGATACGCGGAAATTGATTCCTCCAGAATATATGGGAATATCTCCATGGGTCAAAAAACCTGCTTTGTCAAGCGGTTTTACATCTGACACTCTTCGGAATGTGACGTGAGCAACATTTTGCCCGTCACACACTTGCATACATCACACTCGTCCTCCGACGCATTATAGCTCTTTTTCCAATGAAATTGCTGGAATAGTTGCAGAATGAGTCATATTTGCTTACACGGGGCTCTCCGAACATAATAGCCAAGGTAGGCGGACAGAGGACGGAATTGTAGTAAACACGATAAATTAACGCGGGTGCACACATGAGACTCGTCATGTCGTAGGCTGTCTCCTGCTGGGCTCGTGAGTACGTATCAAGAGCATTTGGAAGAAAGTGGCAAGGCAGCGTCAAATGGGAATGAAGGTGAAAGTTTACATGCTCCTCGACTCCTCCAACAACACGGTGACACTTTAACATTTCCTTAATGTCGCCCGAATCAATTTACTTCTTCTTCTTGTCTAGTGGTTGGACCTTGGATATGGGTTTAACCTTTACGTTCATGCACACAGAGTGGGAGGGTGCATGAGTGGAGAGGAGTAAACATAAGAAATGAAGTGGGTGGAAGTACAAGCAAGCATACAATTCTTATTTTTTTACCCATATCACAAATTCATCGTTCTCTTATTTTTTCAGCTGGTAACTGCATTTTCAGTGAACCAAATATGTACAATGAGAAGTGCTTACCTTTGTGCGTAAGTTTTTCGCAAATGTAAAAGTTTTTGGCTTCACAATTCCGATCATTCCAGAAAAATCTGGATTGTGGCCAGAAATTAGCAGTATGAACTTGATTTTGATGATTTGACTGCGTTTGGCCTTTCGATTTAGTGGCCAAAGAAATTGTGCTCCAAAATTGGGATGATAGAGGCTTCTCTGAGTACGGGGTAGAAGGGTTCAGCACCTGCCGAATTTCGACACAGTCCTGTCCACTCCATCCATCATCGTTCGGTTGAGCATTCGAAATCTCGTGGCGTCTCTGGGCCCAGCCCACGAACCAATCTGAAATGGAGAAAAGAAGAAAAAACATTCACCAAATGACGACAAAACAGCTTTGCCCTCGTACTAATCAAAACAATTCCATCTTTCCCCCAACTGTCTCAAGGGCATGGCCGTTATTTTGTGCAAAATAAATATGTGTTCTTTCTCTTCTTCTGAAATCCTAATGGGGAAAGTGTTTATAGAGCCGAGATGAAACGGCAGGCGGTACGATAGAAGCTATACATACTTCATACTCGAACTGATAAACTGACACCAACTCGTTTATTCAGACATCAATCGTCCATCCAATAAGTACGACGATGGGCAGAGTATCCGGAGAAAAGCCAACATTACTTCATACATGTGTTGGACCTGAGAGCTCACTCAGCCAACCGATTCTCATCCATATGGATTGTTTAGCCCGAGGGGAGGGAAAGAAGACTCGTCCTAACTTTCATCATCTCATGGTATGTGCGGCCAAGGAGGAAACATGCTCATAAAATACAAGTCTAAGAGATCACTCACTTTTGTACGAAAATGGAAGACCACTTGTCCACTGAAAGTTCCCTTCTGACTCCCGGTCGTTTGCTCCAATCCAATAAGCTCGTCTTGGGTGAAATAATGCACTGAAAATACAATATTGCAGTTCTGTAGGGGCTGGTGGTGTGTGCATCAACACCCTCGACAGATAACCACACGTGCCCCACATCTCAACAGATGGACGAGCAAGGTGAGTTTGATCGAAAATGAGGAAGCAATCGCCAAAGTTGAACCTACTCATCCGAGGCTTACACGGTCCGTTGGGTTCTCAGAACATGCTTTCTTTTACACTCAATTTTCACTTACTTTACACACACATCAACCTACACGCTGCTTGACCTTCACAGAAATTTGTTGGAATTTCACTCTAACTAAATAAATTTCAGTTGGATTTTAAAAAAAACGACAAAAATAGTTCAGGCAATAATACGATTAATCTATAGTACAATTTCGTCTTTAAGCCGCTAAAAACCCTTTTCCGAATATCTAAGACGTCCGGATCGGATCATCCAAAAACCTTTTGAACGCTCAGAAAAATATGCGTTATTAAATATTTAGTGGCACTTATTCCATGCTGTGCCACGTGTGCGTTGAATAATTCTGAGCTTTCTCCGTTTTAGTTTTGTTGTGTGTACATGTATGCATATAGACTGTAAAATTGATACCTTTCTGTGATAATTTTTTGAAATTTATGGCCAACATCGTCATCTTCAATGGTGGCCAAATGTCCACCTTTCATCTGACAACTCTCCTCAGCGGCAGGCCAATTGCTGCCACTTTCCACTAAAATGGCACAACGCCCTGGGTTGAGTGCGACCCAGCCAGGGTCACAATTCCCCACCAGCTCCTCAATCGGAACGCTTTGATATGTCAAATGAAACACGGAAAAGTATTTGAGCTCGAAACTGATCTTCACTTTGTTTCCCGAAGATTTCCACGCTCTTTTGTGCTGGGCGGACGAGTCTGAGCTCCCGTCGAAGCACCACTCAAACTCGGAACCACTCTCAATGTCCTCTGCCCTTATCAACATGAACATGGGATGGTTCGGAGAAGTTGTCGACGATGGTGCAAAATTAGGCGGACATTCATAGCTTTTTGTAGTCCTCATTAATTTAGAGAAACTGCTCCCATCCGAGTCACCGGCACTTGCATTATTATTGTTGTTAATGTTATTGTAAATTTGCTGTTTGTAGTAAAAACTATTGTTGAGATTATTTGGATTTTTATTAGGAGCAAACTCAGCATCACTTTCACTTTTTCCGTCCACAGGCTCCGACTCTTCTTGGTCGATTTCATCGTCATCGGGGAGGACAGGTCGTTTCGTCAACGACATTCTCGTAATAATCCTATTCCCATATGGAACATGAATTACAATGGAACACTCGTTGGCGTCCTGGTCACTGGAGTCCTCGAGAGTGGGCCCCTTGGAGTACCTCAGCCCACCATTCAAATCCCTCAACACCACTCGTTGGCAGGGGCTTAAGGAATTAATGTCCAGAGTGAACGTCTCCTTGTTCTTCACGGAGCCGGGGAGACTCACTCTGAGAAGCAGCCCGTCTGAGCTGGTCTTTAAAACGTTGTCATTATTTTCATTCACATTCGGATTCATATCGCCATCTCCACCAGCATCACTGCCGTTCTTTGTACTTTCACCATGGGGGTTGGAAAATGAATAGGGTGGGGATTCGCCTAGTTTATTTTGTGGTTGTACTGCTACGGGGATTGACTGAGATTGTGTTTCACCACCACCACCACCGGCTTTAAATGTCAGTAAACGCTCTTCTGCCGAGTAATCCTGCAGCTTTCCACAGAATTTGCGACCCAGCGGAGAAAGTTGGTGAGTGTAGGTGGGGAACTCGTTCTGGAGTTCAGGGGCACTCGAAGAATCAGAATAGTCTGAATTGGACTTGGAGGTCTGCATTGTTCGCGAAAATGTTAAATAGCGGCCTTTGCAAATGTCCCGCATTCCATAAATGCTCAAATTTGTAATGCGAACTTCCAGCCCAAATGTAGGTCTAGGAAGCAGGAGCACGGTGCAATTGAGACCTTCCGTTTTAACCGATGGGTGAGCGTTCCATAGCGAATCCATGCTCAGAGTTGTTCTTCCACCAATTTTCATGACAAGGAAGCAATCTGAGACAAGTCAAGTGCATGCATTTTTATATCAAAAATAAATGCATTAATAAATGAAATAAAATGGAGTAAATCGTCAAATTGCAACGAATCGTTCTGTAAAAAAATTAATATTGCATTTTCTTACCTCGTCGAACGGCAACGTGCAAAGTTTGCTCAAAAATACTCGAAACACTTTCAGCGATTGGCGTAAACCTTAACCTGAAAAAATTTGTAATCATAAATTCAATCAAAGGGGCTTCAACTTATTCTTAGAATCTTGTCAAAGCAACTTTCGACATTGATTGCATGATTCAATTAGTTCTACTCAATTCGCTCAGATTGGTCAAGTCATTCTGCCCTTGATGAAAATAAGTCTTGCAAACTCAGCACAAATCCGTCAAACATCTCGCAACAATTATTGCCAAACTTTTTATTGGATTGTCATCTTATTTATTGTACTTATGATGATGAAAGAGAGTTTTGGGAAAGAGGTCGAAACGACGGAAGGCACATAATGTTATGCAAAAGACAAAGCCTCGTGTTGTGACAACTTTCTTTTATTCCTTTCCAATCCCACAAGACAACAAAGTATCGATTGGATGTTATAAGCGGATTACGACCGCTATCATTATGAAAATCCCCTCCTTGTTGCATGAAATGAAAGTACAGGGCATTTTCCCCTCGGCTCTGCTCCCCCTGCACGACATGTTTAATTATTCCTTCGCATCGGCTCTCCTCAACTCTGAAGGAACACAATGTTCGAATTGCGTCCAACTTTGAAGTTGAAGTTTTCTAAACACCAACAACTCCAACAACCATTTCTCGCCTTCCACACCTTTGTGAAACTTAGAGGACAATTGAAACGAGTATGTGATGACAATAGGCAAGTTCAATATCGATTTATGATAATTTGAAGACGCCATACTTTGTCATAAAATAGTATGTTCAAACAGAATACTGAACATGATTCAGGCGAGTGCAAGTTGTTATGTGTACACTCAGTCCAGCAATTTTTTGCAATTTATAAAAGGTCATTTAAACTTTGTTAATTGCCCCACCTTGATCCATCATCGTTATTGATCCAGTTAAAAATGCACGCCCAAAATATTGTGCCATGTACTGTCCTCATTGCAAAATCGAGTCATCGAAGCCAACTCTGGTCACGTATACAATAGTCTACATACATACACATGTACGTCATAAAGACATATGTATGTATGAACAAAAAATCGTAACATATGCATGAGGAGCAGAAATGTTGCTATTTTCCGTGTAAATTGTGAGCAGTTGAGCTGGAAGTGAACGAGTAAGTGTGTCGCAGTACGATGGTCGTCGTGGTGGCTTTGGAACTCAGGGAGTTGAAGAGATGACGAATGACTTTGTTGACAATTAAAGATAAATTTTGGCTGTCAAATGCCATCAATCCCTTTCCCCTTCTTTTGAATATTGAATATCTATTGATTTCTCGAAGCCCCTGTTGGTACATGAATGGATAACTCTCGTCGTTCGTGGCGGTCGTATATGTACAACCCGATAATGCAACATGGGTGCTCCAAATATGTAGATTAGTAGCAGGGCCAACTCAATGTTTTCTTTGGGCAACATCCCATGCTGCCATGTGTACCGAATAATGTTTGCAATGCGTAGTGTACGCTAGACAATTTGTCTGAAGCCAGGAGACTTGTTTCATATTTAATGCTCTGCCAAAGTTCTCCATTCGTGTGCTTGTTGAATAGAGTAAAGTTATGCAAATATCGAGCTAAAAATGCAGGTTTTCTGAAATTGAAACGACCTGAAATGTATACAAGATTCGTTTTCATGCCGCAAGGGTAGCAAAGAAGGCAGGGACTTGTTTATGTATGTATAATAATGGACAAGATGACGTTTTCTTGCTGGCTTGCCTTGATACATAGGAAAGAAAACGTGCATAAATATTACCTAAATACGATGGTCGGGGGAGGGCCGCTGGTTGGCAGTGGTGAGACGACGCCATTTCCGCTAATGTACCAAGAGAACGAGAGGATTAAGGGCTTCTGACCCTCCTTGTTAGCTCCTCCGAGAGAGTGCTTCGAGCAAAAGGCCACGGAGTCGGGGTCATCAGGCGCGTTTCGAGTGGATGACGAGGGGTCGTTGAAGAAAAGTTCAAGGACATCTCGATCCCTTTGATGTCTCCTCTTCCCCACCACGCGAGACCTCTCCCCGTCCGACACATCGTTTCCCCAGTAGTCCAGACGAAACAGGCTCCCTCCAGGCACCTCCACGTCCACTGAAAAACGCCAAACATCACATCCTCATTAAATAGGAACAAATAATGGATCCTCAGCTTAAAAACCCTAAGAAATATTTTGAGATTTGGTATAAAGAAACCCTTTGCATGATACTCCATGTACGCAAATAATAGATACATGTTCAATCACATACGTACATACACATCTTCCTCAACGCGTATGCATGTATGAGACTATTTTTGTGTACACAAACTTGTAACTCTCATCCAGGTGTATGTAGTTTTGCATAATATTTGCAAAAATCCCATTTACTTAATCCTACCGTTTTTGGTTTGGTAGCACATGTAAAAGTCATTATATGTTTTGCTGCTTTCTCCGTTAATCAATAGTTGAGTATCAGTACGTACATACGTGTGGTATGTCAACAGACAATGTTTTGTTGCATCTTACATACGCTGCGTGTCGACCATTACTGCATACATACACATGTACACACACAGCACACCACGAAGCCAGCCATCATAAAGTACATACTTTCTTCTGTTTGGCACTTGGACTACTTTATCAACTTGATGTTGCGGGGAGAATTACATAAATTGCCTGTTAGAGCCGTGTTGTCAGTTGGCCCCCTCCTTCACTCCCCCATGGCAAATATTGAACCAGGTGGAGAGTCATCAACCTACCTGCTGTCATTATCTTGCTCGATGTTTAACATGGTCGACCTTGTCATCCAGGATGCCCGGGCAGTAGACAAGGATAAATTTAGATCTCGTTAGGAGATTAATTAATTGCATCGATAAATTCTACGTATTGTCAGACACTCTGTAAACACAGAATCGTTAACGCCAAGTGTAAGGAAAGGGCGGACATTCTCCAGTGCATGAAGGTTGAAAAATTCGCTATTTTCCAAAATCATAATTAATCTGTCTAAGCCATAAATTATCAAAGTTTAATAATTCTTTTTGGTTCTGCTTGATTTTACATGTATGCTCATTTATTCGCATCAAGGTTCCAATAATTTTATTCCATATATTTTTCATATTCACAGCGAAACTTTCTCCACTTCTTTTTTAAAAAACTTTCACCTTGTCAGTTGCTCCTTACTTTTGAGAAACGTGTCTACCAGCATCTTCAAATTATTCGTGGTTCGAAGTGCTCTTTGCAAAAAATAATATAAAGGAACATCTTGAATTTCAAGAGCACTTGAAAATCTTGAGAATCTTGCAGGCATCCCATGCATGCAACCCCTGCTCGCTCGCTCTCTCCTCCAAAGTACAAAGACGAATGTATAGTTTCACCGGCATTATGGTGCTCAGCCTACACTTTCACTCGAGCCTGTGTGCACAAAATGAGATACATGCTCCTTACTAATCACACCACCCCTGTCCCATACCCTCCCATTGAAATGAAACCCAGTATGACCTTCCTTTTGTATCCAGATCTATAGAAAATTCTAGATAAAAACTACACCAAAAATTTGGGACGAATAAAACTCAAGCTCTCTGAGAACATTTCTATATGATAATCGTATAGTTCCGAAAATAAGGTCAAAATATGGAACGACAGCATTTTCATTCCTCACCAGCGTTTCACAAAATTGGGTTTCACTTTTGCTTATGAGGAATTTTGTTTCCCTTTTGGAGTAACAGGACGGGAGACAGGGAGAATAATACGCGGATGCAAAGGTGAGACACAATAAATGGGACAAAGGAAGGAAGGAAAGTGTGTGCTGTCTCGATCTTCTTGGCCATGTGATTTACTTCTTGGAGTCAATTTAGGGCCGAGCCATTACTCAGATGGAATTTCACCCCACACGGCAGCAGGAGGAGGAGGAGGATGAGAAGGCAGGAGCGACGGTAAGGCCAGGAATATTATTATGATGGTGGTTGTTCCCCGTCTGGTATGAACTGGTGTGCGAATTGCTGGCTGAGCAGTAAAAGAACTGACACCTTCACCCAACGAATAGCACATTTTGCTACCTTACACGACCAGAACCAAACTGCGCATTTACTAGCAGAGCCTACGACGAGTGCATAAGGACGGAGGAAAATATAACGTATAATTTCAGCCGTGGCCAATAAAATATTCAATACAAAAGCCAGAAGACTCATTCACTACAGCTTCTTTGTAAAGTTGGAGAGCGGAGGAGCCAAGCATGGCTTGTCTAAAGCTGACCTTAAGTGAAAGCTGATGTTCACCTGCCTGTTCTAAAAATAAGGGCAAACACGGCAGAGTAGTAGCGTACGTCTAGTGCTAAAATGTATTATTATGTCATCTCGCAAAGTACAAAATTGTCTGGCAGCCTTTACCGAAATAGGCAAACACATGCGAGGAAAAGAAAAGTGTTTAGTTAGTTTGAGCTATAAAAGTTTTTGTCATGAAAATAGAAACTCGGTCGTTTAATTAATCATTATGCCGCGTCGCACTCCACTAAACACATAGATCCATTAATTTGAGTTTCGGAGAAAATAGAAACGTCATTCACTCCATAATACATTTTTACATATGAGTGGTGTTTACGAATCCATTTATTTTACGTAACTTCAGTATTTGAAAGTAGAATACGAGCTACTCATAAGCAACGTCTCTCTTGCAATACACATGTGTATGCATTTAAGTATATTGCAAATGATACATGAACATAGAGACTCGGAAGCATGAAAGGATTTATCGAGCTAATCACCTAGCAGAACACGGAAAAAAATAAATAATCGTAATACGCCGCTAAATAAAAGCGAACACAAATTACGCCGTGGAAAACTGCTTTCTCTTTTCCAGGAACCTACCCGGCCCAAAGTGCATTTTATATGTTTGTAATGCAGATATCGCACTACGCACCATTACACCCACTCGCAGTTGAGGAGAAGGGGTTGGTAGCTGAATTTTACAATCTCATTCATTTCGGGACAGAGATGAGAGAGGGAGAAAGTCGGGCTAAAAGGATGATCGATCACACTCGTATTAGTGGATCTGGCTCACAAAGGGAATAAATGACTTTCACTTGGGCCCTACTTCTGCCAATGAGATTTGTGATAGTTTTCCAGTTTTGTCGTTAATTATCTCCTGTCAAATGAGAAACAGTGTAATGAACAGAACCCACGACGCAAATGAGATGAATGCATGAGAATAGTTGAGTAGACATTTATGTATGCATGAGATGAGTATGGATTCATATTTTCGAAGCGTGCGAGGACATTTTAACGCAGGAATATGGACTTGACTTATGTATGTATGTACCTTTAGGGATGTACATAGCTGTCTCATGATAATTAATTTTAAATTGACATACACGTTAAAAATTATGGCGGTTCAATTAATCTTAATGGATGCACTTGAATAATATACGATATGTAAATTAAGTGCTCTTACAGATTAAGAATATGCTCCTTGATAATAGGAATTTTGATCAGCAAAATTTGATGTTTGGGTTTAATGTGATGATTACATTACATTACGAGCAGATCAAAGCATTCTCATGGAGCGGTTTGATTCTCATCACATTCATCACTTTCTAGGATAAAGTGCAAAACGAAATATACAAAATTTTGATACAAAGTAAAGTTATGCTTTAATTCTCACTGGTTTAGGTTTTAAATGTCGGTTATACGTACATAAGACTATTTTCTCGTCATACTGCTCAACCTGCGAATAGGTTGAACTAAAGAAAAAGTACAATCCTATTTCTATTGTCCTGCATAGAACTGTACATATTTGTCAAACCTCATACAGTTTTACTGCTTGAACTAACTGTGTAGGTATGAAAAACTGTCAGGCTCATTTTTGAGCATTCACATTCAATGCAAGATTGATTGATGTAAATTATTGATCAGCAGAAGAATTTGGTCACTTTCTATTGTGCTGACAGCGCTAGTGGGGCACAAGAGATTCTCAATTTTCACTTGCTGCTCTGGTCATTTCACAATTACTTGGCTTGAAAATAAAATTTCGAGGTGACGGAACACAAAGGATTTTCTGAGATAAGAGAGAGAACGCCTCTTCAAACTTATTTATGCAACCGTCGTGCTAGATAGATCAATAAAGGAGGATCAACAACGGGCCATTGTGACATTCTCGTGCAAACAAAACTTAAAAGTTTACTGCCGGTGCAAGGCTTAGTTGGAAAACTTTTTGTTTAAAACTCTTAAAATTTCAAATTTGAATGGTTTTTTGTGAGTACTCAGAACAAAGCATTAAAACACGACACGAAACCACATACCACATACCAACCGACTAAATATCAAACAGCCCTGGTTTCTACCCACGCACGATGCTCTCCCTGTTTCTCTAGAAGTTGGATTGATACTTTTACAGTACCTACATACATATTTCTCAATAATATGAACAAGAAAATATAAATCAGGGTTGGAAATTATTGAGTGATTGCTTATACGAGGAGATATTGTACAATTGATAAGGTTTGGCAATATATGACCTACAAATAAATATTCATCTTGCTACGTGAAGTCCGTAAGTTATTGATGCCATATAGTATGTAGGCGCATAAGGTAGTTGTGCACATAACGTTTATTAGTGCTCTAGCCAAGTTCCTTCCTTTTCGAGAGAAAGGAGGAAAGAAAGACGAGGGCGAAACTCATTTCTCATGAATCGAGACTACGGGCTGGTTGGGGCCTTAAATATTTTATGACTCTGCCTTCATTGGGGACAGCACTGGTCGTTCTCTGGGTCTGCGAACTTGTCGTCGTCGTGGACTTGTTGGGTTTCCCTTCAACGAGAAATAATAATGCGATATCGACGTGCGTGATTCCAATTAGCTGCCCACTTCTACAACAACATATTTGCGATGGCATGAAAAAAGCAAAGTTTCATAAATCTAAATATTTGAAAATACTAAATCAACAGGGTACGAAATGAGAACATTAGCTATTTATTTATTTTGTGATGCTTTTGTGTGTAATAAGTAAATAAATACTCGGTAGACTAATATGTAACTTGGTATGGACACCAAGTCGAGACTGGAGTGCTTGAATATATTTATGTAAATACATATAAACTTTCCCAAATGTTGTCGTCACAAATTGTAATTAAATAACCAATATTTATACTCTGTTCTTGTGTTATGTAAGCGTCTCGTCTGCAAAATCATGAGTGATAAACTCCAGGGTTCACTTTAAGTCGTTGGTCATTATTTATCTTTTCTCGACGCTAAGATTGGTCTTGAGATGAAATTGCTTTTCCCTGCATACTTAAATGTACATACGGCTTAAAAGAACTATATCTAGAGCTATTTATATATATATACCACAAGAGCAGAAAAGGAACTACTTGGTTTTAACGATCCATACCTGTGTACAAGACGTTGGGAACAATTCCATGAGATACATCAAAGGCGTGATGAGACACGGCAAGTAGAGACTTTTCTTCATAAGACACGACTTTCTCAGCCGTGTTTGACACCAGGAGAGCACATGGGCTGCCACTGCTGCTGCTACTTCCACTCGCGGAGGACAAAGAAGAAAATTGGTTAATTACAGTATCACTTTTCTCCACACTTTCACCTTGGTCGTCGTCCTCATCATCATCATCGTCGTCCTCCACACCCACCAGTTCGCTATTACTGTTGAATTGGTTTGGTTTATTAGCACTATTGTCCCCCAGTCTCGTGGTGGTGTCCAGGTCGAGTGGGACGACACTGCCCTCATCCACGTTTCCAGGTCTCACGACATTTCCCCCAAGTGACCTCGACCCAATCATGGGCAGCCCCACGAGCAGGAGCAGAATTGCCAACGACTGGGGCAGCGTCGTGGTCTTGAACCGTCTCAAATGTTTGAACCAATTTGCCATGTTCGGGTTTCTTGTTCTCACTCCAATTTTCTCCTGGTTGAAATTTTTCTTTGAAACTTTTCGATGATTTCCTTGTCCTTCACCATTGTGAGGATTTTTTCATTGCAGTTGAAAGTGCACACGAGGCCCAGCACAGGGGTCAAGAGGAGGAGGAGGTGAAGAGGTAAAACGTGGTCTGCTTCACCACCTCTGCTGCTGACTCTTGGGTGAAAGCATGCCAAGTGTTGCCTCTGAGCAGTACAAAGACAGACTGATGCGTTGCATGAACTCGGAGAAAGTTGGTGCTCTAGCTTCGTTGGAGTGCTTCGTAGTCCTCTGCCCCTCGTCCACTCTTCACAAAACATTCCACATTATCTCAAAGTTGACCACTAGGTGCAAGAAATTATGCATACGCCACAAATATTTCATTGCACCCAGTATTCAACTACATATTTATTCATATGCCGTATATATGCAAATGCTGACATATGTATGTGCGGTTCATAATCTAAGCTGTACAATATCGATAACTTAGGATTGGTGCTGCATTGTAATCCATCCAATAATTAAAACTACGGCATTCTGAGAAAATTTATTTTGAGAGTGTTATTACAATTCATATGAAAATTCTTATTATTATTCAAATTTTCATAACACGCTATATTAACATACGTTTGCATATTGCTTGCGCGAGTATGGTAGATTACATCACGATATAATAACCTGCAAGATAAGCGTCATAGACGAGCGAGAAAACAAATCAGCGTCATGTGCTGTCTTACAACGAAGAAGAAGCCATTCGCAGTGTAAGTGCATAACTAACCTTGTTGTCTGGTCAGGGAGTTGAACTTGGGATGACCTTTGCTTATCTCTCATGCCATAATCCATCCATCCATTGGCAATTCCTGCTCATGTTCTTCTAATAATTAAAACGACGCAAGGCAATTAGCGTACATACATGGCTCCCACAACTTCCACAGTCGCAGGTCATCGTATTTATATAAGAAACGCGAATTCGAAGTCGGAGTTCCACAAAAAATTGTAGAATTTGTCAAGTGCAAAAATTAACATTCCATATTTATCGCAGCACCTTGTCCTATTTTTCTGAGAACCATTTCAGAGGAATAATTGCATTGAATAGTTGTATTGTGACCCGAAGAAAGGACAAATTCCTCCGTTCATGCATCAAAGCACGGGACGAGACATCGAACCAGGGACGACTCGGGGTGTGGGAGATACAAAGTCCGGTCTATTCGGGACAAAATTGGATCCGCAGTTCAAAGTTTTTGATAAAGTTTCATTCAAAATCCGAAAATTCAAGATTCGTCTAAAGTAACAGATTCGACAAATTTCTTTTTCATCTGGGTCCTCCTACACATATACATACGCAACCGAAGAAATGGCTAACTCGACCGGGTTAGTCAGGTCAATTTTGAAGGGCACATTGTCAACAACGAAACGGTTTCGAATTTCTCCCCTCGACCGACGCTTCCCGTTAGCAGCGCAATACATTTCCAAAAGATTTTATTCTCCGGAACGTAAGACATTAATACCGAACGTATATAGAATTTGTTAAATAACGTGCTAAAATTGTGTGACAAAATTGCAGCTGTACGAAGGTTCTACGGAGATGTGACCGTGGTGCCAATTCAGACGGCTTCGAGAGGAAGTCCTGGGACATGGGGAGTCAATTTAGACAAACGGGCGCTGCGAACCCCAAGCAAGAAATTGTTCGAAGTGGATAATGAAGCGGTTGCATTGGCAGTGGCCAACGAATGGGCAGTTCAAAGGGACATCGTCATGTTAAACACAATGCACATGGTCAGTCGTCACACGTATTCTGGGCTAAGTTGTACGAATTATTAATCGTTTGGTTTATCATGCTCTGAATTTTGTAGACGGCGTTGGCAAATACGGCAATAGACAATCCCTTCAACAAAACTAAATTCAGTATATGCAACGAAATGCTGAGCTTTCTACCACTGGACACTATTTTATACAGATCTGAGGTAATACATAGGAAATATTTCTTCTATATATTATAACGCATTTCTATGAAGTCAAGGCATCAGTATGGATTGATATGGTTTCCTGTATATGATAGGAAAATGAACGCTTGTGGGAGTTGCAGCGTGAATTGTGGGACCCTAACCTTCAATGGTTTCAAAAGGCGTTTCAGGTGAAGCTTCCCATTGTTGCAGGAGCTATAACACCCCCACATATTCCTGATGAGTCCCTGGCTGTCCTCCGAAAGGAACTAATGTCATACAGATTCGATGCATTGTTAGGTAAATGGGCACATAACATAGATGAGTTAGTTTGCGCCATGATTTGTAAACTTACTATCACGTTACTAATTTGTAATAATGTTATTAATAGGACTTCAATTTGCTGCGGAAGCTCTCAAGTCATTAATTCTTACGATGGGCGTCTTGAAAATGCATTTGAGCACGGAACAGGGTCTCAGGCTTAGTAGGTTGGAATTGGATTTCCAGGTAATTTTTCTTGAACTTATTGCAAAGGATATTTATTTATAAGTAGATTGTGACCTGTGGTATGCTATTATTTATTCCAGACACAACACTGGGGGAATGTTGAATGGTCTCATGATTTGGAGAATTACGATACAATGTCTAGATTTTCATGTGGAATGATGTTCTTCAGTCTCAATACCTTTGCCCCGTTTCGATATATTGAAAAAGTTGACCCCGAAACAACTTTAGCCTTTGAGAAAAAGAGCACAAGTCACCATAAGTAATACGTATTATTATATTCATTGTAGTCAATTGAACCAATGCATGCCTTTCACGAATATATCCGTGATAATTAAAATTAAGTATATTCAAAAGTTTTGATTTCCTTGCAATAACGTTTACAAATTAATCTTTTCGAGAATATTTTTTACAGGAAATATAAATACACACATATGTAATTAATTTTTGTTTCGTAATTATTTGTGCTCCAAAACATTACTTCCGAACTTTCATTGTCTAAGACAATTTGTCTTGTTTGCGACATCCTTGATATGATTCCGTTACATCACTACTTATTTACATGAATAGACGTCATTCCTCCAATGAGGAGGCAAATTTAGTGTCGTAATTCTTTACGCCGTCATCACAATTGGACATTTGATGAGTAATTGGTTGAGTAGCAATCCAACATCGTCACAGTGCTCCATTATAAATGACATTCTCAATTACATTTCTTTCAAACCCATCGAATAGAGTGAGTGTAATTCAATCATCACACACCGTGTTTTCATAACTCTTTTATCATACTTTTATGGCTAGTGTGACATTAAATTCTTGCATCTACATACATACTTCATGCTTAAACCGGGCAACTACACCTGCCTAGAAAGCAATGTATATATTTGGGAGAAAGTCATGCATATTCCCGAGTGAGTGGATATGATGCACGATGTGGTACTTCCCATGCGGATATCTCACTTGATTTTCACTCACTATTTTCTCCACGGCCCTTGGACACTGAGGTTTGAACTGGTTGAATTAATTGAATTTAGTAATTCAAGAGTTTTTATAGAATGGCTGCTAATAAAAACTGGAGGAAAGTGAACCAAGTTTTCTCTATTGACCAAAAGGACGCATTATTTCAGAAATCAAACACATTGGAATTAATTTCCAAGTTGGATCTGACCCAAACTCGACACGGAAGCGATGCCAACCAGCCGATCGAATCGCTACAAGCATTGCGACCGTTTCTTCTGTACTACCGACTTTTCGGATTTTTACCCATTTCTATTCACGCTGGGAATTGCAGTGTTTGGTTTAACCGTAGGGGAAGCCTTACCTGGGTGTTCACAGTAATTGCCATTCTCATCCAGTCCACAATGCTTATCAGGGCGGCACTGATGTTCGTCGAGGGCTTAACGTCGACAACCATGAACACGGCGTCCTTGGAGGTCGCAAACGCCAACAGCATCATTTATTTTGGTCATACGCTAGCAATGACTTTGGTCATGTGTCATCGTGTTCATTTACTCCCAAGTTTCTTTGAATCATGTAAATCAGTTGAAAAACTTTGTGTCCAATATGAACAGAAAAATGACAAATTGGTCAGGCATTGCTGGATCTTGTTTGGATGCTTTTCGTGCACCCAGTTGGTCGGTAATTCACTCTACTATTATTCTCAAGGTACACCCACGTCATTACATTTTTAAATTACATGTAAAACAGCTTATCTAACATGAATGTGTAACATAATTCCTCAAGTGGCAAAAAACAATGTCACTTCTATCGGCAAATTTGCAGAAATCAATGAACTACAGGGGGAAATATACTTTAATTCCTCCACACTTGGAGTATCTTACAGCTTCTTTGAATTCTACTGTGACATTGGGTGGACATTTGGCGATACGCTGATTGCACTCATGTCGCTGATCCTAACGAGGTTCTTTATTCGTCTGAACAAAGGCATCTCTGCCTCCAAAGCACAAACCGTTCACGAAGTTGAAAGACTTCGGAAAGATCACCGAGCAATTAAGGACCTTGTGGAGGTCAGTTTTAATCTTTACTAAATTATCAAAAATAGTTCACTTATCTATATTTTGTGTTTTTGTGCTGTGATATAGCAATGCAACCAAGTATTTGCTCCTATCATTCTTGTTAATTTCATGGGAAATGTTATCTATTTGTTGACGAGGCTATACACTGGATTATTTGAGGATTTGCAGAATCCAGAACTTATTGTTCGCCTGGAAAGTATTTATGCATTTGTATACCAAATCGGAAAAATTATGATTCCAACATGGTTGGCAGCTCTTCTAAATGAAACTGTAATAACGGCAAACTATTTATTTCCTCATGATTTAAGTTTCAAGAATTAAATGCATTACTTTAGGCTGCAGAGGCTATAGATACCGTGCACGACTGGCCTTCGTTGATCGAACTGGAGGAAACACGAAATCGAATGATGGTGGTAATGCTATTATTTTATGTGTATTAAAAATAAGTGCAACAATTTGCAACATTTGTCTTTGACTGAGAGAATATGATGACATAAAGGTTTTTATTTATTTAGATTACAAGGTTCATTTCACAACTCATAAACGATCCTGTATCTTTATCTGGATGCGGCTATTTCACCATTACGAAAAGCTTCTTGGTCACATTAATCAGCGGGTTACTGACATATGAAGTTATCATTCTACAATTTCAGCAATCTGGACTCTAAATAATACTAGTATTAAGATCGTGGGCAATCATATTTAGTTATTGATAGCTGTACTTCCATCTGTTACACCCTGTATGTTGCAATAATGCAAATATAGTAAAATTAATTACATATATGCTCACAAAAAAATCACATACAAAAAATAATAGCGAAATTTGAATTTGACTGACAATGTAAGCAGGTATAACAGACATTCGGTGAAGTGGAATCGTTCAGCTACGTCTCACGAACTCTGGCTAGAGCAATGTAACACTTTTTATTGGAGAGATCCGTCCAACCAACGGGGCCCATTTCGCAGTCCGCACACGTCAAGTACTTGATGTCGCCGACGGCGTTAGAAACACCAATGTTGTCGAACATCATCACATCCGAAACCATGAACCATCGGGACAGAGGCTCCACCTCCAAACCCTCACTCAGAGCTTTCTTCTGTTTCATTTTAGGCAGTGCCTTCAATAAAAAAATCAGTACAACAAGGAAAATACTATTAACAAAGACGCTTAAATTATGTAGAACAAACATTACAGCTTTTCCATCCAGCCATAATTCCATAAATAATAATCGTATACTTTACCCTTTCCTCCACATGATATGACGCCACTTTTGCTGGCATTATTTTGGAAGGGCAGAAAATGCAATTCAAGGCCCACATATTCTTCCCGTCCAGCACGGAATCAGAAATCTCGGCAGGTTCGGCAGTGGATTCTGGAAAATTGGCCCCGTCCTTGTCCTCGTCCACTGCTGCTGGTGCAGGGAGAGATTCGTGGCCCCCAGTCACTTCCGCCCCTCCTCCTGGAACGTTCTTAACGTCGCTCTCCTTCATATGAAAATTCTATTTAGAAAAATGTTTTAAACCACTTTAATTCTTTGACGTTTCTTTGTACAAGTAATACTTTTATCATCAATATGTATCCTTCCATTCCCGCATTGCACAGGCGAGTGCGCAACTTTTGCTTTCAATGACATTTCTCAAAGCCGACCCGACAAATATTTTGCATTTCAAAACGTAATCTTCTATCTCAAGTACAAATTGGCAGAATGGACTTGTCGAAGGTCAAGGACGAAGTTAAACGCGATTTGTGTCGACGATACTTTTTCTGTAAGTCTGTTGTCCACTGTTATTCATTCAACGGTTCATTTATATTTTTCAACCTTAATGAAAAATTAAAATGAAATGACTCATGCAGCAATAAAATAAAATGTTATTTTAATTTCAATTCTAGACGGACTTGCGTTCCTTCCCTTTCTGTGGGCTGTAAATGCTGTTTGGTTCTACAAAGAGGCCTTCAAGAGGTCACCTTTTCCAGAACAGAAAGAAATTCGTAAATGTTCGTAGCCTGCATACTTCACATTTATTAATAATTTTAATAGTTTTAATGCTGTTGATTCCAATACACATTTAACTTACAGATTCTATTCTATCGGGGTTGGGGGCAATAATTTGGATAATTATACTTGGAACTTGGGTCATCGTTTATCAAACTAATCGAGCCTCGTGGGGAGAACTTGGAGATGACCTGTCATTCATTTTACCTCAAGGAAGACCTTAAATAACTTTCCACTTTTCTACTCATGTACACACATACAACACGTTATTATTATTTAGCCTCATGGAATGAGGCATTAAGGTATTGCAGATTAACGCATCGTATTTATTTCCTAATGAACCATTTTATACTTAGAATCTAAGTCTTAGATCGATATTTGATAACATATTAATTAAAATTTAATATTAAAACCAAACGAAAAATGTTCCCAAAACGTTCCTGAGTTTGTGTCTCGACAATGAAAGTACACTTACGATATCATCAAAAATACGATAAAAAGTGCATGATGCGGATTTTATTTGTGATGAGTCTTTATACATTTGGTGAGTAGCAAAAATATTCAACATAAATAATACGTTTAAAAGGCACTCCATATTATCGTAATTAATTGAGGCGACAAATAAAAATAATTAGTACCAAGCTGACTAGAATAATATAACAAAGGAGCATTATTCACTGGGGTTTTTCAAAACTGATTTAATTTTGTAACGATGATCATTCTAAGCGTTTGGTCAAATCCTGTGCAAATTGCGAGACCCATTTTATCAGGACACCAGTCAAAAGACGACAATGGTTGAGTAGCAATCGTCATATTTTGCAACAACTCTACGGACCCTGCAACTCCCATATCTAGGCCAGAATCAGTGTCCTTTTTCACCCGACAAGAAGGATAATTGCTATAAATTACAATAGCACACACATATAGATATGCATTATCACTTAATTGTAAAATAATTCCGCTTACTATTTCCAAAGGCACATGCCACCATTCCCCCCGATGGTCATGAAAATGTCTCTATTTTGAGGCAGGTGTTTACCAGCCCAGACAGTGGTCGCTTTATGCGCTTTCTCCGACACACCAGTTAGTCCTTTCTTTGGGTGTAGGGTGCGGCAGTCAAAAACGTGAAACTTTGATTCCAATGTTGTCACCAATAGTTTATTCATTGCAATGTCCTTCCGGTCAAAGTCAACACAACAGATGCCATTCTTCAAGTTCTTTTCCCAAATGACTTTACTTTGATGTAGATCAAACAGTCGAATGTCCCCATTGTCGTAACCACTGCAGACAACTCTTTCAATGTTATTGAAGGAATTCCCTGAATGAAGATTAGTGCAGAAACGCGTAGATTAAATGCTTTACCGAAAGTGGTCAGTATAAAATTAGTACAACTTACCAAATGATACTGTCCAACAATCTCTTTTCTGGTCTCCTTCTTCAGGCTCGATCACAACCACAGGCTTGTCCTTTTGTCGAACATCCCAGATTTTAACCGTCCCTGTAAACAACAGAATAGTAAAATATATACCATTACAAAATAGTCAACATGCATATGTAGGTCTTTGACATAGGTAGAAATTAATTACCATCTCTACTGCCAGTTACCACCTCTGGGGGTCCATTCGCAAGATTTCCTCCAATAGCATCTAGTGAGTTAATTATTTCTTTGTGACCCTTTACTTCATACGTTTTCTCCTTTGTGTCCAAGTCCCTATAAATTTTAGGACCGCATTATCTCAATTGTCCCAGTTAAATCACTCATTAAAGCGTGCACGCTTTGTTATTAAGCCAAGTTTACCAGATTTCCAGATTCCCGTTGAAATCGCCACAAGCTAGTAATTTTCTTCCGGTGGGTGAGATTCCAAAACTTGCACATTTTAACGAAACTCCAGTGTCGATCTAAACAAAAAGACAGCGTTATTGAATAACTTATACTGATCTTATTGGTTAAGGTGGTGTGTACTTATGCAAAATATTTTTAGTATCAAACTTGCCCTGTCTACAGATTTGATATCCGTGGAAGCGATTTCAAAAACTTCGATGACCCCGGTGCCTCTGGCAAGACTGCCGACAACAACAAACTTGGCCGTACTTGGGATCCACTTGCAGTCAAAGAGGGTGTAGTTGAGAGACTTTTCCACGTGACAGATAATCTGGGGCTTGTTCGTATCCATAATCTCGACCCTTTACACTCTTATCTTCTCAACTACTTTCAACACAAAGTCACAACAATGCACAATTGGATGTTCTTCTAAAACAAGAAGACAAAAGTGTATTATTTTGTAAACATTTTCACAGCAAATCTCACTTTTCTTTCCCGCAGTTCGATGGTTACCAACTTCACAAAAAACAAAACATGTGCTGCTCGCTCGTATCGTCTCATAGTCATATCTCATTTTCACATGCTGGAATTGTACAATTTTCTATCCTTTCTTCATCCGCATTCCTCTGTTATAAATTAATTAATTAATATCTAAAGCATCATCATGGAGGAAATAGAGGAAAGGACAAGTATTCGGCAAGAACTGTCAAATCTAACCTTTGAGGAATTAGAAGAACTGAAGCAGAAGATGGGCTTAACTTTGTACAATGAAGCAATGTTTGGAACGACGACTAAAAAACAATTAAGCAAAAAGAAACAGATGCAGCTATTTAAAAGAGAAAACAAAAATAGGCCCCGAGAGATATCTTCAAGATCTCGTGCTCCTCCCGTTCGTGAAGTCGTTCACGTCAAGAAAGTGGTCAAAAGAGATCCAAGGTTCGACGAATCATGTGGAGAACTTAATACAGAGGTGAGAAAGAACTTATAATTGATTGACCTCGTAATTAACAGATCAATTATAATGGGTCTACTTGAATAGTATATTATTTATTACACATTTTATGTGTTTCAGATGTGGGACAAGAATTACGATTTTCTGAAAAACATGCAAAAGGAAGAAGTCCAAGAGTTAAAAAAGTCGCTGAAGGATGAGCATTATGATGAAGATAAGAGGGTAGAAGTAAAAAAGTATATTCAGACATTTAAGAACAAGGAAAAATCTAAAGCAGAGAACGACAAGGAGAAACAAAAACGGAAACTAGAGAAAGAGGAAAATATTAAACGCATGGCACAAGGCAAAAACCCGTTCTACATGAAAAAATGTAATTTGATTATTATTTTTATTTCTATTACAAATATTGCGAAACATTAACAAGATTCTTGTTTATTTTTAGCAACACGAAAGTTCCTAGATTTGGCAGAAAAATATGAAGAACTTAAGGCAAGTGGTAAGCTGGAAACATACTTGAAAAAGAAACGAAAGAAGAATCAGACACGTGATAAAAAAACTATTCCTACTGTATAGAGTTATATTTATAGTTATATTTATTAGAGTTATATTTTTATTTTTACCTTAATCATTTAATAAATAACAGTTAAGTTCAAAGATGAGATAATTGTTTCGAAGAAAAGTTATTTGTCTCAATCTACCTCAACCCCAATCTCATCTTACCTCTTTATTGACATTTCCACATTCACCTGTTATGTGTTATGTGTTTTACCACTACATCATAATTGAACAATTATTACTTGCAATTTGCTGCATTACTTGCAGGTTAAATAAATAAACGTTAAGTGCAAGATGGGAAAGACTAGCAAATGTGTGGTGGTGGGAATGAAAGGTAAAGTTAACTAATATGACAAAAAAATAGACTAATAGTTGCATTTATTTACACTATCAAAACTAGATTTAAATGAAACATGTGTAAATAGGAATCGGAAAGACGACGATGCTGGAACAATTAATTTATGGAAATTTTGAAAAGCAGGTTAGTCACAAGTACACATAAACTCGCGGAAACGAAGTGCATTGAGATTATTTGAGATGCGTACTCGAGGTGCATTTGTAAAATCGAGGAAAATTTGACATTTTTGGCGTTTCGACATTTAATGACCTCGTTTAGACGGTCACCAGATAATCCCCGCCCCAAACTACGTTTAAAACGACCAAATTTTTGGCACCTGACTGATCACCGTAATGCGATGGGCCATGGCATCAGTTACCGAACTCCCTCTTTCTTACTTTTAAGATTACTAAAATTAGATGTCGATATCCTAAAGCAGAACTAAAAAAACATGATTCGTTCGAAAGTTATCGTGCCGATGAGCAGACAGACGTACATACACATGATACATGACATACGTGCATACGGACAAATCGATCGCAAATTGCGATTCGCAATAACTAAGCTTCACTTCGTTCCGCTCGTTAAAATTATAATGCAACGACTAATTTTAACAATAACCAATCAATTATGAAGGAATATATAGTTTGTTGGACTTATTTTTATTAGGACATTCATCCGACAATTGAGGACATTTACGCAGCCGTCATCGACACTGACCGTGGAACTAAAGAAGGGATACGATTTTATGACACTGAAGGATTCTCACTGACAGCCGACGGTGGAGATAGCAGCATCGCTCTCCAAAAACATTACCACGCCCTGGCGGACGCCTTCATACTCGTCTACTCGGTGGACAGCCGACAATCCTTTGAAATTATTGACATTTTAAAGAAAGATATTGAAAAAAATCGAGAGAAGAAAGAGGTAAATACTGCAAATAAGTAGTAGTGAACCAGTTTCAGTACTGAAACTTACCACAAATCCAATAAATTTTTGAGAATGTACAATGCAGGTTGCAATGGTGCTAGTTGGGATTGTTCCGAAGGCCAATATTAAAAGGGAAGTTGACCCTAGTTTTGCTGTGAGCTGGGCAACAAGGGAAAAGATGCGTCATTTCGAAGTGACAATTAGTGATCGTAAAAATTTGGTCCTCCCGTTTATTTATTTAGCATCTAAATTGAATCCTCCTCCCACGAAAAGCACCTTCGCTCCTTTGGGAATGGTGTCGAGGAATAAAGTTAAAGAATAGATTTATCATACCTTATTAGACTTTAAATATTTTTGGTATCAATAAAAATATATTTAACTCAGAAATAAGTAATTTGAGCTGGTCATTTTTATGTATGGCGATGCAATATTTTTTGCTTTAGGTGCATATATGATGCCCCTCGATGCTAACTGTGCTATATCAGTGCCATAATTCACGATGTGAATTAATTTTATACAAATCATAAGCAAACCAACCTTCAATTCACGTCTTTCACTATTTTTTGGTACATGCAACGTAAATGTTTACGTAAAATGATAGTAATATATACATACATATGACATATGGTAATCAGTAATATGAAAAATCATAAATCATGAAACGTTTTAAATGCATAATTACGTATATTTTATGACTGAATGTCATCTGCAATAATATGTAACGTAATAAATCACTACGTCCAACTACATGTTTAAACGTTAAGATCACAGCGAGTACATAACATAAATAAGTATAAAATAAAAGTATAACAAACGATATAAAATACAAATAAATATTACAAACGAATACTTCAACAGGTAATTAATGATTGATGATGAAGCTTTGGTCATTGAATGACTCCTCATCATTTCTAATCAACTAAACTAATTAATGAATAAATGAACATAAAATGTTTGGAAATAAAAATAAAGCAAGAAACAGTGACTTCCTGAATAAATGAACAACTATTGGTTTGGTTTACCTTGTACGGAAAAGAACTAAACTTAGAAGATTAATACAACAAAATAACAAAATCAACCAGAACATTATTGTACCAATTCTTACTGGAACAATTAAGAAGACTGAATTTTCATTTATTTTAAAAATCAATCACGATTTAATGACATTTACTATAATTTGACGATTTAAAAATGTTCGTTACATTGCGCAGATTGACAGTGCAATTGGAACCAGACTCATCATATCCATGTTTGACATATACATATATGTAATAATTAATTAATTACTTACATAGTTGAAAGTTAGTTATTCTACTAGTCTGGATTACATTGAAATATATTTCCTACTTTTAAAAGTATTTTAGTATTTTTATTTCCGCACCCTAGGTGTTGGTTGTTTTTGAGTAATGTTGAGGTTGAAAACGTACAAAATATATCCAAACATTGAGAGCAATAATGGCCAGACGACTGATGATAAAAGTAGGTAGCGATTCTTACAACAAGGGCTCAAACACAAGTTCGGCGTCTATATGTAGTCAATAGCTCTAGATAAGCAGTCTTATTTAGCTTTTACAAGGTTTACAACAACTAAGGACGAATAAATAGCAGATATTAGAAATGTCCAGTTAGTTCTTGATATCTTTATAACATTAAACGTACAAAAAACTCGTCGAATTACGCAGAGGTGGAGAATTTGATTTCACTGATTCAGTTTCACAGTAATTTTGCCCTTTTACAACACTTATTAGTTACCTAACACATTTACATATTACATAGTTTGCACTGGGAGTTTTTTTTGCTGCCTCCGTAGTCATAGTCCATACCACGGATTCACAATTTGGTGAATAGGAAAATTTTTACAAAGAAGGACCCAATTTCTTCAAACTTGTATTATCTTCATTTTGACGGGGTATGGAGTTCTTGTTTGAAAGTTAAGAAATTTGTTTATTTTGCTAGTGATTTTGGAAGTCATAAATTTTGGGGAAACCCTTGAGGTAGAAGAACTTTGTGTCTGACTTTCTAGATGAGTTTTTAGCCAATCAAGTTTATAATATGCGTAATATATTTACATATTAATTCATACATATTACACAAAAAACGAATGCATCAAGTTCTAAAATTTTCATTACATAAATGTATTTACATATGTATTTAGGAGGTTAGCAGCACATTAGTTGACTATTTTGACACAAGAAGAACGGTTCTTCTTGTTATGTAAATTTACGTAGAAAAATTATTGGTGGAATGTATAGCATTTGCATGCAATAATAAAAAATAATGCTATACAACCTTAAAATATCTTAAAACGTATGATATTGCAGGTAGTCCTTAAAACAAAACACATTTGAGCGGTGTATATGTCTTACCATTATGGAGATGGACTACTCTAAAGCTTACAAAACTCTCTTATTCAAACTCTTCTCTTATGTATATGAGATCAGTTGGAACTTGTTGTCAGACAACAATAAATGCCAGTGTCGTTTTCATTCATGAGTTTTGAGATTCTATTATTGGATTGATTCAATTCCACAGGAACTGAAACTGGCACGTTGAATTCTCCAAAATGCAGCAGTCACTCATCGTGCATTGTAATATCAAGTAATAAAACTTTGGCAGTATTATTATTAATCAGATCAGTAACACAGATTAATTCGAAGACAGCTGATAAAAAAAAATTAATAAAGGACCTGAGACGACGTTTATAGTAAAAGTAACGTCCAAAACTTGGCCAACAAAAAGGACGATATTACCGGACATCATATAAAATTAAGCCATTGATATCAAGAACGTAAATTATGGAGAGTTGCCCAAGATGTGGAGTATGGCACGCAAATTGAATTTTCATACATTTTTCTTTCCAGTCAGGTACATACGTCCTGACGGAAAGGAGAATTTTTCTTCTCGTGCATAATAATAGGTATTGACGACGATGGTAAATTATAACTTATGATTATTTGACTGTGTGCTTAAGTACGCATTGAGGAACGGCAGTACATTGACGAGACGACGTATTGTTGACTTTTTCATTGGTCATCTTCTTCACTTTCGTTATTATTTCCATACATGTCTGCTAATTTTGAGAAACGGGGACCCCATCCGTTAAGGTAGTCAAAGTCTTGTTCTTGATCATCGGTACCTGCACAATTACAACACAGTAGTTAATCAAGCTTCACGTGCTTAACGTTTTAACGCGTATCATTCGTTATAATTTTGTGCATACCTCCAAAAGCCTCAAAATCTGACAAGTTTGCTGTGGAAGGAGACAAATAATAGCAATAAATATTTATGTATACCCAACAGAAGAATAAAGTGCTAATGACTCTATAGCGCTCAATAAATTTTGTTTTTAATTGACAGGTAATCTACCTGAAGCTAGCGACGATAATGAGCCGGCTGTACTTCCTGTAAATATAAGTCATACTCATGTATTATGTATATCGTTGGTCATATATTATAGTAAATAATAGTAAAAATATTAGTTACCGCCTCCTTCATAAGCGTAATTTCTTAAGTCGTCAAATGGTGGAGCGTTAGGGTCGTGATCTGCTCATAGATATTCGTATTAGAATAAAACAATGACAATTTGTATTGACTGACAAAATCAAAATTTGTAATTTGTAATTACCTGCTCTTCTCTTGTGATCGTCGATAAAAACTCCGACATTTGGTTCACCTCCTGACATCATTTGTGGGTCGGGCATTTTCATCATATCTGTTGTCCGTCGTTATCAAATAATTATAAGCAACTAATTTTCTTACTTCAAACGCGGCTTTGATTTGATCACTTACATGGCATTTTGGGCATCATCATTTCATGCCCTGGAGCACCCACGGGGATCTGTTTTCGTTAAAAAATAACGTTCTCGTTTATATTAATGCGATTAATGAATTTCTTCATTGACTAGTCAAAGTAAAACCACAAATAGCGCATATGCACATGGTTTGTTAAATGAATAATGAATTAACCTGGAGTGGTGTAATGTCAAAAGCAGTCATGTCGTCCTCACCACCGCCTTCATCATCGTAATTGATTATATTTTCTCTCACGTCGTCATCTGGTCCAGGATACTTAATTTGCGCTTCTCGACGACGGTTGTACACGACGAATACAAGAACCAAAACTATTAAGAAAACCACAATTAGTTTCCACTCTGATCCATAATTGCAGAAATTATTGTACTTTAAGTAGTGGTGATTGCGACTCAATTGTTGAATTTACGTAGTTTATCCATAACGCACACAAAATTTACCCACAATGACAAGTACTACATTGAGGCACGGGGTTTATTACATTCATTATTCGGTGCTTGCATTGCAGGGAAAGAAATAAAATAATGTACAAATGAAAACTTACTCAGGAGAACAAGAATGCAAATGAGAAGGGCAATTATGAAATCGCTCGAAGCAGAAATAATTCCGGACGGAACAACGTCGAATTCACAGTGACGCCCAGAAAAGCTTCGAGGACATGTGCAAGTGAACATTCGGTCATCCTCGTTGTTGGTGCATGTCCCGCCATTAATGCACGGCCGGGACTCCTTGCACTCATCGATATCGACACATTCTGTCCCCAGAAGTCGAGATCCATTTCGACATCTACAACCGTGTGCAAGTCATGCATATTTATAATTTTATTGCTCCATCAGAGATTCACGGACTTTGATTGAACTTCCCGTTGATACGTCGCCCATCCATTTCCATCAATAAGACGGAAGTAGGATTAAATTTGAAATATGAAATGAAAGCAAATACGTGTACACAATTCAACGTTAAGCAAGGCGAGATGAGGAAGAATTACAAATCAAGCAAGCTCTTACACCCTTTTTGTTATAAAATATTCTACCAAATTCAACAAGTGCTTGGCAGTCAAGTAGCCAAAATATTTATCTGGCAACCACTACGCAAGGGCGACAACTTACTAAGTATTATGAGAAGACAAACGAGAATGGCGGCCACTGGAAATTACAAAGAACAACGCGGTTATTATAAATTGGTTAGAAACAACTTTGAGGAAGTATTATCGAGTTACGTACACGCTCCCATGCTCAAGGTGAGTATTTGGCCTTCCTGGGGATAAAGACAAAATGCATCATATTAAAAAATCATATTAAAAAATAAGTAGTCCCATATGTAATAATTCCCAAAATCTTTAGCTTGTATCACGTTCCTGGAAGCCAAGCCATGATGGTTGTGGTTTGGCGTGGCTTTGTATCCAAAAATAGGAAACGATAAGAAGTCGTGTTGCTTGCGTGCTCTACTTGTATGGACCTATCGTAGCGCAGCTCTCGCTCAGTCAACACGGTCTGATTTTTACTCCTGAGATTCACAACTTTTCGACTTATTGTTTCGTTACATCCCGAATATTTTGACGCACTTTCACAAACATTATGTCGTTGAACAGCGATAAACCATCTACATCGTCTGCTATTACTACTCCTCCTTCGAAGAAGAAGAAACTGAACATAAATCAGACAGTTTTAGTTTCGGGAGAAAGTTCAACAATTGAACAATTGTACGTTAAGAGAGAGGACGGAACGTTTGAAGCACTAGAACGTAAGTATATTTTAAGCAACTAATTATTACAGCTAATAATGGAATGAAATGTAATAATTAATCAATTGTTTATTTCTAGGATGTTCCCCTATTCAGGAAGAAGTTGCGTCAACTAGATTCCAATGGGAAACCAACGCAGAAGTTGGCGAGGATGAAAAGTGGACGCCACCTACACCAAGATCTCAAGTGGCATTGGTTTTTGACGCTTTGAAAACGTACCTGAAATGGGCCGGAGCAGACAAAAATATGAAAAGCTCGCCAGAAATGAAAAAGTAAGTTATACAAAATATCAATATCTGTAATACTAATCCAATTTACAAATTGAATTATTTGACCAAGATAAAATATCAAACGTTTGAATAGGTTGTTGCGATCTGGGAAAACGTTGGAAGTCAATCGACCGAAACTAAAATGAACGTCACTTTTAAAGATGGAAGGATCAGTTACGAGAACGTAATAATCTGCAAGGACGAGTATTGTTGGAAAGTTAGACATTTTGGGGCTTTTTGTGATGAACATGGAGAAACGAAGAAGACATTTTTTCTTACGGGACACAAGTAACGCCACACCGACTTTTGCACTTTTGAGTACACGTACTACCCACTCCCCTAGTTCGAGCGTCACTTTACAAGACATTTTGAAGTCCACGAAGGCTCCTCATAAGTTTATGGCATTCACAAATTATGAACAACAACACGTCAGGACCAACGATGATGGACAGTCTCTTCCTTCACCCTGGGTATTAGTCACCCCCCGTCCATGGGTCACAATGGGACAGAAACAGTCGACCGAATTCCAAGATAGCGTACGTGTTGCTATTTCCATCCTGTTCTCACTTGTCAACTCCCAACAATCTGATCCTGAGAAGCATTACAATTTGATCGCTGACCAAGTTTTCGTCCGGAATACAAACTGGCGTTTGGTCAAAATACTACTCGAGCATTTCGGTGTTGGGATAGAGTTCACTGGAGACTCTGAGCTTGGGGTGGGTACGGAGTCACCACTTATGAAAGGGATTGTTTTGGATCGATCTGCGGGGAAGTCGTGGATTTATATGAAGATGGGAACGATTGGGCGTATTCATATTGGTGAGTAACTATCAGAATTATAATGGTTTTTTACAATCTAATTGCGTTTGACCTCATGACTTAATACTTATTTAGGCATTAGGACTCAGAAAAAAAATTCCAGCGCCAAAACCATTGCTGGTTACCACAATACCGATTTGGATGGACCTGCAATTTTTCAGTGTCAAGATGACAGGTTGGACAAGAAAAACGAGACCGAAATGATGGAAGCCGTGGGTCAAGTTGCAGTTTGTTTCTGTGAGATGCTTGGTGGAGAAATCGACGGTGCTCCCATTCGATGTGATTTTCAGAAGATTGAGAACAAGTCAGGATGGAAAGAACGACATATTGAAATGTTAATTAAATTGGTAGGATTTTTTAGTAGTCGGTTAATCAAGATTGATATTCCAGACAACATTGATTTTAATGTTTTTGATTGGCTACCTGTAAGAGATTATCTCCGGCCCCCATTTTTCAAGTAGTTTGATATTTCTGAAGCTGTTTTTGTAAGAATTGGATTGAATATGAATTGACTAATAAATTGACTTATTAACTTAGTACATACATCTGTAGTCACACGATTTCTTTTAAATCATCATTGTCGTATTCACCCACATGTTTAAAACTTCACTCTGATTTTGACAATTGGTTGGAGCTGATACTTAAATTTAGAATTGAATGCATTTATTGTCCTTACCTGATACAGCTCGCAATTCTGACCCCAATAACCAGGGGGGCACCTGCACAGAAATAATGTTCATTGAGCTGGATTCTAAGGCTTAAAATGGATGGTGTCGTATCGTATGTCCTGCTCCTTTTTATGCCTCTAGTTAAGCATGAAAACCTAACCAACGCTACAAAAAGATATTTAGTGCACCTCCTGGTTAACTTTTTCCTTATTTGATCTTAGGACCATCAAAAATCTCTTCTCGCTTCCATGCGTGAGATTCATTTCACAATTGCATACTAATCTTATGGCCTTGTTTGCAATGATTTTTTTAAAATTTAGCCTAAGAATTAGACATGTGAGAACATATCGAAAAGTTTTAATGGCTTGAATGACATTTTTCAACAAGATTTATGAAAGTTACAACTCTATAATAAATCAAAACGACCTCAAAGAAACAATGTGGAATGGTGAAAATATTTAAGTTTGTTTGAAGAATTTCGCTTATTCGTGTGGATGTACTACAGTAATGGCAGTGATACATACATAAATACCGGTACTTACTCGCAATAGTATCGGTAGGGGACTTCTCGGTTGGAGCAGACGCCGTTATTGAGACAAGGATTGTCCAAACACTCGTTCTTTATACGACAAGAGTATTTTAATAAAGATATTAGTGGATACGAATACTTCAACATTACAAGCAGTTTTTAAAGCAAATTAATACAAGGAGAAATATATATATACCCGATCTTCACAACGCTTTTCATCTGGGCTCATCACCATTCCTTCACCACAACTTTAAAAAGCATACAAACCCACAACGTTATTTCCTCAAGTTACATACAACAAAGTTATACAATTGTTAGGTAATAAAACAACAAGACTACAATTCATAAACTACTCAAAAGAGTAAAGACGAACAGTTGGATTTGATTTTTTTCAACGGGAATCCACAAAATCAAAATATTATGTATGCATGTATTTAAGAATGTTATGAAATGCCGGGGTACTTACGCGCACTCATATTCGTTCCATAAATCCACACCTGAAAAAATTGCGATGGTCTTAGGACTCGTCTACGAATTAATAGTAAATCTAAATAGATAATACGGTGTGTCTTACATTCAAAAGGTGGTGGACATATGACATTTGCACAGGGTTTGTTCGAGGGACAGTTGGGTGACAAGTTCCTCCAGTTGGTAGCTTGTCCTAGAAAGAATGAAGCAAAAATTTGTGTGACATAATAAGAAACATGTAATTTTTCCGCATAAAACTCCTCCTCTCACCCCATTGTGTCCCGTTCAATGCGGTCGGCAAGGGCAAGTGCTTTCCTTCCAAACGGATGTCGTCAATGCATCCTAGCAGTAAAAATGTTGAGAATAAGCACCCTCGCATATGTAGAATGATTAATTGAAATTTTATGCTTTTACCCTTTTGATAGTCTGCGTAAACTTCGAATGACCGGTGTCCAGTGTATTCAGCTTTGCCACCAGCGTATACACCCTCCTGCTTGTCCACCATCATCCACTGATGACCTTCGTACATGAAGGTTTCGTTATACTTGCGCCCTTCGCCACCATCGATTTCCAACGCAGCCACAGAGCCGTACCGAGTGACTCTGGCCGTGTGCCATTGTCCATCGTCTGAAAATTAATCATGCGTGTAAAACGTATTTGGAAAATTGTTATTTTTTCAGAGAGTTTTGAAATGTGAACATAACTTTATCGATGGTATAACTATAAATATATATTTTTTACACTCACCAACTGGGACGAAGGATAGCCACAGAGTTTGTTCTTCGGTTTTCAAACTGTTGAGGTTGTACCGGAACCTTAGTCTACTATCTTTAATCTAATGAAAAGAAGAATGGACCATCGTTATGTAAGCACAAATAAATAAGCAGAACAATTATGTTATGTCACAAGTAAGGCAAACTTACCTCGAGTATTCCATATTCTCTGTTGTGCTGGTCACTAATGCGAAACAGTTCCCCGTGCATTTCCCTAGTCCGGAATCGTAATTGAATTTGCGTACCTGGGGAAAATCAGGTTCAAATATGCATACCAATTAAATTTAAGGTTTTTTAAAAAGTAAAATTTGCGTACTAAATCGGTCTGGTTCAAAAGACAATGCGTATTTCACATAGCTCTGGGATTTGAATGACGCTGGAACCGTGGGGATTGAGCATCCAGGGCCTGTGAATTATTAACGTTCATAAGAGCTGTGCATTTTTGATTAACTTGAATTTTGATCGCTCCTCTTACCCATCCATCCTGGCTTGCACTCACAACGAGGATCAGTAAACGTTCCCACACAGGTCCCATGTTCGGAGCACCTCTGCATAAGATCGTTTCCTAGACAGGCGTCCTCAACCATACTACAACCCGGGGGAGCCTTGTGTCTGGAATGCCCGGGATTTGCGAGGTCGTAGATCTTGCTGTTGTGTACCAAGTTTCGAATGCAACCTTCAAAAGCTTTAGTCGTGGGAAGATATTTCCATCTGTAGTGGTTGGCTTCAAGGTGTTCCACAACCATTCCGCCGACTTGCAGAGGTGTGTTCACATTCAAGTACTCATCAAATGGAGGGATTTGTCCTTGTGCTTGGCAGTAGGTGCTATCAAACACAGACGGGCTCCCGTCGTCCGCTTCGACAACTTTATCAAAAGAGAACAATAGTTATATAAAGATTGTTACAATAAATTATAACAAATCATAAGAGTTTTTGGTTGACGCTAATTTGTAGTTGAAAGTAAATACCATCCAAACTGTTAACTAAAACTACTGATTTTTAAATTGGCAAACTATAGTCGGAGAAATATTCTTACCTCGAGCAGATTTGCAAAAGTCGACCACCATTCGAACATTCTCAGTATCCCAGAAGACATCAATCCGATGCCACTCCCCATTTGATAATGAACCGTTAGGTTTTACCCTTAGTTCGAGAGTTCCGGAGCCAAAATCTATGAGGAGTCTGGGTTCCCCTTTTTCCAGTTCGAGTGAGATAAAGTCGTGCAGGATGAGTTCATCGGTCTCTGGCTCGACCATTGGACCGTTGTACAGCAATAGTCCGTCTTCCTTCTTGGTGATAAACTCGATGCTCAAATGCGACTCTTCACACATTTCCAATGGGGAATACCTATTAATTAGAAGGTTACATTGTGGTTTAACTTAATTTGGGCTAATGTGCACCCCCTTATCCCCCACAAAGTAAAGTGTTTCTAACCATGCCCAATCGTTTGCCCTGAAAGATCGGCTTGTGATCTGACATCTTGGACCATCGCGACCCGGAGGACAATGACAACTGCTCAAAAATATTTCAACATTAAAAATTGAATGACGCCATAATTAGTAGCATTACATGCGTTTTATTTAGGACTTACACTGGGCCAGATTTTGTTTCAATGCACCGCTGAAAGTCGGAAATAAAAAATTAGTGAATTTCACCAGCACAAAAATCAGTATGCAACGAAATTCGGAAGTTATGGTCCGGAAGGACAATGATCATTCAACTATAGATTAATACTCACCCCACCATTGTAGCACTCGTACTTCTTGCAAGATTCTTTCTCCTTGTCCGTGAAATTTCTTGCTCCGCACATGCACTCGGCCAGTGTTTCAATGCGCACACCCACGAGGGCAGTTTTGTTGGCATTGACCGTGTAGGGCAGAGGACTTACATCAATGGTGTTGGTGCACGATCCTTCACACACTTTGTTCTCGTACAGACATTCATCTGATGCAAATTGTAAATTATTAATGCGTCACAAAAAAACTGCCAAATTGCGAAAATCATTTCACCCTCACCTATATTGACCATTGTTATGTTGATACCGACTTCTTTTTCGATCTGCAAATATTTGAGTAGTACAAAATTAAATCAATGCTGTTAAATAAAGATCACAAATAAATTGTTTAATAAAAACAGTAAACACATGAAGTCATCGTAGATAATTGCATACCTCTTCGCGATGCAGCAATGCAATGCCATTCAGACGAACGGATTTAAAGTACGGTGATCCATATGCCGAGAATCTGACGTCAGTAATCGGTGGTCTCCTTTGTTTTAACATGACGCTGAAGACATCAACTTTGGAGGGCTCCGTGTTTAAAATCTGTGCCAATTTTTCCTTAAACTTTTCTGCCTTGCTTGGAATGACTGATTGCGTCTTGTAGTCCCAGATCCTGTAAATAAGTGACGAGCAAAATATGTATTATTATTATATTATTCATGTATGTTTTCTAATAATGAAATTGGCAAGTCTGCATTATTAATGTACCTGATGAAATCTTCATCTGAAATTCCGTAAATTCTAACCGATCCATGGTTTGCCACAGCCTCATAGGGCAAATCTTTGACAATGACGGTGACATTGGCAGCAACTCCAAGTTGAGTATGGTATCTATCAAAGACGGTAAACTCCAGCTGAAAGAAACATAAAGGGTTAGCGAATGGGGTAATAAAACTTGATATGACGGTGACGGATAAAGTTGTTAAAATGAGCTAAGAATATTATTTACAGTGTAATAATAATGGTTATAAAAAATGCATATCTTCTGTACCTCGTATTTTCCAGGTCGGACATCGGGTTTCATTGTGATGGTTCCGGTATCTTCGTCAAGTAGAAATTTTGGATGAGGATTGTCTCTCTCCTTCCAAAAGAACTTTTTATCCGGGAGATCCCAATCATCCAAGTCTGTATTTTTGGAAAAGAAATTCAGAAAATTAAAACGTGAATATTTCCCACATGAAATTCCGACAAATTGTGACATTGAGAAATTGTTAGTTTAAAAAAATCGACAGTGTAAAATAAAATGCATACCATAAACGTAAACTCGTCCTATTTCGGTATCAGGATTCATTCCCTGAAAACGCACACAAACACAAATATTGTATTTTTAGAGCTAATAATACCTCATTCAGGTCCCATAAAATTACTACTTAGTTTATAGCATATCTAAATATATCGAGAAATGTTTGCCGTACTTGATAGTTGTACACGAAAATTTCCTTTGACCCAGGTTGCATTTTGTGATCCTGCAAAAAACGACATAGTTATTGTAACAAAACTCCTGTTCAGCAAGGCTGCTTAGCACTCTGATACGTACGTTAGTGTCGCCAATGATTACGGTGAGGGTCGACGTGCCAGACATGGCAGGATTACCAGAATCTTTGATCACAATAGGGACGAGGAACTCTTTCCTTTGTTCGCGATCAAACATACGAAGAGCTATGGTCGTGAAGAGAAAAGGTTAGAATAGATGCTTAGCTATAAAATCAAACCGCAATGCATTCAGGAGTCTGAAACAAATAACTTGCCTGAAACGATAGCCATCCCGTCTCCATTTGCACCCTCTGAAAAGTCATCACAGAAAAATAAAGGTCAGTACATCATTTCATTAGAAGCGTTTAAATGATATAAAATTTAAACGACTACTTCTTTACGTACTTGAAGAATGTTCAACTTTAAAGCTGGCTTTAATCTCGTCTCCTGCATTGGGATCTGCATAAAAAAAAGATTTGATGTCAGTGTGACTATCACTTGTTTCTTGGCTGAGCAATATGCGTGTGAATAATAAAAATTGTGATTTATTTCTGCGTTATCATTGTAGACAAAACGTAAGCAATACCCATTCTGAAGGTGAATGGAGGCCCGTTGCCCTTGGATCGATCGTCATCATCCGTGGCCAAAACCTCTACCACTTTTCGAGGTGGCGTATGTTCTGGAAGTACAGGGCGATAGTCCTTCAAGAATTGTGGGGCACTGCAAACAATATTGGTCACAAATCAGCCACGTGCAACATTTCTCCATAGTATAAAATATATCAAGTAAAATATTTTTATACTTGTCATTGATATCTTGCACAATAACAGTTAACGTGGCCGTGGCGGTCTTGGAGGGCGTGCCATCGTCAATTGCCAGGATTTTAACCTATTTTTGGAAATTATTTTCATTAATAATAGTGGTGCGTTGGGCTTGGTTAGGTGGATATGTGGACATACCTGATGTCTCGGTGTGTCCTCACGATCAAGCGTCCTTTGAATTGTCACAGTGCCATCTTGACTAATTTGAAATTGGCGTTTCTTGTCGCTGGATCGGTCAATTTTAAAGGAAACTTTGCTCTTTCCTCCCTGATCTGGATCCGTCGCCTTAAACGTCTCGAGGCTCTTTCCCACTTCTGCATTTTCATAGACGGACACCTCGATGTTTGGTTTTTCAAATATTGGTCTAGAATTTACGATATTTAACATCATGTAGTTAGACTGTGACTACGAGGAAATGCTGGAATTTGAAATGCTCACTTGTTATCATTCGTATCACGCAGTGCCACCCTGACCCACGCATAGGCCACATGATATTTGTCGTTGTCATTGTAATCCTGTAAGGAAGGAAGAACATTATTCTAACTTCTCAATTCTCATCGTCTAGAATAATAAGGCACACTTCATTTCACATTTGACAATGTAGAACCACCGACTCGTATATTTATACGTCTACGTGACAGAAGTAATGTCTTTGCTCGTTGAGTGAGCAGGATTATGAGCATGCGAGATGTATATGTACGACGACGACCCATTTCTGGGAGCATTAGCGACGAAGTGCATAAACTTCTTACCCCTTTATCGTTGACTTGAATTCGGAAATGGAAACCCTGACTCTGTTGTGGGTCCTCGTAGTCTAGAGGCTGCACAATCTTGAGCGACCCAGTCCCGTCGTTATTCCGCACCATCGTGAATTTGTCCGCACCAAACCCACTGTTCTCTAAAACCTTAAACTGGAAGTTATTTGTCTCGTCCTCGTCGTGAACGGTGACTGTGAGAATCTGCAAAAGTAAATTATTGCGTAATCGACCACACATACATATGTATAGAAGCATATTTATTAGTTCCTTACTGGGGTATCGGGTAATGTGGACCCTTCCGTCTCATCCACTTCTGTGAACCACTCGTCTTTCGTAAAATGCGGAGGCTGGAGAGAGAGAATGATAATCAATTAAACTTTATAGACTACTACAACAAATCAATTATATGGGAAAAAGAATAAAAGTCGTACCATATCGTTTATGTCTTTGACACGTATGCTAGCGGTCCCAGTACCTTTTGATCAGCATTATAATTAATCAATTATTAGGGCAGATCGTTCTGCAGTAAGGTAGCCATCAACCATAAAGTGAGCACTTACCCTTTAACCCCCCTCCATCCATCGCAACGACTTGTATACTGTGTATTGGGACAGAATAAAAGTATTAGCGCAACCTCAATTCATTTGATCGTTCACTTGTATTTATTTATGTACACTTACGAATAGTCTGGAGTCTTTTCACGATCTAAACAGCAAACAGCCGTCTTAATAACACCCGTTTCTGGCTCGATTTCAAAAATGGGACGATTCTGCTCCTCGTCAATCACATTTTTCTCAATACTGTACGTCAACTTTGCATTAGTTCCTTCGTTCGGGTCATCGTAATCCACCGCAGTCATCGTCATTACGACCATTCCTATAAAATCCAGACTCGTTTTATGTAACCTGCAGTTGCTCAAGTATGATGCACCCTGACTGAATGCTTAGAAGAGCTGTCCTTACCCGAAGTCCCGTTTTCCGTGACATTTCCAAAGTAGATTCCAAGTGGGAATATGGGGCTAATATTACATACATATTATTATTGAAAAATAGAGTGCAATGAGGCATATAATCACTCGGTGTGCGAAAGGTTTACCTGTTGTCGTTGATATCTTTGAGATTGACAGTAACGTCAGAATAACCGACAAGTCCTTCCCCACCTGGATGAGTTAAACACAGGTTAGGTTAAAAGAATAAGAATGAAAATTTTATTGGTTAAAATACATAAGAAAATCATGCAGTCGTCATTTTATGAATGTGTACCTTCATCCTGGGCGAAAACCGTAAATCTCCATTGGGCTCGACCATTTGGAGAATCACGGTCCAAGGGCTGCATACAAATATCGTTTTATTAAAGGACTACATACAATCCCATCGAATTGATTATTGCCTATTATATTATTGCCTATTATTCGCAGCATTGCATTCGTATGGGCAAAAAACGTTGTTGGAGAAAATTCTGTGTAACTTCATTGACAGGAAAAGTTGGGCCATGTCGTTACAACATTGTAATTGCACATACGGCTTTAAATGTCTGGAAATACTTTATTAATGAAAAAAGTTGTTGCCCTATTCGGAACAGTCAAATGCTGGCGTATAGTATCTCCTCCTCCAACATTTTTTAAGGAAATTGCCATTTACCACGGCCATTTTGGAGATATTAAATGATTGCCCATTTCATTTTCATGGGACAGTTTTACTGATTGCCAATAAAGACCAAGAAATATGAGATGATACACATACCTTCAGCACATAAATTTCTCCTGCGATGTCCATGTAACAAACAAATTCGAAGTGGGTTAGGTTTTAGCCATCTCGAAAATGATATTTCCCAAGATATTGATCAATGCACTTACCCGTGGTCCGATTGATGTCGAACTTGTTATTTGCTGCATTCTGCAAATGATTATTAACATCAATTGTCAGTAAAGGAATACTTATGTAGCAGTGAGAATCGTGTAGTAGTTGCATTGTGCGTGTTACCTCAGAGTCGATCCCTTGGCCAGTCAAAAAATAAACAATGTTCTGCGGTCTGTCCCGGTCTCCATCAGTAGCAATGACCTAAATTGTGCACATTTTAGTAAAATAACATTGAATTATTGAACACTGGCAAAAGCATGGGAAACAAAAAAAACGTCTGGCGAAAGCAGTTTTTCTAATTTCACAAAAAAACAACTTGGAATGTTTGGTCAAATTGTCGTACTTATTATTCACATTACCTGTACCAAAATTTACACAAAATAAGACATTGCGTTTAATCTGACCTCCTACAAAACTTGACCAAACATTTCATTTTTTATGACACGAAAGCGAGTCGCAAATATTACTGGTCGAAGAAGGTGACCATGATGAAAGCCAATTTTAGCCAAACCAAAAAAATACCTGGGTCAACTTAAGGGGCAGGTTTGAAGTAAACTCTTCTAAAATCTCAGCCATGTACACTGACTGAGAAAATACTGGTGGGAGATCATTTTTATCGATTATACGCATCACCACCGTGGTCTCATTTTCATTCAAGCTGTCGGAGGCAACCAATGTCAAATCATACTGAAAAAAAGCAAAAAATTCAGCCAAATGAAACAAACAAAAAAATAAAGTAGCGTCATCATCACAGGAAAAATTCACCAGTACGATTGTAGTCACGTCATATTCTTAAATAAATGAGGGCAAACAATACTAAAACGTCCGAAATGGTGCACATCCCGTTCAACAAACTCGTAAAAATCAGAAAGCTTCCCTTTTCCTACTTCCTTCCTCGGAAGAAACTGATTTTGATTTGATAACATGAGAACAAGTGGGTCGGGTTTATTTTTATTAGGAAGAACGGTCGGCTCCAAAATCCCAGCTTCTCCCGAGTGATTTGACCGACATATTCATTGTTAGAAGAGGGAATACCCTGCACATTCGAGCCAAGGAGCACATAACAGGACTGGCACGGAAAATCGGGCAATGGCCAAAATGTTTTTTCGCACTCGTTTCGGTGAATGACTGACTGTGGTTTCTGGAGATAACCATTTATCGGAGAGCGAGGGGCATGTTGGTCTTGTGCGTTCTTTCGAAACACCATTTAATACTTGTCTCGTCTCAACAGAGAGACTCGACCCGACCGTCTCTCACAACAACCCCTGTCCACCCACCAAGACAAGTTGGAGTGACTGCAGTGAAATGAGAAAAACGGAAAAGAAAGCGGGGAAAGTGCGAATTTTGCCTGGTATGTATCCTTCCTTCACTGAAAAAGAAAATATGAGCTGCCCATTTTACGAGGGTTGGACCATAAAATGTATTCAACATGTCAGTGCTTTGGCCGTATCTTCTACTTTCTCCCACTCGAGATGACATGCATGATGGCCATAGATTCAGTCCCGCTGAGTGAAAGGGTCGTGTCAAGTGAAAGTGGTTCTGACTGCACGATATTCTCTGATGATGTTGCGTGGGAATCAATGCGACGAAGTGTGTTTACAACCATTAAGGGATTTTATAAGACGAACGGCTCAAGAGGGGTTTAGGTTATGCATGCATGTGACCAATAACTCGATAATATCGTCATTTCCATCAACCGTCAAGCCAAAAAGGTAGCTATGTACATTAAACCCACTCAAAAACATTTCAATTTTTTCCTCCCGTATTTGTAGCTATTCTCTTACTTAACGGCTTGTTTAAAATGTCATCGGGAAATCATCGATATTTATTTAACCAACCAGGACTGAACTTCAATTAGTTTTTAATATGATTAGAATAATTCTATTACCAACTAAGTAAACCGCGTGAATGCAGTTTCGTACACTGTATCATGTTCTGCTACGTAAACTTACTAATGGTAATACTAATCTTTAATAAAGCTACAATCCTTGATGTTACCTCACACGTCGTTTCACATAATAATGGAGTCCATGAAATAGGATGAAACAAGGAGAGCGAGAGGCTGCTTATTTATTAAGTTTGGAACCAAAATTCAACAAAGGTTTGATAGTTAGTTACTTAGTTGTATGGCGTTATGTTCCTGTGCTCAATACCAACTTTGGTGTTTTGACACCACCGGACTTATTAGAGACGGGACAAGTAAACTCTTGTCGAAACAAAGCAGCAGAACCTCCGCCACACAGCGCAAGGGACGGCTATTCATGTACTCCTCGAGCGAGTGTGGTTCGACTCTGCCGTCCAAACTTTCTCTTAATTTTCTTTTTGTTTCAGCCAGACAATAAAAACTGCCAGAAGACTGTCGCTGCTGGGTGTCAGCTCTAAGGCCGATAGTCCTAATTCTACTGTGCTCCTGTCACAACCAACCAACCAGCTGGAATTATGGAACTTTATCCTCTCGACATAATTGTACATCTTAAAATCACATCGTTTTTGAATATGCACTCATTGTTTTTGCAGCAGAAATTGAGCTCGTGGAGTTTGAAAGTTAAACCAACCGACACGAGAAAAAATCGGGAAGGAAAGTCTATACAGCAATTTGCATGTTTTCCACCACCTAACCACGACAATTTGGAATACTGGCGGCAGGAGTGTTCTCACTGCTGCTGTGGAATTGAATGGACGCCACTTTCGCTTTCCAAGTAGATAGTTCAGCACATAATGTTGATGCTACCAAGCAGAATAATCATATACTGCAACGGGCCTATGTAGGAGATACGTATAACCATTTCGCACGAACTCCTGCTTTATGGGAGGAGACATTATGATGCAAAATTCAAACCAGTTAGCAATAATGGTAATAAGGGGGAATCTGTTTCGGATCCATCCAGATGGTATTGCGGCTTATACGGGGAGAAAATGGGCCTGCTCTGCTGAAAGACACATGAAACGGCGGAGTGCAGTGAAGTTGAGAATAAATAGCCAGAATTGGTCGTAAGGAAAGCCACTTGAAAATAAAAAGTTGCTTCCGTTTCAGAGAAGAGCCAATTTGAAATCTGAGTTAGTGCAATCGTTATACGTTGTCTTGTTGTGTCTTATCCTTATCCACCCGAATCTCTTATCTATACACGCACCCGGAACTCACCACTACCCAAGCATATACTTATACTTTTAAGGGTTCAGATAATTCCGGACCACATACACACACACGTCACGACTGAAATACAAAATGTTAACCCACTACTTGTGCCCCTACTTATCCTTAGTTTGTATAAATATACCACTCTTTTACTTTGCGCCTCTATTTGAAAATCATGGCGTCTTAATACTTACTACTTTAATGGATACGTAAGAGTGTCATTGGACTTACTGCAGGATGATTGGGCATAAAAACCTGGTTAGGAGGAACAAGTTGCAAAAAGAGCATCAAAAATAACGACAAAAGAACACATGCTATAAAATCTGTAGTTTGTGGTTAAAAAAGTAAGACGTGAAAGCAAGTATGTTAGCTCAAAATGTAGGCAGGTCAGTCATTTGCGAGATGAAAAGCGCGAGAAAAGGGGTCTGCAAAGGGTATAAGCTCAGGAAAGCGAAGGAAAGTATTTTTATAAACCTGGAGAACGCGTTTAGGTAAATTTCGGTCATCCTCCTCAGTTATCTGAGTCTCGTAGTTGGGCCGATCAAATACGGGCGGGTTATCTGTTATTGAAAAAGTCGTTACCTTCATCCTCTTGAACTCATTTCCGGAGCGGAAACCAAGTGAAATTAACGACGCGGAATAACGTAAACGAAAAAGTTTACAAATAATTTTTTTTTCAAGAATTTCCATTACCGTTCACATCTCGGACTTGTATCACGACGGTGGTGTAATTTTCGTTCTTATTGTCGGACGCGGAGAGACGGAGTTCGTACTGTTGTTGGAGGTTGGCAGTTGATATTCCAGAGTAAAGTGAAGCAAGAAAGAAGATAACAGACACCCACATTAATTAATTAGCAAGAGCAAAGTTCAAAGTTACACCATTTAAGACCCAACACGCACAGCGACAACCAAGTCGACGACGATGACTTTTACTCGTAAATTATTGCTCACTCTCACACAATTTCATTTCTTTATGGGCAGAAACTTGTCCCGCAACAGTAAACTAAACCGCAGAAGAGCAGAGTAAAAGTCCGGAGACGAATCCTCCCCTCAGATAATATTAAGTTCGTACATGTACATGTTCCCCAATTTACATGGGCTTTTTATGCACACTAAACATGAACTTAAAGCCGCAATTACTGCCATGTTACCAGTCATAAATGTCCTCTTTACTTGGCAATAATTTGATGCGCATGTTTCTAATAACCGTTTATTATGTCGCTAGCTGAAAATTTTGTCAAAAGTGAACTTGTGAAAGTTGCAAAGATCTTTTGTCAGAAGAGGTCAAGTGCCGAGAAAGTGGTTTTTTGGCTTTATTGCATATGCAACTGCGATTCCCATCTGGTTACTGACGGGATTTCTTCCTTGACACTTTCCTTGGAATCCACAAGCACATTTAAATGCACGCCTTGGAAATCAACGTACTGTACGACGTTAAATATTTACTCTCTCCTTTCAGCCATCTTTTGCTGTATGGTTGACTTGAGATATTTTATAATGCCAAAGTAAAATGAGTTTATAACTTGCTTATTCATATATAAACCGTATTTTTGGTTAACTCGTTCTCCTTCTCCTAAGCCTATTCAGTATTTTTATTATTACGTAAATACAAGTAGATGTAAGTATGTAGGTCTGATCGGGGATCACAGTTCGTAACTATTGCGAACAAATTTCAAAATTTTTAGTCCAAAAGTTTTTGGAACTCTTTCCATGAAAGTTAAAAGTCTGAGCTCCTAAGAAGTTATCAAATTGTCTACAAAGTTTGTTCCGTTCATTCCATGATCATGACTTTCTTCTCCTCTTGTGATTGTCATTATTTTTAATGACAACGTTTCAATAAGTTTTACATTTGACTAAATCGGCAAACTTACCCGCTTTCGAGTTTCATAGTCCAGTGGCCCAGCAACGTAAATGGCACCCGTCATATTTTTCACTGCAAATGCTCCACCCGTGTTACCCTTTGTGATTTCGTAACGAATTCTTGACGCTGAAATGAAACATAAACGCACAAATTAGTTAAGTTTGGAACAATTTCATCACTAAAATATTTACTGGTCAAAGTGTTACAGGACACACGACAATTGAATTTGTATTCCAACCAACCGACATAGCCAACGAATGGCCTATAGCTATATTTTATTGAAAAAAAGTGAAAGAGTTGCTAAATTTGGGACGGATGATCGATTTATGTCAATTTATCGGAGACAACATAAGCTTCTCCAAATGTCTGGGGATTGTCTGAACAATCCAATTCGCCATCATCGGATATAATATCAAAACAATTTATCATGAACCGGAATAGCCGCAGCCGCCGATGAGAACAAACATCATCGCCGTTAACGTGTGGCAATCTAAACACTCAAACAACTTACCGCACACCCACATCAACGCATTTTCCCCCGTCTGCCACCTCTTCAAACGCTTGTCCGACCAACTGACAAATGGTTGTTATCAGTTGGCTGGAGAAAGGCTGCTTCCTTCCTCTTGCCCAATAGTACACCATCTCCAAAGTTGGAGAAAGTTGTGAAAGAGGAAGTGCGTGGGATCACGGACAGGTAATAATGCAAAATGGACATTTGTTGAAGGCAAGCGCAGCAAGAAGTATGCATTCATGCATTTAAGGTGCAGGACAGTCTTGCTTACAATATTATGTATATCCATTTTCACCGGACTATATCCTACGCTATTGCTGCTTACATTGCTATTATCCGTATGGCTTATTTTTTAGCCCAAAATCAAATATTCATAACAACTTTCACCAATATTGCACGGGATAGCTATTATTCCTTACAAATAAAATAACCATCATTTCGCATGGTTTAAAATAAGATTATGTCGTGCATAAAACAAATGTGCAGTACATTTGTTTCATTATTCATCAAATTTTTTCCGTTTTGCGAAAGATAATGCCGGGGCGAACTGGGGAGGCCTTTCTTCCTTGGTCGACTTGGTGTCTGTGCATGTGTATACGAATCTGTAGCGTAGTGTTCGAGTTGGTCTATGTACTATTTCTGCTTTGTCGTTGGTTCGTTAGCTCGTGTGCCAGAAATATAATAAATCCCGTGGAAAAAACGGGTAAATTATGGCCACAATAATCGAGTCTCTCTTCACAAGAGAGCAAACGAAAAGACTTTTCACATTGTGCACTCCCACATGACGACGCTACATGCATGCAGTGTGAGGAACATTTGCAACTCTGTGCTGCTGGAGAGAAAAGGAGGATGTTCCGCGATGGTGTGTGGACTCGAACAAGGTGAAATGATAATCAACCCGTCTCTCAGAGCGAGGAGCACTGTGCGAAGAGGACGAGATGGTATTCAGCCATTCCTTTCTCAACAGGATGACACGAGGAAGAAGAGAGAAAAGAGAAATAAAGCATGGCAAACACAAAGAATGTACATACTCTTAGCGGATGATAAAAGTACAACAATTCCACCTCAATGAGGCTCGCACGAGAGGTAATGTGTATTTTTATTATTCATCATGTGCATGGAATGAGCTGTGGAAATCCAGTACCTTTACAATCAGTAAATATAGAGCTGCGTGAGACAGAAACGACATAAATATCTCGACACAAAGGGAGCACCTCCTTCTACTCCGCCACGGAAGGAAGTTCTTAACTTGGCTCAGACATAATCAAGTCGGGTGTTGGACTTTCTCCTTCTTCTTCTTCTTAATTCCTTCCCCCTCATTGATATTCCGAGGCGGAACCTTTCCATAGAATTCCCTGATTCTCATTTGCACCCAAAGAATAAAAAAAATTGGTTAAACTAGAGACGTGAACGAATTGTCAAGCATATGTGAAGTTGTCATCATTATCATTGTGCGGAAGAAAAGAAGGACGTCTTGTATCTCATAATAATTAAGCCATTTGTCGTTGGCTGGCTTGTTGCTGCTCTGTGTGGAACAAATAAGTTATGTGTACGTAAGTGTTATTTTTTGTCTCCAGTGGTATTGTCGTGGCACTATATCCGTAAATACTCGCACAGGATGGAAGAATATGACAGAGACGACGACGCCAGAAGAAGAGCACGATGAGCATTAAGCCATGATGCAATTACTCATACATGATGTGTCCGTAATAAAAACCATGAAAATAGGTTATCAGCCACCAACGCTGCGACTGCAGACAGATTATGAAAAATGTTCCAGATTCTCTGTTTCCTCCGCTTCTTTGGTATATATACACGCGTATCTGTGATCTCCGTATGTATGAGCTTGTGTATAAAACGACTTCCTCATATGGCGATGGCAAAGACAAGGAGAAGAAGACTCCAACCAACGCAAAATATTTTTAGTTGACGATGCAGCAGTGTGGATATCAAAATGAAATTGTCGAGAGATTCATGATGATTCTGGGGAAGGCAGGATTTGGATAATATTCGAGTCATTACCTAATGGACTTTCCTTGTCTGAGGAAGGAATGCAGCAGGTCTATCCAAAATTGTGCTTACGACGACGACTACTATAAGTTGTGTACCATGATAAGCACCAATGCCACTCATCTAATACACTCACAAGTAAGTACATAGGTAGGTATAGTCCACTGCACTTCCGCGATCATTCTCCTCAGTCATTCATCTCCCTTTGCTCATCAGAGCAACTTTCACTTGAAACAAAGCCAACGAAATTTTTCTCAACTTATCGCTCAGTCAACTCTGCGCATACGATGATAAGCCCAGAGTTTGACGTCCTTTCCAAAAAGCTGGAGGGAGTTCAGGGAAGATGATGAACGTATCCGATTACTTTTTTTAGAAATCTGTTCTGGACTCACCGGACAATTTGATTGCCGATATTTTGTCGCTATCTGACAATATAAATTGATCCCCGGGTCCAGTTCGTCGTAGATTCGATCACACAACACGCCGAGAGAAAGTTGAGGTTCTGTGACCTACGTCATTTTGGCCAATATTCAAGAGAGAGCTTTCTCATTTTATTCGACATCCTGAATTTTACTACTGTCTGCCAGGCAGAGGAAAGGTAGGCTGGTCTCGGATCCACTCCTGAGATTATTCCACTGCATAAATCGCAATAGTTTGAACTTATTGGAGTCTGAGCTACTCGGATGAGAAATGATATGTCTAATTAGTTTTCATTGCAAGGAAACTAATAAGAAATAAATCCATTTAAATTTCTGTCCAATAGCTCATATTTATATATTAGAGAACTCTCCGCCCGTCAGACGAGCCCCATTCAGCTCTTCTCAATTTGAAACTGAGAGTCCTTGTGGGGAAGCAAATAAAACGCAGATGCGATCTATGATGGGGCATAAAAGAAGAAGGAGTGAACTCCACTCAGCCAGTGCCAAGAAAAGATTGAATCCCAACTTCCGTCTCAGCCGCCTATATGCAAGTGAGTAAATACGGAGGAGGAGGTGGTGCGGGTGGTCACGAGCGGTGGCATTAAGGGAGGAGGAGGTGACGGACATGAGACTTGGAATTCAACCCATCAGATCATTTATCAATGTCTCACCCACCCTTCTTCGTACAAAGGGCCCATGCACCAACCTCACCACCAACGAGGTCACACAACCCTCGTCACTTCCTCCAAGGAGAAACTTTCCTCGCTGGGTCGATGGATCAACAAACTCGAATAATTACTATTCCAAGGTCTTGTTGGCTCTTAATATTTAGTTCCACCACTGGGAAACCTCAATATGTTTTGTGTCCACAAGTTGAAGAGGTTGCTTAGAATTATCCCTTGAATGTCCGTCCAAGCAAAGCGAGGGGATTCGTGATCAAAGGTAACCACAAAACCATTGCAGCCATGAAAGTATTTACATTACCAGCTCAATGCAAATAATTATTCCATTCAAGGCAGTTGGAATAAAGGAAATACTTATGGATTTACATAAAATGTCTCCGTGCGGATCAGACGCCATCAACCCAATGAGAATTTCAGACAAACCTCTGTCGTCTAAATTATTATTTCGAAAAGCAGCATTTGCAAACAAGCGCTTGCTAATCAAAAAGTGTTTTTTTCCTTGTCGCAAAGGTAAATGAGCAGATTACAGTGTGCAACTTATACATACATAAATACATATATGCAAATGCGGACTCTCTCAATGTATACTTTTGTGCCCTGGTTCATCCGCCGAAACGAGAACATTTATTGCTACAGTTTTGAGTCTTAGGTCATCAAATTGCTTTCTAGAATTTCTTAATTTTCTTTATGAAATAAAATATACAGAAAAGCAATAAAAGCCGCCGTTCTCAACATCCTTCCTCTGACACAGTTTCTCATCATATCTTCGTCACGTTTCCACTGGGAGACATCAGCAGCAGGGTTTACACTCTCAAAAATTATGCTCAGGATGAGTTTATGTGAAAATGCCTGTGTATTTTCCTCTCTTTCTTCAGATGAGACTTGTCCTCTTCGTGCTCTCGCTCTGTTCCGTTCATGATAAGAGACGAGAGGAGAAGACGACGCAGGAGACGGACATTTAATTATCTGACTCTTTTTGATTAAAAGCTCTAACATCCCGACTCACTTTCCTTTTCAATTTCCTTGTCTAAACTCAACAAATTTTAGCATTCGCCTATTTCGCCTTCTTTAGGTCAAAGCTGAAAAAGTAAGTGTCACCAACACGCTTTGACTGTACTGCGCACCATGGCAGACATGTCCTTTTAAAATAAACTTTTACTTTATCAACATTTTTTTATTCTCCGCTCAAGTGAAACTTGTATTCAACATTTTGTCCTTTAAAACTGACAAGAAATGCAATCGTGTTGCATTTGATTCGACAACGACGAGCCAGACCAAAGTACATGCTGGCTGACTTTCTCTTTCTTCCCACAGCAGGAGCAAAGCAACTAAGCAAGGAGTTTGCAGTTCCTTGGTGAGATCGAGGACGGGGTTCTGAACGTAACTTTGGCTAACCGAGTTCCACTAAAATGTATAGCCCCCAATAAAAAGTTAAGCATTTCATCACTGTGCTGTACAAGGCTGGGCTTACACTTTATGAAAATGTTCCGCCAAAGTGAAAGC